TTTTTTTTTTTTCCCTCTCTATATAGTTCTGTCATACTTGTAAGCTTATGTTTGGATAGGTGGCCACCGGACGAAAAATGGCTTTGATCGGTGTTCTTGGGCTGAGGACAGATGGTGAGTGAGCTTCTTCCCGACGGGTAATGTAGTTGATGGGTCGGAGCTAATGCAGGAACGTCTAGATACCGCGAATGAATTGGAGGATGATCCTGATTATTCGCATATCTCTGTTCTATCTGGCATTAAGCAGTATGGAGCATCCTTGCTTGTTGTGTTTCTGGTGACTCGCTGACGACGTATAGGTTTCTCATGCCGGATATACGGAGTTTGAGCGACCGGATAAAGCCTAGCAAGACTAATAAGGGAGATGGTGAGTTGCAGTCCTTTTAAATAGTGATTGGAGTAGTTGGGCTTTAGCTGATTAGTATAGCTATCTCTGCGCTTGTGCTTGCGATTCAGATGATCATCACTCAGTGCAAGAAACTGAAGTATAAGCGCAGGATTGTCCTGGTTACTAATGGGCAGGGCCCGATGAATCCGGATAATCTCAGCGAGATAACGAAGAAGATTAAGGAGGATAATATTGAACTGATTATCTTGTTAGTGTCGATTGATACACTTGGGGAATGGGGTTACTAACATGCTGCAGGGGACCTGACTTTGATGACCCTGACTACGGAGTGAAGGAGGAAGATAAAGATCCGCGAAAGGTATTCCACACTGTTCCGTCTGCTCTGGACTGCTAATGACAACTACTACAGGCGGAAAACGAAGCACTCCTGCGTAGTCTGGCTGAAGACTGCGATGGAGCTTATGGAACCCTAGAACAAGCTGTTGCGGAGCTAGAAACACCTCGTGTAAAGAGCACAAGGATAACGGCAAGCTTCAAGGGCCATTTACAGCTAGGAAACCCCACAGAATATGATACTGCAGTTCGAATCCCCGTGGAGCGCTACTACAGGACATACGTTGCGAAGGCGCCGTCGGCTAGTCAGTTCACAGTACGTAACGAAGAGGAGATGGAAGCGGCGGGAGCGGGCTCGCAAGATGGTAGTTCTCTTGTAGGTGTTCGAAACAGCAGATCCTACCAAATTGACGATGGGACTACTGAAGACGGAGTGACAACCGTGGATCGAGACCAACTTGCCAAAGGTTACGAGTACGGGCGGACATTGGTCCCTATCAGCGAGACGGATGAGAATATCACCACCCTGGAGACATTTGCGGCTATCGAACTTCTTGGGTTCATACAGAGCGATCGAGTAAGTTCTACCCTCCATATCTGCTGTGTGCTGCTTAGTTAATCTTGCTATTAGTATGATCGGTACATGCACATGTCGACGACAAACATCATCATTGCGCAGCGCGCCAATGACAAGGCAGCACTCGCTCTTTCCTCCTTCATACATGCACTCTTCGAGCTGGAATCGTATGCTGTTGCCCGTATGGTGCTGAAAGAGAACAAGCCCCCTGTCATAGTTGTGCTTGCACCATCAATCGAACCCGACTACGAGTGTCTCCTCGAGGCGCAATTGCCATTCGCAGAAGACGTACGAACGTACCGCTTCCCTCCACTCGGCAGGGTCGTTACAGTGTCTGGTAAAGTGGTGACGCAGCATCGCAACCTACCCAGCGACGATTTGCTGAATGCAATGGACAAATACGTGAAAAGCATGGAGCTCGCCGATACGGACGAGAACGGGTGAGATTGACCAAAAGCGATCTCAATTTCCCTGCTGACTTCATACAAAGTGACCCGACGGAATCTCTCCCAATCGACGACTCCTTCTCACCAGTCCTGCACCGCATCGATTCTGCCGTCCGCCATCGTGCCATCCATCCTAACGACCCTATTCCTCCCCCTGCCCCAGTCCTAACAAAGTTCTCCCACCCTCCGGATGACCTCGTTGAGAAGTCTAAGAAATACCTAGACAAGCTAGTAGCAGTATCAGACGTCAAGAAAGGTCAGTCCCTTCCCCCTTCCCCCTTCCCCAAAATCCCTCCATACTCACAGCGATGATTCCAGTCCCACCAAAAACCAAGGGCACCAAACGATCCCGTGAAACGGAGAAGCCACTATCTGGTCTCGACGTGGATGCACTTCTCCACCAAGAGAAGCGCACAAAGATCTCACCCAACAATGCAATCCCCGAATTCAAGCAGACGCTCTCGCAGGCAGAGAACATCGACACGATCAAGGATGCAGTGAAGCAGATGAGCACTATCATCGAAGACCAAATCAGACACAGTCTTGGCGATGTTAATTATCCTCGGGTCGCTGAGGGGCTAGTTGTGATGCGGGAGGAACTGATCGATTATGAGGAACCTGCGCTGTATAATGATTTCTTGAAGCAGCTGAAGGAAAAGTTGTTGAAGGAGGAGCTTGGTGGGGATAGACGGGAGCTGTGGTGGCTGCTCAGGAGGAGTAAGTTGGGGTTGATTGACAAGGGGGAGTCGGATCGGTCTGAGGTGGAGGAAGAGGAGGCGAAGGCGTTTATATCTATGGCTGCTAAGTGAATTTGGGGTATTCTGATAAGGCTTAGTTCTCCAGGAAGGGTATAATAGCCAGAACTACAAACCAGACTCTTACTTTTACCTGTCAAATAGTGGATAATGGTTGGATCATGATAAATGAACAAGCTTCAATGCTGCATGACTGTGCTCGCTAGAGTACAATATCCACGATAATCCTGTGCGTTAAGTAACAAGGCCTATTCCGTGCCAAAGTAACACACACACATAAGATATAGTACCAATTCGATGAACAATATAGGGGATATCAACCATGACCATGAGTAGAAATAGACATCACAAACAACCATAGCATCCTATCCACATCAAGAAATCCTCCCAATCCTCTTCTTCCCAATATCAATCTTCCCACCCAACCTACAGCCAGATTAGCAAAACCCCCCAAAAGAATGAAATGTAGGAAAACATACCTGGTAGCATCTTCATCCGCCAAATTCAACAACTCATTCTGCACCTGCAACTCATTATTAATGGCAATCCCCAACTCCTTCTGCCGATTAACAATCCTCATCAACTCATCCACCGCAACATCCTGATCCTGCATCATCTGCTTCTGCAACTGCACGACCCCACTATTATCCAACTCGCGCGTCCTCTCCGTCTCCCTCCCCAACACCCTCCCAGACGATCTAATCGCCTTCTTCCCACCCTGCGTCCCCATCAACGCCTCCTTATCCTGAATCGACGCCACCGCACTATCAATCCGGCTCTTCGCCGCCATGGCATTCAACAAATCCTCCAGCCCATCTTTCTCTTTCCTCGCGTTGATCAGTAGATCCTTCCGTCGTCGCATCTCCCCTTCCCCGAGGGTATTGTTCCCACTAACGCTCCACGCCGTGGCAGCAGTCGTAGCGGTATTTCTGCGCCCGAGTTTACTACCCGGTCTTGACCCTGCATTATTATTATTCTCCTCCCCACCACCAGAAGTAGATGTATTACTCAAATTCCTCAACCCACTCTCCAAACTCCCAATCAACCCGCCCGCCCTAACAAGCTCACTCTTCGCCCTCGCCGAACTCTCATGCTGTCGCTGCGGCGTAGTCTCCTGATCCCGTCTCGTCAAATACAACCTCGCATCATGTAAATGCCCCTTCATATCCCTGAAGCAATCCAGCCAGAGAATCGGGTCCGTGATCCCTCCGCCTTCTGAGTCGCCGGGGTCGGTGATTGCTGCGTGGAGTCGTGTACTTGCGCCCCCATTGCCACCACTGCTATTGTTATTGTTGGAAGGTAGGCTCGGAAGATTCAGAAACGCCCGCCATGCGGGGCTGTTTCGCCATCGGGGATCGTCGCTTTCGTTGATCGCGCGCAGGTAGGCTTCTAGTGCTTCGCGGCGGGATTCGCGCAGGGTGGCGTTGTTGATGGTGTTCTGGAACCAGTTTTTCGGGGGGAGGGGGGCCGGTGGGGGAGCGTTTGTTTGGGAGGTTAGAGTGTTGTGGAAGGTGGTGAAGTCGGAGTAGCGCTTTGAGATGGTGAATGAGCGGAGGGGGAGGCGGAGGGTGATGTTGTAGAGGGTGTAGGGGGGTTGGGTTGCCGAGATGCTGGTTGTGGGGATGGTGATTTCGAGGGTTGTAGAGGGCATTATTGTTCGGTTTTCTTTGGGTTGTGGGTTTGGATGTGTTTGTGGGGGTTGGTGTTGGTAGTGGGTGAAGTTATTGGGGCATTGTTTGCGTTGGATCGAGGTGTGAGTGTAGATGGTGAGTAATGGTGAAGCGGTGGAGGATGAGATGCGCTGATAAGGAAGTAAAGTACTAAGAGTAAGTCACCGCCGGATCACAACAATGACGCAAGGTCATTAGTTACCGCTTACTTTCGGGGTTGTCTGCACACAACTATCTTTACTTTGAACACTTGAGCAGCGATATGATTAGGCTTCAATCCACTACATTTAAATTGTATTCGACTGTCCTGCATTACTGGGTATCTTGTTCACTAAATTGGCTGGTCACTCAATCTTTCTCTCGTCATGCGGTAGCCTCGGGCCCATTCCATAGCTCGCGTGCTCCCAGCAGGTCCCGTTGCCCATAATACTCCCCGATGACCGTGATGATCATGTCCAGCATGGCGCGAGTCTGTGTCGCCGCTTCATTCGTAGGTTCCTTGTTGTTAACCTCGGGCTCGGTGTCTACAGGTTGCTCCTCTCCACCTGCGAGCTTCGCCTGAAGTCGTGCTTTGGCTGCCTCTAGCTCCTCAGCAGTAGCAGGCTTCTCTTCCTCCACATCCTGCATATCGTGATCCTGGTCGTCACCCGGCCCATCCACTTGTTGTGCTCCGTCCTCTCCTTCTGCAGCGTTTTCCCCCGTTTCGTCTTCAGCGTCTTCCTCATCCGACCCGTCTCCCTCCTGCATCTTCTTCTCATCCTCCTCCCTCATCTTCCTCAGAATCTTCACAGCTCTCTTTCCCAGATCCCGAATCTCCCCAACCTCCTCTGTCCCTAGCTGGCCAACATCGCGACACTTCCCCAACAACCCCCACGCCCAAGCCCCGATGCGTCGAACCCGTTGCGCATCCCCACTCCGTACATTCTCCGACATTAACCGCGCCATGATCTCCAGTACACCCAGCACACTCTCCATATCCATACACGCCAGCTGTACAGTCTGGGGATCCACCGCTAGGAGTAACCGGCGCCATTCCTTGCGCGCGTTTCGCGAGTGTCGCGGCAGACTGATCGGGTGGGATTCATCGAGCACGGCGATAGCTTCAGAAGGAGGTGTGCATTTCAGTATCGATCGAAGGAGCAGGAAGCGGTGGTGAAGGAGGTTGTAGTAGCTTGATTGGGCGTCAGAGATGCCCTCGTCGGCGACATCCGCAGCAGGGGCGGCAGTAATGTTGGTCTTAGACGTAGGAGGAACAAAGTAAACACCATCAACAACCACCCCCTCAGGAACGGGCTCTGATACATCCTTCACCTCCTCCTGCTGTTGCTGCAGTTCCTCGCTATTCTGCTCCTGCTCTGTAGCGGCAGGAGTTTCCGTTGATTGCGGTGCCGTAAACAAAAAAGGGAGTGAATTTGCTTCCGATCTACAACAAACCAGAATAAAAAAATGAGCCACGTCACGTCACATCACATCACATCACATCACATCACATCGCCGAATTCAAGAAATGCCGAAGGAGGCCATCTTTCGCGAGCTAAAGTCCGAAACACGCAGGCATTTAGCAAGCGGGAAGCGAAAAGAGCCGAAACAGAAGAATATACAAACAAAAGAAAAAGCATCAAGAAAGGAGAGTCAAGCTTACCGAACCATGCGTAAATATTCCAAGCCATCTTCAGCAGGCCCGTAGAACAACTCATCATCACCCGCGACGTCTAGACCCGGAAAAGCGCTCTTTTGACCGTATACTGGGTGGTTGCGCGGGCGTTCGTATGGAGTCACGGTCGGCTGTGCTTCTTCTTCGTCATCTTCTTCGGCGTAGGACGGGCGGGAACGTTTCGCGTAGGGAGAGTAGCCGGTGACTGAGCCGGAGGGTTTGCGTTTGTCGGGCATGTTGGTCATGGTCTGGTTTGGTTGTTGGGATGGATGGAGTTGGGGGAGCAAAAGTTCAGGCGGAGAAAATGCCGGCGATCCAATGTTTCCCCCCGGGAGCTTGGGCCACTTTTTACTTACTATAGGGGAGCCACTATGACAACACTGTCAGAATTCTACCTATGAAAAGCATCCGTTGTTACTACTAGTCGATACTCGATTCCGTCCTTACCTAGGATCCCAGGTGAGCATGCAGTATACAACATGAATTATTGGATAACTCCGCCATGACCATAGTTTCCAGTACATGCTACTCATATCCTATCTTACGATGAGCTACGCTACTAATTGATAGGTACAGACCTTAAAACGCTAAACATTCAATTCGTCGCTCCATTATATTCTTTTGTATCCAGATACAGGTCTTGTAATCTATTGCGGCTCTAGCCACCCGCTTAAGGGCGGAGACGCTGGGGGTCACGGGGGAACAGGGACGCCAGACGAACGTTAGGCAGACCCAGGAAGAACATGACAATACGGTTCAGACCCAGACCACCACCGGCGTGGGGAGGACAACCCTGGCGGAAAGCAGACAGGTAGTCCTCGAATCCCTCCTGGTTGGGGTTGAGGCCCTTGGCGACCATCGACTCCTCCAGCTCCTTGATGTCGTGGATACGCTGGGCACCGGACATGATCTCCTCACCACGCATGAAGAAGTCATACGAGTTGGAGAAGCGGGGGTCCTCCGGGCAGGCCTTGGTGTAGAAGGGACGGACGGCCATCGGGAACTTGTCGAGCACGTAGAAGTCGGTGTCGTACTTGTCACGGATGATCTGTCCCAGCTGCTTCTCCATCGCGGTGGTGAAGTCGTTCTCGAAGCGCTCCTGCTCGGAGACATCGACACCGGCCTCCTTCAGCAGAGCAACACCGTCCATGTAATTCAGGCGGAGAGCCTTGCCATCCTTGGGGAGCTTGAAGTCACCGGCCTTGGGGTAAGACTTCTGGATGATGGCGATCTTGTCGGCGTAGCGCTCCTTGAGCTGGGAGAGGATGAAGACGAGGAGGTTCTCAGCGAACTCCAGAACCTCGTGGTAGTGGCCGCGGAAAGTCTTCTCGAAATCGAGACCAGCGAACTGGCGAAGTCAGTATACGTACGTAAGCTGATGCTTTTGATCATTAGGGCCTACCTCAGTCAAGTGTCTGTGGGTGTTGCTGTCTTCGGCACGAAAGACGGGGGCAATTTCGAAAACGCTCTCCATGTCACCAGCAATGCACATCTGCTTGTACAGCTGGGGACTCTGGGCCAGGTAGGCGTTCTTCTTGAAGTACTTGACCTCAAAGACGTTGCTACCACCCTCGGTAGCCGCACCCACCAGCTTGGGGGTGAAGATCCACCGCGAACCGCTCTTGATCATGTATTCGGCGAACAGTTCGGCGACGCCGCTGGAGATCCAGGTGATAGCCTGGCTGGTTTCGGTCTGGAGATCGAGGACCCGGTTGTCGAGACGGGTCTTGAGAGTGACAATAGGAGCACCATCCTCACCAACTTCGAATCCCTCCTCGCTGGTCTCCGGGGGCGGTCTCTCGGCATCCTTGACCTGCATAGGGAGCATCTGGGCCGCCTCGGAGATCATGTAGACCTTGCGGATGTGGATTTCGTGGTCGCTAAGGGTAGCCGACGAGATGGGCACGGCAGGCTTCTTGATGATACCGGTGACCTGGACAATGGAGTTGACGTTCAATCCACCAGTGTACTTGATCATCTGACGGGAGATGGGCTCCGCAAGAGCAATGACGGCCTGCAGCTTCTGGCCCTGCTGTCTCAGCATCAGGAAAGCCAGCTTGGCACTCTGCACACGGGCATTGTCGACGCGAGCCACCAGGGTAACCTCCTTCTCGTAGTGCTCGTCGGAGATGTCGGAGAATCTCGTCGCGGCGATGACATCCTCGGACTCGGGGAGCTTGCCATACAGGTCCTTGGCGGTGTCATCGGCAGCGGCAGCAGCAGCTTGAGCCTTCTCCTGGGCAGCACGAGCAGCAGCCTTCTCAGCCTTGGCCTTCTCCTTTGCGGCCTTCTTCGCGGCGTTCTTGCTGGCGCTCTTGCTGGCCTCGGCACCCTCGGCGGGGGCGGCCGCAGCGGCGGGGGTTTCTTCGGGCTTGGGGCGAGTGGGCAATTCGGAGTCCGCCATGGTGAAAGGTGTGGATAGGGAGTTGATGGAGGAGAGGAGGGAGCAGCAAGGCGATCAGGAACCAGTCCGTCGGCCTGAATGGAGCTCCAACTTTCTCTTTTGAGTCACCCCGCCGTCCGAGGCCCACAGCCCTAAGCCCTAGGAGGGGCTGTCTATCACCTGATGCGGATGCTGCCATGCCATATGATTATATAATAATGCGCTGCATAATATTTGCTGTACTATATACAATTGTGATAGTCTATTCGCTATGCTCGCAGGTGCAGTCGCAGTCTACTTATCAAATACTCGCTCAAAAAAGGAAGACAAATACAAGTCTACACCGTTACCTCTAAGACCGCCACTGTGAGTTCTTCAATGCCCACTCAACTGCCTTGTGCACGTTATCAGCGATCGTCGTCGGAGTCCACGCTGGCTCACCACCATTGTAGACCCCGGTTCGCACAAGGATCGAGTGCCACTTGCTGCCATGTTCACTCCGGTAGCTGTTAGCGCCACGGATATCTGACTCTGGGTTGTCTCCGATCATATACACATTCCGCAAAGGCTGCTGAGCGTCCGAGCCGAATACTCTAGCACGGTTGCGCAAGAGCTGATGCTCCGCAAACTCGTACGTCCCCTGGTAAGGCTTGCCAATAATGGTCTTCTTTAGCTCAACGCCTTTGCTCGGGCCTCCAGTCACAGCAGCCCAGATGCCTTCCAGTGCCTCGCGGAATCCTCCCTGGCCAAGACGAGGAAGGTGGTAGGCTGCAGCCCACCAGAGGTCTGGGTTCGAAAAGTACAGATGCGGCTGCCCATCTTGTTGGAAACCCCGATTAGGGAGATCAGTCCGACCGTTCTTCTCAGAAATGGTGCCTATCACGCCTTCCGACGATAGTAGGACGTCGGTGATGATCTGAGCGTCCAGAGCCCAGTCCCGCGGGTCATTGAAGACAAAGATGGCGTCAATCTTCAACCCTCTCGAGGGGTCATTGGGATCCTTTGGGTTTGGCAATGGCTTAGAAATCTTCTCGTAATAGCTCTGGAAAGACCTAAAAGGCCAGATAGATGGGTTCGCCATGTAGATGTCGCCGGGTGTCACCACGTTCTTGTAGCCGTACCTGCATCCATTGTTAAGACGATCATCCACGAAATGTTGGGAACAAACATAGGCCTGCATACATCTGCGCTACCTGGCGACAACGATCACCTTCTCCTCCAACTACCAGCACGCATTTGTTCTCTAGGGCACTCTGCTCGTCTGGTCCGCGCACAAGCTCCGCAAAAGGCGAATGGCTTTGAACGATTACCTCCGGCTCCAATGGGACCTGGAGCTTCTCGCTTATTTCCGCCACTCGTTCAGTTTCATGTTTTCCACCACCATTTGTCAAGAGGAGAAACGGGATGTTCTGTTCTTTGAGAAGGGCTAGCGACTCAGCGGCTCCGGGGATAGGTTTAGAGGATCGTAGCAGCACGCCATCGATGCTAAACACCAGTCAGACTGTATGCTACACCAGCGTGGATAGAAGTTGCTTACTCACTCGAATGCAAAGGCGAAGTCAGGGACGCGGGAATTGGCAGTTTGAAAGGCACGTCGGCCCAGACCAGTGTTTACCAAAGAGCGGGTGGAAGTACTCTGCAACAGCGCAAGGGAGCGCCAAAGAGACTGCGATCGCATACTCGAAGTGTTAATAGTAAATATCTAATAAGTATGAGAAATAACAATCACAAGCAACAGCGGTGAACGGATACAATTGAGCGGATGGGAGTCGTCCGGATGACAGGGAGCTGCAGAAGAACAGGCCGGAGGAGAGACGTGCGGAAGGCGGAGATGCAGCTGGCAATCGGCGGAATGATATCATCTCGCTTCTCCGCCATTTTCTTTTCCCCTCACATTTTCTTGATCGCCATCCGACTTACTTTTTTGCTTCCCCACCACACAACTTGCATGACTGACACTAGATATATCTGTCGCCCCGGGCAGCTACATATCTCCCCCACCCATGTCTGCGGACTCTTGATTTCGACCTGCCATGGGCATTGATGCATTCCATGACTGCCCATAATGCCTTTGATGCCCTCACGCCAGATTTATCTCCCCACAGAAATTGTGGTGGAGATTATCACCTACGCCACCGCAGATGATGGCCATCGCCAGGCCACTCTCCACGCCTGCTGCCTTGTCTCTCGCCAATGGTATTCCGTAGCCATACCATATCTCTATGAGAAGCCGCGCGTGAGCGCTGGGACGGCTTTCAAGAATTTCACCGACACTATTTGTCCGACAATCGGCGCACGAAAGAACAAGATACAATTGGGCAGTCTAGTTCACAAATTGGACCTAAGTGGCCTCGTATATCATAGTTCCAACAGTTTGACCGCACGACTGCTGGGAAGGGTGAAGGAGAATCTGGAAATCTTCCTGGCTCCAAGAATTTCCTTTGCGTAAGTCTAATCTATATGCTCGTTGTGCATGCCTTCTGCCCACTCCAGATACCTGATTCTGATACTATTAAACAGCATCAACAGCCTTCCGGCTCTCTCCAAATGTACAAACATCAGACACCTCGACTTATCGCTAGTGGGCGATCCAATTCCCTTTCCCGACCTCAAGAAAGCGATCAGCAAACTCCGCAGACTAACTACCCTTCGCCTTCCGCGCTCAACCTCCATCACCACCTACGACGACGCTGCAGCCACAATAGAATGGCCTCCTAACCTCCAGCGCCTACAGTTCAGCGGCCACTACCGTTCTATACCCATGTCCTCCTTTCCTTGGCCTCGCACAATGACTACCCTAACCCTCAAGAACTGCGCCGATCTCTCCATGTCCAGCCTCGGCAGCCTAATGAGCAACCCCCAACTAGCCAACCTGAAACGCTTCATCGTCTCCGCTTCAAACCGTAACCTGCAACCCGAATCCATCAATGCCATTCCCGTCTTCCTCCCTGAACTAGCCTCCCTCAGCATCCCTGGCGACTTAGTCAACGATTCCTTCTTTGATATCCTCAGTCACATGCACCCCCCACTACCGCTCGAGGATCTTGAATTCGGATTCCCAAGTCTAGACGCCAACATAACCTTCAGCACAAGCTCTTTAATTACAGCCATGGAATACGGCCTAGCGAACCTCCGATCGGTCGGCTTCTCTGAGCTGTTCTGCACCAACCAGCGAATCCTGGAAGACACGGAGATCGATGACTTCATTCACAGCCGGTACTCGAAGAAGGAGCGGGGAAACTCCAAATCTTCTTTCAAGAATGGGGTAGAGAAGAGCGATTATACTGATGATGATGACACGATTGGCGTTTATTATATATGATGGTCGGCGTTTCCTTTCCATATACCTTTTTGTTTACATTCCATCAGATGTTTTCGGCTAGAGTTTGTTTATATATTTTGCTTGTTGAAGATTCAATATGATAGACCGAATGTATTTCCGCATGATATTGCTTCGTCCAATGCTTGGCTATCTACTAGTAGTAGTATTAATATAGAAAGCTTCTACAAAACATGAAGCGGACGCATAGAACCTCTAAACAAAATGGTAGATAGATATAGTATGATGACGCTTTTGACTACAGAACGACTCCAGCCACTTCCCCGTTCCACCGGCCACCCGGACAAGCGAAACGGGGAATGGCACGAAGACAAAGCAAGGGGGGCGAGGACATGCTAACATGTTCGAAGAAATGTCAAGGGGAGGGGACAAACATCGGCAGAGAAAAATGGGGGGAAAGAAGTAAAATGTTGAAAGATACAGTCAGCTGGAACACAAACTAAGTCAGATATGGAAATGAAGAGAAATAGGTAATTCGAAAGAATAGGGTAGTTTGACGCCTACGCAAGATATTCATCGCATCTAACTCGGCACCAGAATTATAGATGAAGAGAAAAAAAGAATAAAAAGGGAAATGAAAATGAAGCAGGGGGGAAACAAGAAATATCTGATCTCATAATGCAGGGCTCATGCGCCTCGCGAACATGCCTCCTTTACACATTTACAGGGGTCCATGAAGCTCAGGAAACGGACGCAATCACAGCAGGCGCAACTCCTTCTTCCTCCGCCCGGACGACAATCTTCATGGTCACTCCAGTCTTGCTGGAGAAGGCCATCTTGATAAGGGATGCAACCCGGCCGCCTGTCACTGTCTTTCCGAACAGTTTCAGTGTATGCGTGCTGTTGCTGAGGGCCACATCCGTGCCCTCGAGGGGCTGCAGGGAGAGCGTAGAGATTAGTTGCTCGGTGGCATCTGTAATGAGATTAGTTTTCGAAGATCTAGGCCGGATGTGGAGAAGGGTTGGCCTACCTGAGATGCCCTTCATGTTGCTGAGCTGAAGAGTCTCGCTGACCTCCTCACCGTTGGCACCCGTCTGTTCCCACACGTGGTCGAAGCTGCCAGCAAAGGTTGGGATAACGTAGTCACTGCCCGTGAGATCAAGGTCCTCAACCTGGTACTCGTCATCATAGCCGCTGTCCTCAGGCTCGCCGGTAGTGGGGTCGATCTCTTTACTGGTGAACTTGAGGTTGTTCGTAAAGGAGATAACAGGAACGCTGTGCTCGCCAGCAAGTTTCTTGAAAGTGACGTAAACAATACCGGGCTCATTCGTGGCCAGCTTAGGAGCAGGAACGATAAATTCCTCCTCCAAAACATCTTCCTCCGACGGCGTCGCAACTACTGTCACGTCTTCCAGAACAGTGTCCGGCAGAGTGTTCTTGATGTCGTACTGCAGCACAACGTGCTCCTTGAAGATGTGCTTAACAGCCGTAACCACATACTCCGTCTCGCTCTCAGTAAGTTCAACAGGCGCAGAGGACTTGAGCAAAGTGCCGTACTCCTTGAGCTCTGGAATCTGCATAAGCTGTTCGGCGTATTTCTGAGTGGCGGCGACCGTGACGGCCTCGGCCACACCGTTGGCCTTGCCCTTGGGCGGGCCAGTCGAAGGTGCCTTGAGAGTGGGCGTCGCGCTTGTGAGCTTCTTGGTCCGCTCCTCAGCCAACGCCTGCTCCTGTGAAACAACCGGGATCGTGGCAACGTCGAATGCAGCATCGAACGTCGCCTTGTCTGTTGATGTAACATACATCACGAGCTGGTGCTCGAATGTCGAAAGCGAATACATGGATTCTGATGTCGTTAGCAAAGTATAAACAAGCCTAGTTCGCAGAAAGCTTACCGTTGCTGATAAAGCGGCTAGCAGTCTCATCCTCTTCGCTCATCAACCGCAGATTGAGGGCAGCACGGTCACGCACTTCGTCATCGACGTCATCCAGGCATCGGGTGAGAAGGACAGAAACACTGGACTTGACTTCAGGATCCTTCTGTCCGACACCGAACTTGGCCAAAGCGGTCACGGCGGCAGCTCGCACAATGGCATTCTCCAAAACGACACGGTTGTAGATGTAGCGAATAAACTTGGTAGGGTGTGACGTCTTAGGTCCCTCCACACCAAGCAAGTGCAATATCCTGACGGACAACTTGGTGAACTCGCAGTCCTCGATGAATTCACACAGATGGGCGAGCGCTAGTTCTGTTAGTTAGCACGAAAAAAGACCCAGAGCTTCCAGGGGAGAGCTTACCATCCTCCTGGCTTTCGGGGACAAACTTGATGAGGTCGAACATGCTCTCAACCACACTGCGCTTGAACTCGTAGCCACCCTCATCTCTCAGAATGCCGCTCAGGAACGAAAGCATGCCGGCCTGCTTGCTAGGGAACTTGAGGCACAAGGTGCGAATGGCTTCCACAATTGTGATCTTGAATTCGTCCGTGATGTCTGCCATGAAGCCGGAAATCTGCTTCATCAGGCGATCGACGCTGGCCTCGTTACCGGTCTTCAGAAGAGTCGTGATGGCAAATGTGGCGATGGAACGGTTGGAGTTGGAGATAAGGGCTTCGATATCGGGGTTGCAGACGTTCACCACGTGAGGCTTGAAGCTTGCGAAGTTATGAAGGATGCGGATTGCAGCAAACTTGGTGATAGAGCGGGGCGAGGAAAGGAACAGCTGCAAGACATGGACGGCCTGGGAGGCTTCCGCGTCCGAGACATCCCTCATATCGCAGATGGCCTTTGCCGCTTCGAAGTTGACCATCTCATGCTTGTGTCGGAGCCAGCCATCAAGCATCTGCATCATAGGCTTTCTCAAGCCCTGGTCTTCTTCCGCCAGCTTAGCCGCCAACCGCACCAGAAGGACAAGAGCCGCGGGGCTCTTGACCACTCCAGCCGCACCATACTGCTGAACCATCTTCACCAGAGCCATACGGTCATGCGAGCGCATCTGGTAAAGGAGACCAATGGCGTGGTATTGAGTCATGAAGTTCGATTGCGAGATGGCGTGAGCCTGAGAGCTGCCACCAAACCCAAGGAATCCAGTCGATTGCTTCCCGCCCGAAGCAGCCTCTTGCGTCTCACTCTGCCATCTACGGACCACATCGCGCGCGATCGGAAGAAGGTGATAGGAGGAGACCAGCGCTGCGGAGGATACCGAAGGGGTCTTGTCGACGATAGCGGTCTTGATTAATCTCTCGATACCTTGCACAGTAGTAGCCTGCATGGACGACCATTATCAGATATCTCGTTTGACAAGAGAGTAGGGGTTCCCAATGCGCTTACGTCAATGATGCGGCACAAGGCACGGATGGCATTTGCCCGATACAGAACGTCGCTGCCGACAGCAGTGTCCTTCATGATAATGCTGGTTGACATGATCACATCCTCCGCCGTGTTTGCAAGTTCCTTCAAGATCAGGTAGACCATTTGTCGCAGAGAAGGGTCCTTGTTCTGGAATAGCTTGGAAATGCCGAAGAACAATGTGGTGGCCTCGTTCGTGGGGAACTGCTCCCCGGTAAAAAGGAGGACGGCGATCTTGGTCAGGAGAGTACGGCATGTTCGAGGAGATATGGGAGAGGAATTGAACAGTCGCGCTATAGAAGAGCAAGAGAAGAAAGTCAGCAATCACGTTCAGGGACTTGATGCGACTCCAGAGAAGAGCGAAACTGATAGACCCTTACCATCTTGAAACACGGAGGTCCGATCCAGCTTGATCATGGACTGATCAGCGTCCTCATCTTTCTTCATATAAGACATTGTGACGGGCTGCAGTGATTGCCGCAGCAGCACAGTTGTTTAATGGCTCTCTCTAGGTTGAAAATGGGCCCCGTACGGGTGACGTCGGGGGATTGTTCAATGGGAGACGAATAAGGGCGGGTCAGTATGATGGGTTAGTCGTAGTGCAGGCGGTGTATGTACACGACTATGGCGCCCTCATTATCTTTCAAAGACAAGATTGATGGAAAAAAAAAGGGGGGTGACCAGTGAAGGTATAGAGACACTTGCCCAGTCCCCGGAAAAGAAGCCGAAAGAGAGAACGACAGACCAATGGAGATAGTAGAGGATGGGTGTTTTGGCCAGGGCAGCAGCAACAGCAGCTCTCCCGACGGCCTCCAACAATCTCCAGGTGGCCTTCCGCGTCTGTGGGCGGCTGAGCCACAGGGCGGTGTGGCTGACCCTGCAAACGGAGCAAACACGCGGCATGTCTCGCCGCAGAGGGTCCGTAGATTGTGTAGGCTGCTGTCTTCCTCCCTGACTCTTACCATACCATTTGGTAGATCTATAAGATCATAAGAGCTCATAAAACATCCTAAGTCCCGCCGCAGTCATGCAAGTCGAAGTCAACCCTAATGAGGATACCGAATGGTCAGATCATCGACATCGTCCACCACCGTTAGCCATACAAGCTTACACCCCGCAGGAATGACATCCTCCGCAAACATGGCGTTATCCCCGAGAAGCCCCAAGATCCCGAACCTCTCATTCAAGAAGCCCTTGTCGAGGCAGAGCGCAAGGCATATGAAAATAGACTAGAAGATAAGGATTTGGACGAGTTGGATGCACTGGAAGATGAAGAAGATGAGAATTTCCTCGAACAATACCGGTACTGAGATGATCGCTAGCATGCCCCTGACACAGGTACCAGGAAGTTCGGCTTCACTAACGATGTGTACCAGTCAAAAACGATTCGCAGAATTGTCTACACTCCAGCAAACTAGTATTCATAACCAAGTATACCCCCTACAAAAAGTCGATTACGCGCGCGAGGTGACCGAAGCCTCGAACAAATGCTTTGTGCTCGTTCATCTGAGCTCTTCAGGCGCCAATTTCGAATCGCAACGGTTGACCGAATTATGGCGGCAATTAGCGGCAAAGTTTGGTGACATAAAGTTTTGTGAGATTCGAGGCAACATGTGCATCGAAGGTTATCCGGAAAGAAACACCCCCACTATCTTGGTGTACAGAAATGGCGAGATCATGAAACAGCTCATAACCTTGCGGGAGATGAAGGGGCCAAGGACTACTGTTGAAGGTAAGGACTGTTCTTCATATTTGCTTCTTCGTTTCTAACACGAGACTCGTAGATCTGGAGAAGATGCTCTTGGAATTAGGTGCCGTCAAAGAAAGCGATGTCCGTCTGAAGAAAAGGTCGGACTCTTCGGAAGATGAACGCCCATCCAAGCTGAAGTCCTCGAGGCCCACAGTGGAAGATGACGACGATGACTGGGATTAAGGAGGTATAATCGGTAACTATGAATCTTAAAATCTGGACGGTCGCGGTCCTCTCTCCGTGACTGGGTTCCAATGACCCTTTGAACCAGATGGGCATCGAATCGTATCCTTGCCGACATATGCACGGGAATTTCGCCATGCATCACATAGATCACACTAGGGGTTCCAGCTTGATAACCTGGCAGAGAATTGGTCATGCTGGCTAAACCAATTTTCTACATCTTTGTTTAACATGTAGAGCTCCGTACCACCAGGGTTTCCAGCTTTCGGTTCGTTAACTAAAAACCTATCACATAGTAGGTAGGCAGCCAGCCAGCCAGCCAAACTTTGAACACGAATGTGTTAGCATTTTATACTTTCTAGTACCTTAACAATCCCTCTAGGTTCTATCTCAGTACAGACCCAAGTATGTAGTAAGTAGTAGTAAGCGTCCGCCAAAGTGGGTCTCCGTGGCTGCAAATAGCCATGTGCTTGATTTTGTCATTTACAAAAATAACCAAATTCTTTACATAGAGAGAGACATCTAGAGCAATATAACAGATGGCTTGCATATGACTTCAGTTGCCTGAGAATCAATATTCGGTCGATCGCTGCAATTCATCTCCAATGACAGCCGGGAGCGTGATATCCCTCGGCGGCTCCAATTCTGGCTATAATTGGCCTGGGGCTCCCACCGGGCGGGATTGTCACTGCGCGGTTCCATCCCGAGTCCATCGCTGCCGTGATTCCAATTCTAGGCCCGGCTGTCTCTCTCCCTCCCTACTCTTGGGGTTCATACCTCCTCATCAATCCACAAGAACAGCATATATCGTATCTTTCCTTCCCCAGGACGAGGCGAGATGGATTATTCGTTCTATTCAAACCATCCCCAGCAACCTTATCCTCTCTACGGCGTCCACGGGCTGCCCACTCCCGACCAAGGCAATTCGGCCCCTCAAGCCGAGGCCATCCAGGGCGCTTTCGCTCCTTTGGTCGGTCCCTCTTGTCTTTGTGGATACTAAGTCATATAAACTTCTCACGACGCTGACTTGTGGAAAGGGAGCGCAAAACTACCAGTCTTTCGATCCGAACTTGCGCTTTCAGGATCCTCACGCAGCCGCTGCCTTCGTTGCCCCGCCACACTCGCCTCCCGAGTCCCTCACCAAGCAGTCGGTCACCAGCAATGAATTTTCTAGCCAGAACGTTGATCGAGCCTCTTACGATGGAGACGATCAGCTCTTAGACCAAAGTCTGGGTCGGAGCAGCAGCGAGGAGAAAGAGAGTCTGACCCCGGCGCAATCGAAGCGAAAGGCCCAGAACAGAGCTGCGTGAGTGGTTTCAGATCGAGGACTGTGTTATATGCCATGAAACTAATCTTTGTATATTGAATTCAGCCAGCGCGCATTTCGTGAACGCAAAGAGCGCCATGTGCGTGAACTGGAAGAGAAAGTTAACAACCTTGAAAATGCATCAAACACTCTTGTGGCGGACAATGAGCGACTGAAGAGAGAGCTGGCAAAGTTTACGACCGAAAATGAGATACTTCGGGCAACATCAACTTCAATGCGCCAATCAGGCCAGCGCTCCACCGATGAGGAACCGACAACGACAGGGCCATTGCAATACGCGCCCACGGATTTCAAATCCGATGCAGTTGGGGGTAATGGCCCCGCTCATCGCATCACCATATGCGGAAAGACGGGTGAGAAACTGCTTGACTCGGGAGCCACCTGGGATCTCATCCAGAATCATGAACTCTTCAAGCGTGGCCTAGTGAATATTGGCGATGTCTCGGGTCGGTTGCAAGGTAGTGCTCAGTGCGATGGGCAGGGGCCTGCCTTTCGGGAAAGCCAGGTCATTCAGGCCATTGAAGAAAGTGCAGCTGCTGGCAACGATGACTTGTTGTGAATTCGCTTGTTAGCATGGATTCAACGATGCAATGTCTTGCTTCTTGGTCGCTTTATTTCGGTGCACGGGCGTCAGGGTTTGTTTTCGGAGTATATACCGTTTTTCACAAGCTTCATGGAACATATGCTGCGATCTGCTACTGTTTCGTGAAGTGGAGGACCCCATTGAGTCTTTCCTGGAGTCATTGGAGATTTAGGAGTGAACCATTATACCTACTGCTACCAGAGTTGATCTCAAATTTGAATGGGTTTCCTTGTTCTCGGGCTCAGACTACTATTGGTTGACCCCCCTGGGTACTCTGTTTGCTTAGGGCTACGTAGGACTGCATGTGCATTGCCACGGGTTCTGTAATTTGCGCTATCCGGAGTGAACCCTCACCCATGCTGCGGTACTAACCTAACAAGGACCCGACAGATTGAAGTCCACTGATACCTTACAAGGCATGTTTGCTCGACGATCAATGTGAGCTATGGCCCGGTTGTATCTTGAACACTTTTGCCCGACAATGGCTCTTGAAAGCCAATGAGCATAACCCGCAAGATGAGGAGACAATCTTACTTTCTTCATCAAAACAATTGGGTATATTAGCTACTCCGTAGTAAACAACCCAATGTGTGCTGGCTAATCTGAACACGATGCATACAGCTGCACCGCTTGCGTGGTGTAGATCCAAGCGACGTTGCCCTGGGTAATCATGCGTCAAGGTAAGGGCGACATGATAGCACTATGCTGGTTATATAAGAATCGGAGAATAAGAGCGAGAGAAGAGTGGGATGTGTGGCCCCAATCAAAGTACTCCCTATCTGGTTGTTTGTTTGGGGGATGGGAGAGGTGAGGCTAGGAACAATTACTCCAGACAGCACTACAACCATAGATTGAGGGGGGAAACCCCGACGGTGCAGACAGAAAGGGTGGATGCAGTCTGCACCTTGTACCTAGTAGTAAATGCATACGTGGATGAACGGAGCGATTCAATCTGCCAACCTGCAAACGCCAACGTTTCCTTTACCTGAAAGACTACTACAAAACACCCCGCAGTCGATAGCTTCGAACTCTTGGCAACAATTGGCCTGTGCAGACCTGAAATTGACTGGTAAATTCCCTTTTTGTGTGCATGAGAAGAAGAACACACGGGGTGTGTTTTTTTTCTTTTTCGTGGTTCTGATGAATGGATTAATATTACTTACTATCTATGTGGTGGTGATTGAATTGGGATCATCGTTAGCGGTGAGACCAGGGATGATTATTTGCGGGATTTACCCTCAGATCAACCCCTGATTATTACAGTTGCTCAATTACTCAATTCGTTAGTGACTACCTGACCACCTTCGTCATCATCCTGGAAGGGAATCAGGTGATGCCAATGATGTTTTCTTGATCGCCAATGCTATACTATACAGGTGTTCCATCTTGAATCGACGTGGTACTACTTACTTGAGCTGCACGTTGATCTGGCCCAGTAGGTGTTGTTGTGGGAACATACACACCCCCCAGAAGTGGAGAGGGGGGAGGTTTACTAGTACGTAGTAGAGAAGAAAGAGGGAAAAAGGGACGTGTTAGGTATTCTCCGATCCATCATGTCTCAGGCACTGATCAATGGTCCGATAAGGCGCGTGTGTTTGGGCCCCAAAAAAAGACTTCCCCCCAATTAACTAACACCAAACTAATTGAGGGCCCCCGTAAGCCCACCGTATTTAATTTACCTTCACGAGGAGTTGCAAATGCGGTATCCGGGGTCACCTGTTCACCGCCCGGGATCAATCGGCCATACTAGGAAAGGGAGACGTTCCATTCCGAGGGTGAAGTACTACTAATCCAAGGTAGAAAGAATCAGGGTAAATTGATGAGATGAGGTGAGAGGAATTTTCTCCTTGCCTCAACGACGATCGGGTTTTAAGGAGGCGAATGGTGTGGTACAGGGAAGAATAATGGGGTCTACACGGATGGTGTTCATTCGCCTCTAGTTAATGGAGGAGGGGGGAGAGGTGTAGTACTGAGCATCATCTCATCATCGATTTGAGGTGAGGTGCTTTGGGGTCACCGCGGGTAAGAGGGAAAAGAAAGTAGCGTGAGGGAAATAATCATCCGCCACAAACCGCGTAAAAAAACTAACTAGGTAGCTTTGGGGGGGATAGTATGGAACATTTGCTTTTGGGTTTAGGTTATTTTCACTTCGTGATTACCCATGTTCTTGCCACTATCGCCAGACTTTTTTTTTTTTCGCCGCCTAACATGCTTTTTGGGTACTTCTAGAATGTCTTTGGATCAAAGCGGATCGTTTGCCTCATCTCTTTTCGTTTTGTTGCATTGGAAGCGAGGCACCTGGATGTATGGAATGGTTACATACGAGGTACGATCCTGTCTGCCTTAGGCAACCAGCCGTGATAGGTACAACCCGGATGCATCATGACCTAGTCCAATCCTGCTGGGCTGTCAAGTTCGTTGACTAGTTAACCTTGTTCAGTAGTTACTAAGAAAAGCATCAGAGACCTACGCACACAATAGGGTAGCCTCAAGAGATACCCGAGCTATAGTTAAATGCAAAATGTTTTGTGTGGTGAGAATTAAGTACGTAGGGAGTATTGAAGTTGCCCAGGCGTAAACTGCTGGATTGCTTCACCGACTCCTACTTCAGCCACCTCCAGGTTGAATTGCAATTTCCACCCTGCTTGGGAGAGCCTTGTCTTCATTCCTGGTATCTGCAATTCTTCCCGAAAGGACTGGCGTTATCCTTGCCTTGTAGGACCCCAGTTATAGCCTCCTACTTGGCCAGCCGCCGGGTATCAGCATATGAAAGAAGGACAGCCTTGCTTTGAAACAGATCGGATGTTTGGTAGTTGGTTTGTAGCTTAGTTTTAAGGTAGGAAGTAGACTTAGTTGGTGTTAGGTAGCCTTGGATACGGTACGGAGAGGAAATAAAAAATACCACATTTACGATACGCCGGGGGGGAAGGAAGGAAAAGTTTGGGAAACAAGGTGACCAAAAAGCCAGACCCAAACAGGCCAAAACCCAGCGGCCAACCAACCACCGGCGGCTGCTAAACTTATCACAGTCAGTCTTGTTACTTACTTTACTTACTTTCCTTACCCGCCCCCTCCTCTCTGTCTCTGTCTTCTCTGAAGGCTGACCGGCTTGGCTGCTCTCTTTACTCTCGCATTTTCCCTCTCCTCTTTCTCTCCTCTCCTCCTCCTCTCCCTCCCTCTCCCCCCCCCTCTCTCAACCCACCTTCTCCATTATCAAGGCTCTGTCCTTGAGTCTGATATATCCTCCTTTTCCTTCTCTTGTCTCTCCTATCTCTTGTAGGTACGTTGTGCTGCTTTTCTCCCTCGTCTGGTCGGTGACAGCCGCTAAAAGGTCTGTCAGCTTGATCCCCTTTCTTTTTCTCTCCGCCTTTTTCGCCTTTCCGGTCGGGTCGTCACGGTCGGTTCACCCCAACAGTCGACATCACCGCTATCTCATCTCTTCCTTCCCGTTTCTAGACCAGGTTCGTCCGCTTCTGGGCTGCACCTCTCTTTTCTCTATTCCCCAGTGTCACTATTCACCTGTTTTGTGCCTCTCCTCTTGCTTGGCTTGGTGTCTTGCTTTGCTCTTCGTCCAAGCCGCCTGCCCTCAGCAGACTCGCTCTGCCAAGTGACTACGCGCCGGGATTCTCCCTGCACCTTGTTCTTTGGTGATTTTGCCATCTCTCTAGCAGCATACATTGCCTACTGCCTTCACGCCCCTCCTGCCCCCCTCTTCTTTCACAAACACTCTTTATTCAACACACTTCCTCGAGGGAATGATCTCATCGATCTATAACTAACCCGGATACCGACCTTTAGTCTGCTCAACACCTTACTCACACAACACGACGGCGTGTCTAATTCATCAAAATGACGACAATGGTTCGTGGCATTTGAATGTTTTCTTCTTTCGATGAACAGTTATGACTAACACTTCTGTAGGATCTACGTGTCGGTAACAAATACCGTATTGGACGGAAGATTGGAAGTGGTAGTTTCGGTGATATCTACCTGGGTGCGTGACAATTTACAGGAGGTGAGATGAGTTATCTGGAGCAGCTGGCTAATTGTCCATTTAGGCACCAACATCATCTCTGGCGAGGAGATCGCCATCAAGCTGGAGAGTGTCAAGGCCAAGCACCCCCAGCTCGAATATGAAGCCCGTGTCTACAAGTCTCTTGCCGGTGGTGTCGGTATTCCTTTCGTTCGCTGGTTCGGCACTGAATGTGACTACAATGCTATGGTCATCGATCTTCTTGGTCCTAGTTTGGAGGACCTGTTCAACTTCTGCAACCGCAAATTCTCCCTGAAGACCGTGCTCTTGCTGGCCGACCAGCTCATTTCTCGCATTGAGTACATTCACGCCAAGTCCTTCATCCACCGTGATATCAAGCCCGACAACTTCTTGATGGGTATTGGTAAGCGTGGAAACCAGGTCAATGTGATCGATTTCGGTCTGGCCAAGAAGTACCGCGACCCCAAGACTCACTTCCACATCCCGTACCGTGAGAACAAGAACCTCACTGGAACTGCTCGTTACGCCAGTATCAACACTCACTTGGGTGTTGAGCAGTCCCGCCGTGATGATATGGAGTCGCTCGGATACGTTATGCTCTACTTCTGCCGTGGTACCCTTCCCTGGCAAGGCCTGAAGGCTGCTACTAAGAAGCAGAAGTACGACCGTATCATGGAGAAGAAGATGACTACCCCTACTGAGGTTCTTTGCCGTGGCTTCCCCAACGAGTTCTCCATCTACTTGAACTACACTCGTTCCCTGCGCTTCGATGACAAGCCAGACTACTCCTACCTTCGCAAGATTTTCCGCGATCTGTTCGTCCGCGAATCATTCCAGTATGACTATGTTTTCGACTGGACCGTCTACAAGTACCAGAAGAATGCTGCCATGATCGTGGATGCCAACAAGAAGGACAAGGAGGCTGAAGAGCAGCAGCGCCGTCAGGGTGTTGCTGCTGCGGCGCCCATGGGCACCCCCGGTGCTGCCAAGCCCGGTGCCATCTCCAGCCAGCGCCGTAAGGTCATCGAACGTGGAACTCTTGACAACACGCCCGAAACCAACCGGGCCGTGGGAGGGAGTGACAGGATGTGAGTATCTGAAACCTAGGTTCCGTTGTAGGGAACCCCTTTCCTCTGCGTTTGGTGCTTTGTTATGACCCTGTGCGTAGAGGTCGGCTTGAAATCTAGAATCTGACTAATCTCATAGTCTTCGGCGTTAGGCTGCGTTCTGCTTCCAAGGTTGCTGCTTCAGGTGCTTATGGCCCTGCCGGTAGCCGCGCGAAGCGGGACGATGGGTACGGTTCTCAGTGGTACTGATTTGTACAGCATGGCAGTGTAGCTTGACGTTTCTTTTTTCGGTTGCCGTTCAGCTTGCTGCGTGTTGACGCCGCGCTATCTGAGGAGCCTAGGATTACCACTATACCGGCTATCTTCTGCAGCCTGCAGTGAACCTTTCGGACTTATTTCGCCTTGGGCCCCCGACTTTCCATTTTCTTTACTATTTCTCTCTCTGCATTCTCTGTTAGCCCGCCATCCCGTTCAAGATCGTCTTCCGGTTACCGCCGTTTCGATCCGTCGCGTTTATTCAGATCGTCTGCTCGTCTATCGGCTATGCTGAACCTTTCGGAACTACACCGCTCGATGAATACATCACTTGCAAAAACCTGGTTACGTTCATCATACACGAAAGGTCCTTGATAGCAGACTCGAAACGCATTAATTGTGGCTATTCTACGTCTTAGCCTCCCGGTAGCGGTCGTTTCCACATGATAATAATACGTTCACATTGAAGTCTCGCGTGGAGTTGCGCTGCCATCGATCGGGAGGCTAAAGACCGAAGGAGATGCAAAGTTGAAATGATTACGCTTCAAGCACAAAAAGAGATGTCTCTACCGCTGCAACTGTCGCGAGAGTCCCTCATCATGCTTAGCGACCATTTCCTTACAATGCCCCTGCTTTGATATTTCATTTCTTTTCTGCTTGCATGTTTCTTATTTCAGGCTGTCATATTTTTCCTACTCTTGACGCACAAACGGGGACGATGAGAATGAAGGAACGACTGGTGGAGAGGTGTTGGGGAGGTGCTTCTTTTTCCCACATGTCCAGGTGCTTTTGCGCTTGTCCTTGCCAAAAAACAAGGGCAGCCTGTAGTGCTTTGGGCGGGGAGAAAGCGCGTCTCAAATGGGTATGTGGCGACGGAAACTGGCTAGGGTCGCTTCCGGGGTGGTATTGCGTCGATTCCTGTCACTTTCACATGTTTTTCCTTGTGTATCGTCTCAATTGTTAGCATCGGTCATCTACATACTGAGAGGGGGTAGTCAGTGGGATCAGCCGGGCAGAATGTTGCTTTATGCAGCACGCAACTGAGCCGGTTCCCACTGACTCGCTACCCAATCGGGAACTATACATCTCGCAATCTGGTACAACGATGTAGAACAAGAGTCTCGACGTAGTTGACTCTGCTGTTAGTCGCCACAACTGTCCGATAAAGCACGCATAATGTCTACCCCTCCATTTCCTGCATTCCAAAGAAGGATGCCTTCAAGCAATAAGCAGACCAAGAGCAGCTTGCCACCTATCCATACCCAATTGAGTAATGCAAGGCCGGTACAGCCACCACCTAAACACATCATATGACATCTTGTATTCTATGTATGCGTTACTCACGTTATGTAACTTTACAAAATAGCAAGAAAGATCACATCATAAACCAAATTAGGCATATACATTCATTCCTTAAGTGGACACCTCAATACTCGTGAAGATGTCCAACAAGGATCTGTCTCCCCTTCTGCCTGACTCACTGGACTCCAGTCTCATAGTGACTAATCACTATGTTCTAACTTGACTATTGGCTGCTGCAGTTTACTCAATGGTAAGAGTAATTAAAGGTGGGCATGTACGCCAGCCATATGTTCAATGAGGATCTAAGGGAATCTATCTCTAAGTAACTATTAACCTATGAAATCTATCTTGAGTGGGGGGGGGGCAATACAGTACGGGTTGGTTTACGATTTCCAAGTCGTTTCGGTGTGAGAAAATCAGAAGTAGATTCAGACAGAGGCTTCGTTAAGTTAAAAAGTAAACAAAGTAATAGAGGAGTAGTAGTAGTACAGTCCAAAGTATGGAAGGTTGAGAAAGAAAAGAAAAGAAAAGAAAATAGATGAAAGGAAATGAAATGAATAAAAAGGTGGATGGGGTATAAAAGGGAAACAAGAACGAAAGGGGGAAATGGGGTGGTGAGAGTTGAATAAATAACAAAGGTTGAGGCTTATTGAAAGGCAAGGAAAAATGCTTGTAGCCACTAGCCATCAATCAATCAGCTGACTCGTGACATATACCACACACATACACACAGACACATTTGATCTCTCATTAGGACATGCTTGCTGTTACATGATTCGTCCCGGAGTGGCGAGGCTCGATCTTCTCTGTGGAGCTGGTCTCCTCGTCATCCAGACGGCGCCTCCACTCGGCTAGACTGTCGCTCAGCCCCGTCTCCCTGGTTGGGGTTCGATCAAAGTCGGACTGCGTACTCAACCGATAGTTACGGTTGTTGCTCTCCCACTGAGTGCGCAAGGCTTCCAGTTCGTTTGCAAGCGAGTCCAGCGCCACCGAGTTTCGGTTGTCAGGGAAAGCGTCGTCTTGAGACACGGCACTATCAGCCCGGGACCGACGGCCCGCACCGATAGTGTTGCTTGAGGCGTTACTGTGGGTGCGAGAGACGCCGTTAATTCCTTGGACAGGCTGTGACTGCCGACGGTAATGCCCAACTGACGCCTCAACCTGGTCAAGCAGCATGGTAACCTTCTGCTCGGCATCGGACGCACGATTCTCCAACAAGGCGTTCTCCTGCTTGAGCTGCTCCAGCTCAGAGCGGCTTTTCTCTGCCGCAGCAGCAAGTTCCTGCTTGATACTTGCGAGTTCAGATTGCGATTTGGTCTTGTCAGCCTCGGCGGCTGCAGCCTCTGCTCTCAGCCTGGCAACCTGACTCTCAAGGTTGGCGATGGAGGCTGCTGTATCTTCCTGGAGATCGGAGATTGACTGCTCGAGTCTCGAGCGTTCGACCTCCCAGTCAGCAGGAGCTTGCGAAGACTTGCCAGACGATTCAGCAAGAGCTGTCTGTGCCGCGTCGAGCTCCGACTGAAGCTTGCCGTTCTGAGACTTGTACCGAGCAAGCTCATCCTTCATGCGCTTCAGCATCTTTTCAGTGCCCTTGACGTAATGAACAGCCGACTGGTAGTCATTTTCTAATTGCTCAAGCTTCTCTCTGTATGCGCGGTCGGCTTCCTGCTCACGAGTCTCGAAAGAGGACTTCAATTCTTCGTGGGCTTTCAAGCTGGTGGAAAGCTGTTGTTCCAGTTCGCGAAGCCGACCTTGCTCGGGAGTTCCGAAACGAGACCCAGGCGACTCAAGGGGCGAGCGTCGGCTATCGGCATAATTGACCCCACGCTCTCCCAGAAGGTCCTTCAAGGCAGCATGCTGGACAGCCAGAGCACCGGCCTCGCGCTGGTGGTTCTCCAGCTGTGACTTCAGTTCTCTGTTCTCAGCAGAGTGACCCTGACTTTCCTTCATAGCTGTTTGCAGCTGCCTGCGAAGCTGCAAACCCTCCCTACTAGCCTGTTCCTGATACGCCTCCAGTCCAGCAATCCTCTCCTCTGCACGACGGAGTTTGTCTGCTGCTTCATCTGCAGCAGCTTGACTTGTCTTTGCCAATTGGTTGGCCCTCTCTATCTGAGCTTCCAAAGCAGAAACCCGCTGATCGGACAAGGAGCGCAAGGATGCTTCAGAATCGAAGGATGACGCACGCTCAAGACCCAACAAGAACGCATTCTTATGGGTCTCGGCTTCCCTCGAATGACTCTGCATGAGCTCCTCGGCATCTCGCAAGCGACGTGTGGCGTTCTCTAACTCTGCTGACCTTTCTTCGTGCTCCGAACGCAACTGCAACAGCTTCCTTTCTAAGCCTTCACGCCGCTCACGTTCCTCATCTAGTTGTCTCTCCAGAAGTTGGGACTTCTCAGATGACGCGGTAACAGCCTCCCGCAGGCCGCCGAGGTTAGTGCCATAGTCCCTAAGACGGGTGGAAGAGTCCTCGAGTTTCTGCAGAAGCTCCTCTTTGTCCAAGGACAATTGCTTCACTGCTGAATCGGCCTCCGATCGCAACAGACTTTCTTCCCTGAGCGACGCCTCCAGCTGATGAAGCTCCGCCCTAAGACTTTCAGCCTCTAGTTTACTGTTGTGCATTTCTAGTTCGGCCAGTCGTCTCCGGGTGGCTTCACATGTCTCCTCCGCAAGCTCACGGCCTCTCTTTTCCTGATCAAGTTCAGTGGTGATCACTTCCAGCTTGGATTTGAGCTCATTCTGCGACGCGAGAGCCAAAGCTAGCCTTCGGGTTAGATCTGTGCCGCGTTCCACAGACGTATCTTCGGATTCCTGCGCATTTCCATCCGGTTGCGGGGTGCCCCTTTGACTTCCACCATGAGCAGCCAACTTGGCACGAGAATAAGCGGCTTCATTGACAGCAACATCCCTTTGGTGCTCCACCTCTGCAACACGTTTAGATGCGATGGCCGCCTGGCGATCGACTGTGGCCTGCATTTTGGCCAGCTCTGCTCTCATGGCAAGGAATGCTTCGATCAACGGGCGATCCTCATCCGCAAATGCATCTGCGGCACGCTCATCCACACCAACGCTGTTGGCCGGATTGGGTGCATACCCGGCCTTCTTAGCCAAGGCAAGTTCGGAAGCATACCATGCATTACGGCTTTTCACCGCTTCCAGCTCTTTGATTAGCGCTTCCTGGTGGGGCGTCAGTCTGGGCGACCGTGGTTCATCTCCAGATCTTGAATTTCTGTAACTCCTCGACTCCGTTGAACCATCGATACTAGCATGTTTACCAAGGATGGATTCGTCGGCACTGTCCATAGAACTGCGTTGCCGGTGCTGGCGCAAAGACCGTTGTCTAGTTGGCGCACTTATAAGGGGTGCAGCCTCACCAGCTTCCATAGCCTTGGCAGACATTCTTGATGGCTGCTGGGTTGGCGTACGGCGACCGCCCGATGCGGCACTCGAGTCTTGCGCCGGTCGGGCTTCTTTTGGCGAGTCCCTGGCAGCTGGTGATTCTCTATCCCTGTCGGGCCCCATGGCTCGAGCGGTATCCACAGGCGGGCCTCCATAAGCACGATCCGTCTTCGTGGGCGTCTTGCTTCGGGGATTCATGGCATTCTGAGGAGTGTTGCCTCTTTGACCAGGTGTAGGGGCCTGTCCCGGGGGAGGAGGCCCCGCGGGGGCTTGCGCTATCGACGCTCTGGGCAGTCGGGATCCTGGCCCTGGAGTAGGACCAAGGTCCGCTGGTCTACCAGTAGGGCTGGTCATAATGCTCTCCCGTGACTGGGGGGGTGGTCCACGTCGTTGTGCGTCAGGTTGGTTCTGAGATTCCCGCGATGTCCGACCCGTCGGTTGCATTGCACGGTCCCCACTCATCTTCCGCATCGCTTGAATAGGAGCTCTTTCACCAGATTGGTTCTCAGCTGGGTAGCGAATCTTGGCGGTATCTAGGATATATGCCATGCTGAGTTCGACAGGATCCCTCGGCGCAGAGCTCGGCTCACCCGCCAGAACGATGATTTGCTTTCCAAAGGCGGTCATGCTATGACCAGACCTTGGAGAAGGCGCAGGCCCCATGTTTTGGAAAGAATACCATCGTCGCGTGGAGATGCGGAATGCGGCCAAATCCCCGAGGTCAATACCTTCGTCGGTTCGTCCTCCAAAAATGTACATAACGTCGTTAACAAGAGCCGCAGCGTGCCCTTCACGAGGTGTTGGGATGAAGCCGACGCAATCCAACTGAGTCCAGGTGTTTGCACGAGGGTCATACGACCAGACATCATTGAACCATTGCAAGCCATTCGTTCCTCCAAACCTGGAGCAGGGTCAAAAATCGAGCGCATGAATCAGAGGGCAAAGAGGGTGTAGACGAAGTATAGACACTTACAGATACAGTTTGTCGTTGAAGCTCACTATTGTATGGTTCGTTCTGGCGGGCGGAATTTGACCGGGCGGAGGGCCACCTTCGTGGCTATTCCGAATAAGGAATTCCCACTTGTTCCCCGGATTCTGAAGCTGGTTCAAGTCGAAACAAACCAGGTCGTTGAAGAAATAGCCTTCGACCTGTCCACCAAAAACATAAAGTCTAGAGCCAAGGATGTTGAGAGTGTGGCCGTAACGCCCAGCAGGTCGAGGACCTGGGGGTATCGATCTGGACCATTGACGAGAAGCTGCAACCCAGACATGTTAGAATATGAACACCCCAAAAAGTCTCAAGTGAATGAGACTATTGCATGCATACGTACATGTGTTCAAGAGATAGAGCGTGTCATCCAAGGTGTCGGTTTCATCCACCTTAGTATCGCCTCCAAATACGATGAAAGCGTTACCAACCAGCAGGCTGGCATGGCCGACTCGCGGGCCTGGCCCTTCGGAGACAGTAGCGATCGGGAAGCAGGACAAGTTACCGCCGCTGTTCTCCATCATCCACAAATCTCCCTTGACAGTTGATCCATCTATTAGGCCACCCATCATGTAGATGTCGCCCTCCTTCGATGCCACCGCATTGATTGCTGCTCCATAACGAGGGAATGGATTTGTCTGGGCGGAAGTGAAGTTCACGCGTCGCTGCGACCATGGATACAATGATGCACCTGGGCTACCGTTCGGGGAGTTACTTGGCGCCGCCTGTTGTGGTCGTTGGCTCTGCGCATGATCAGCCAAGGTTCGGAAAATGAGTAGCACTCATCACAAGCAGAACAGGACACACAATGTTGAGTGTCACTGAGTGAGAAGATCTGGGAAACCAACCTGCGATTCGGATTCGGCTCTCTGGCGCATCCGCGGGTGATCGGGGCTGTTCGTGCCGTTCAACGAGTTCAAAGAATTATTGTAGCTACTGCTGGGCGTCGGGGTCTGGGAATGTGATCCATCCCGTTCTTTGGCGCCGCTGGGCTGCGCAGCCGCTGATGGGTTTGGGCTTGGGTTTGCCGGCGGCCCTTCTGAAGATTGAACGTTTCTTGACGCGGGGGGTAGGCCAGAACCCTGCTGGTGTTTCTTTGATTTAAAGAGGAATGCCATCGTTAAGATTGAGTCGTAAACGGTCGTCTCAAGTACAAAGCAGCGGAGCAACGGCGGAAGTGTAATAGGGAACTGGGGGAGTCCACCAGCTGCACCAGGTCACCTGTACCAACAGAGTTCCAATTGCAATGCGATGGGTATATTATAGATCAAAACAAGAGATCCCACTAAAGACCGGCAAGAGGATAGCTCAAGAGCGCCGGCTTGTTGAACGTTATGAAGGAGCGAACGGCAGGGAGAATTGAATTCGGAGTCGAAAGCAGAGAAACAACAGTAGGGACCGGCGTTCGTTCCTGACGATGCTAGAAAGAGCAGCTAAAGGCACCCCATTCAAATCGACCCTTCTCTTGAAGCCGCTCAACGTATCGATTCGGAGACTGAGAGTGTTATTCTGTCCTTTTTTTTAATTCCGAAAAAGCCTCATTGAAATCCGATGGCGACAATGACAGAGCATGGAGAGGGGTGGAATATAGAAAATCACAAAAAAACAGACAGGGGTGGATAACAGCAAACGGAACGGAACGACTGCGACTAAGGACAAGCAAAGAAGGCCGACGGAAAAGTGGACAACAGAGCACCCAAAGACGAGAAGAACATCAACAAGGAAAGAAAGTAAAAGGATGAAGGGTGCGCGAGCAAGAAGTTGGGGCTCTGGACCTGGAGAATTGGAGGAAGAGAGGAGAGGAGAGGGAGACGAGAGAAGTGAAAGACTCCGGCGTTTCACACTTTCTGGCCAGCCAGCATTAGATAATTATCCACTGGGCTTTTGGCAGCAATTAGTTTTAGTTTAGGGGGGGGGGAAAGGCAGAAGAAGAGCGAAAAGACGGATGGGGATGCGGACCTGCCAGGGCGACACCGCCTCATCGCCGTTCTCCAAGGCAGCTTCTTACTTGCTTACTTTTCCGTCTTGCGGGTAAGTTAATCTCATTTCCCTCCCTGTCAACACACCCCAAAGAAAGAAAGAAAAAAAAAAGTAAATAAAGGTCAATCCATCCTCCCACGAGGCGTTTCCATTCCCCAGACAGTGGTGTTGGTACATCCACCCTCCCATACCTCAACTCTTTCTTAGTTACATTCCCACCTCTTCCCACCCTCCCCGAACCACCTTACAACCTCCCCCATCCATTTCAGGCCTCATTCTACTACTGAATGGCACAGACAGCTAGATACAATTAACTTGTGATTCTCATTCCCCTTGTCTTACGGGTGGATTTCCATCAAATTTCGATGAATCTTCTGTCAGGATCACATTAATCTGGCTAACAACCAGAGTTCGGTCGATCGGCCTTCAGAATAAGCAATGCAATTCGCAACTGCCGACATGTGTCTGTCGTTGGTCCACTCGGCTTGTCGCTCTACATCGCACCCAGTTGTCTGCTTATTCCTCGATGCATGAACGATAGAGGAGATGTGAAATGCAGGGGTGTCTACACAGACTCGGTCATCTTGAGGAGGGGAAACAGGTATCCTCCATTGCGAGCCAGTAATTGCAATAATACAATGTGAGTGGATGTGGGTTGAGCCACTGGTCATGCAGGAACCACCGCGAGAGGTTGGTTGGTTCCCTTGTGGCTCCCGAGCCACATCATCGACACCCCGAACATTCCACCTGGCAAACAAAACTCATCGGCTGGGCAATGTACGGAGTACCGCCGAAGAAGTTTCTTAAATTATGATTAGTCCGACGATGATATCACATTGGCCACGATCTAAACATCCCTTGCTGATTCAGGGCTATCTTCGATGCAGGAACAAGACATACTTATTTCAAAGTACATTACGGACAGCAGCAACACCCACCTGTCTTGCGGGCGGCGCATTTTTGGAGAAGAATACCGCTCTACGCTATGGCCTGACCAGCCATCACAAAGCTTGCTAGTATCCATGGCTCCATATACTCCATATACCTTTGGTCTCTGGGCCCAGACATCCGGCATCAGCCGGACATAGATGCCCCATTTAGCATCAGACAGAGGGCGGCTCCGTGTCCCAGACAAGCAGACATAAGGTCAGGTTAAAGACTGGAAGATGCGCGAGGGACCTGAACTTTATTTAGTATGCGGATAGCAACGATTTCGTAGTCCCATCCCTTTGTTATGAGCAGCTCCCGACTAGAGCTGAAATCGTTGCAAAGCAAACAAACCGGGGTCATCATAGTCGGCATGGCACTGGCTACGTCACAGTGTGGCTATAGTAGCCAGCAGTTTCGCAAAACGAGGTATCTTTGTCTACAAAGCACTGCGACGCTTCGGATAGGTGAGCTTCCGTTGGAGAAAAAGAAGCAAGCATCATGGTAAAAGTCGAATGTGTCGGTTTGATTGGCGACAGGCATTATTCAGGGATTATGAATCAGGTCGGTTCAAAGTCCTCCACTTTCTAATTCTGGAGGGCAGTTGATCAACGGTAGACTACCTAGCGAAGCTGACTGGCTGGGGAAATACGGTGTAAAGTCCGGATGGGTTAGCGCTGGGGGAGGGCCAGGCTTACAGACTTACAGTTAGCTCCGCCCGTAGCGAGGCTCCTCTCATACAAAATAGCTCGGGACGCTGCCAGAAAACGAAAACCACGAGATTGAGCAGGGCGGAACCAGGGGTTGAACCGTCCCTATTTCTAAGGGGGGTTAGGGAAAAGAGAACCACTAGGGTCAAGCAGAGATCACATTGGTCCCGGCAAAAGGGGCTTGGTCCGCATTATCTGGCCCATCATTCCCACGACAGGCGAACTAATTTCTGGATTCCAGACAACGGTCGGTTCGATCGATATCTACATACCCTGTGTGGTTTAGTGGCTTTTTCCAGTAACCACTGGGACCATGGGAACCGCCAGAGATATGATTCTCAGGCCACTGGGCATGGGGCGCTGAATGGCTGGCCCCCCCTTGTAAACCTGCTTTTTAGTAAGTCTCTAGTAAGGGACGCAGAAAGTACTGACTACTAGTTACTAGCTAACTGGTACCTGTCAGTACTACGTAGCAGGATGCCGCTACCCTTCCTGTCGTAATTTGCAATGCTCCCATCTCTCAATTGGTTTCTTTCAGGGCGGCAGTGGCGCATCGTGATCTGGGCGCTGACGGTTTTGTTTAGTGCTTTTTCAGATGTCCCGTGATGGTGTGCTGCCTTTCTTTTCCCCTTCATCTTTCGCAAGCCACTCAGAAGCCATCACCCGTATCGGGTTCCCTAACTTCACCACCAATGAGGTTGGCTCATACCCATGGGTGAACATGGCCCAGCCTGCAGGGCTTGCAGTAGCCCCATTCTTACCACTTTAATTAGAGCGCATTTGGGGGTGCAAAGAAGGTCGGCTGAAATGAAGCTGCGTCCTTCCGAACATACCTAGTCGTTATTCAGAACTTCTCGGTCGGAAGGGTGCATCCAGTCTACCCTCTTACATAGTATTGGCATACCGACAGACATGGGCAGACTGTTTCACACAGAAGAGCGACTGAAACGAAACATGATCTGACGGCCCTCCGATCGCCGTTAAGCCTACCCGTCTTGGTCCCTTGTCTCTGTTCTCTCCCCCACGCCTCCTTACCACCACTGTAGCAGGGTCGTGAAAATATATTGCTACTGTGTACGAAGTATATACTAGTAGTGGGGGAAGACCAAAAGCGCAATTGCTAACTAGTAGAGCATAACACTTTTTTACCGCCACTTTTTGGAATATTATTCTGATGTCCGCGCATGTCTTTATGTATCAGTTGCATCCTCAGGCTTGTATTGGGAACAAGCTTGTGAATCAGAACGTTTTGATAGAGTGTGAACCGTGTCAATGCCTCTCCTGAACTCCTAATATAATTATAGCTTGGGTGGGTAGTGGATGGAGTAGTTAAAATGATACTGATCTAGTCCGATTTAGGTACGTATGAACACCGGAGTTCTTATCCATGCATAGAGCTGGGTACGCTTAGTCAAACTGCTAGACATGTGACTTGTCAACTCTGTAGTGTAAGCTTCCAGGTACCATGAAAAATGAAGAATGAATATGAAAGTACTTGTTTTTGAAAGAAAAGGAAAACACAAATATTTCCAATACCTCCTCCACCGTAAAGACTAACCCGACCACCGCCTCGGTAGAAATATCGTCATCCATGGGAGCTGCCTAATCCAGTTAAGCGCAGGCGTTGTTGGATATGCTCCGGGGACAACGATGTTCCGTCCAGGCCATGCCAAGAGGATCCCGGCCAGAGCTCATGGTTCTCGCCGAACCAACATCATCAACCAAGTCCCCCCGCGTCTTTGGAAGGGAGCGTCAGCAGTTTCAACTTCCTGGGGAGACCGAATCGCCTGGTGTTTGAGTTCTTTTGGATTCCCTGAACGTGGCAGAGCTTCCTCGCCACAGGGCGTCCTCCCAACTGCTGGCTGCTGACTGTTGACCCTCCGGATTGGGTATGAGAATCGCCTGGTCCCAGTGCATGCACTGTGACATGAGTATTGATAAGGTGAGAACATATTCACCCGCGCATCTGCCCTACAGTCGACGCCTGGGCAACGCCAACTCCCCGCATGTGAGATTCTCCATCAACCCTGACTATATGCTAACTTCTCCGCATGTTCAGGTCCCGGCCAGCTTCGCCCTCGTTACTTCACGCTACATGATGACCTTCGATGTATAACAGACCCTCATTGACCAGAATTCAGAATGGAGCCCACAATTCAACAGGCATCGCATCCCGAACCTCGGAAGAGTCATCACAAGTCTGTTCGGGTTGCCTTTGGTCCGGATCTAGAAACACACATTCCCCCGCGTGACAGATCCCCCGCTCCTGTTCCAGGACATCACCGATCATTTACTACCGTGGAGCACAAACAGACTCCCGTCATCACCCCCGAACGACCGACTAGCTCATCTGCAGGCGAGAACCCGCTGATCATCGAGAACAATGGCCGACTGACTTCGGATCGATCGTCGGATTGTGCAAGACCGATTGCGACCCTGAAGAGGGCCCGCAGCGACTATGGGCCCAGAGTGGGGCTTGATAAAGCCATTGCTGGGGATGAGGAAGAGGACATTGCCATGAGACATGGATGGCAGGAGGAGTATACTTCGAGCGAGTACCTGAAAGTCCTGCACTCGGTAAGCAGATGCAACGGACAGCTAAGGCTTACAATCCGGTCGGATCTGACTGCTCTAGAATTTCTATATGTATTTCACAGAGAAGCGCCACGAGACGAACGGCATCCCTAGGGATCCGGTCGGAAGCTGGCCCAGCCAAGACTGGCGCATGAAGGACCGCCTGAAAACCGTCTCCGCGGCGCTAGCCATCTGCCTGAATATTGGCGTCGACCCGCCCGATGTGGTCAAGACGAACCCGACAGCTAAGTTGGAATGCTGGGTCGATCCCACGTCTACTACCGGCGGTGGTCACAACAAGATCATGGAGCAGATCGGAAAGAAACTGCAGGAGCAATATGAGACACTTAGCTTAAGAACTAGGTACAAGCAATATCTTGACCCCTCTGTCGACGAGACGAAGAAGTTTTGCATCTCTCTGCGCCGCAACGCCAAGGACGAGCGGGTGCTGTTCCATTACAACGGCCATGGTGTACCTCTCCCTACTCAGTCGGGTGAGATTTGGGTCTTCAACAAGAATTACACTCAGTACATTCCGGTATCCCTCTACGACTTGCAGTCCTGGCTTGCAGGACCTAGCCTGTTTGTCTTCGACGTATCGCATGCAGGGAATATTGTGTCGAACTTTCACACCTTCGTCGAGAAACATGAGAAGGAGAACGCAGAGGCGAAGAAGCGGGATCCAAACGCCATCGTTCAAAACTACGGGGATTGTATCATCCTCGCAGCATGTCAGAAGACAGAGTCGCTCCCCACTAACCCCGATCTCCCAGCGGATATCTTCACTTGTTGCTTGACTACGCCTATTGAGATTGCGCTGCGTTTCTTCATCCTCCAAAATCCCCTGCAGACGAACATCTCGATTGACGAGTTCAGAGTGCCAGGCCGCTTACAGGATCGGAGAAGCCCACTTGGAGAGCTGAACTGGATTTTTACTGCGATCACGGACACTATTGCCTGGAACACATTGCCCCGGGCGCTGTTCAAGAAGCTCTTCCGTCAAGATCTCATGGTCGCTGCTTTGTTTAGAAATTTTCTGCTCGCCGAGCGTATCATGCGAACATACAAGTGTCATCCTATTTCCTCTCCTGAGCTTCCAGAAACCCATCATCACCCGCTGTGGAAGAGCTGGGATTTGGCAGTTGAAATGGTCTTGTCACAATTACCGGCTCTCATTGACCACGAAGAGGGCCGCAGGCAATATGAGTATCAACATTCAACATTCTTTGCCGAGCAGCTTACCGCTTTTGAGGTTTACTTGTCATCAGGTCCAACGGAAAAGAATCCCCCGGATCAGCTTCCGATTGTGCTGCAGGTCCTTCTCAGTCAAGCGCATCGACTCAGGGCGCTGATATTGCTTAGCAAATTCCTGGATCTAGGACCTTGGGCTGTCCATCTGGCTCTGAGCATCGGGATATTCCCATATGTCGTAAAGCTCCTGCAGTCCGCCGCCCAAGAATTGAAGCCCGTGATGGTCTTCATCTGGGCAAGGATCATGGCCGTCGATCATACAGTCCAGAACGATTTGTTGAAGGACAACGGAATCCATTACTTCATTTCCATCCTCAACCCTTCCTCGCCAATACCCGTGGGCAATGCTAGCGAACATCGAGCGATGTGTGCGTTCATTGTCTCGATCTTTTGCAAGAATTACCCTCAAGGCCAGAATGTGTGCCTTTCTGCTGAGCTCTTTGACTCCTGCCTTAAGCACCTCATGGATGTTGAAAACCCCCTGTTGCGGCAATGGTCGTGTCTCTGTATTAGCATGTTGTGGTCTGACTTCCCTGAAGCCAAGTGGATGGGCATTCGTTGCGCTGCTCCTGCAAGGCTTTGCGAGCTTAATTTCGATCCGGTCCCCGAGGTCCGCGCTGCAATGCTCCATGCAGTAACGACTTTCTTGGGTATCCCTGATTTGACAGACCAGGTTGCCCAAATAGAAGAGTCTCTGGCTATGACGGTGCTACCTATGGCATCAGACGGCAGTGTCCTGGTGAGGAAAGAACTCCTGGTCTTCTTCTCAACGTTCGTGAGGCGCTACCAGAACAAGTTTCTGGTTGCTGCCTACGAGGAATTTCAGGACGAGAAGCAGAACCTCCTGTTGAAACTGGAACAAGATGGCACTCGGAGTCTTTCCTTGGAGGATGTGCCGAATATCTCAGCGAATGGCTCCGCGGATCCCAACCATAGGTCGCAGATATTGTCCCGGAATACGACTTTTGGTACTATTTGGAAACAACTACTAATTCTTTCTGTTGATCCTCATCCTGACATTGCCCAAGATGCGGCCATGGTGGTCGACTACATCCACATCTGTCTTCTTCAATCCCCTATGGCGACGCTAACCAACAAGGTTCGCAATGAGATTTTGGATCTCTCGAATCGTGTATCCCAGAAGTTCCAGGTCCGAGAAAGGCCAGAGTCAAAGAAGACGGCGCCACCGCCGACTCCTCCTTCCGCTGCACCGCCGAAACAAGAAGGTTACCTTTCACTGAGCCTAAAACGAACGGCGAGTGTCGCTGCATCGCTTAAGAATTTGGCGTTTGGCAGTTCATCCGCGGCGGATGCGCAGTCGCAGCAAACGTCAACGACCCCGAAAAGCCGAGTTCCCATGACACCCAGAGGACGAGCACCTCCCGAATGGACGCGGCCCCCAGAGGTCAACGACCAAGTCGCTCCCGCGACTGCGTATCACCAGGCCCCGACCCCTACTTCACGAGGCTTTGAACCCAGAGATCCCACTGCTGTCCCGACAATCCCCTTAATGAGCAGGTTCCTAGATTGGTCCACAGAGGTAATCCCAGAACTCCTTGATGCAATAAGCGCGGAAAACCAGATTGAGTATGAGCAACTTCTTACCCTTATTCAGTATTTCCGGGAACCCCAGATGAAACCCAATGAGCCCGACGAGCCCGGTAGTGCGGATTACAACGAACGCCTTTGGAGACGGAGTCGCAACGAAAAGATCATTTCGGAGACCCAACCCCTGAAGGGAATAGCCGGCAGTAGCCGATGGGATAACTCATTGTCTCTCTTATCTAACAGCAGCCAGCCCTTGAAGATGTGCTTCCACCAGTTTGAGGATCATCTCGCAGTTGCGGACGACAGGGATACGATTGCGTATGTGCTTAGGATCAGCCGTGCTTTTCTCCGCTAACACCAAATAGGATATGGGACTGGCAGAGCCACAAACGTCTCAACCGCTTCTCTAATGGCAATCCAGCAGGGTCGAAAATCAACGAAGTGCGATATATTAATGAAGACGATCAAGCACTTTTGATGACGGGCTCCTCCGATGGCGTACTGAAAGTGTTTAGGAACTATGAGTCCGCCAAAAAGGTGGAGATCGTTACATCTTTCAGGGCACTACCGGAACTGATCCCCAGTAATCGGAATGCCGGCCTGGTCCTCGACTGGCAGCAGGGTCAGGGCAAAGCGTTGGTCGCAGGAGACGTCAAGGTCATTCGTGTGTGGAATGCAGCCACCGAAGTGTGCACTAACGTATGTTTCCACATATTGAGGATGGGAACACTCTTCTGACTATTGCATAGGATATTCCCGCAAGGTCCGGCTCGTGTATCACTTCTTTGACGTCGGATCAGGTTGCAGGAAATATCTTCGTGGCAGGATTTGGCGATGGCGCTGTTCGAGTGTTTGATCAGCGTCTCAAGCCGACAACCTCCATGGTTAAGGTCTGGCGCGAGCACAAGCAGTGGATCACCAATGTCCATATGCAACGCGGCGGACTGAGGGAACTGGTGTCTGGTAGCCGAAATGGCGAGATTCGACTATGGGATCTTCGAATGGACACGCCATTTTCAACGTTTTCAGCGACCAAGGATACGCTTCGCACATTGAGCGTGCACGAACACGCCCCTGTGTTCATGGTGTACGTGGCTCTTGTCAAATATGGCTAAGCAGATTTGCTGACTTGTATGAATAGGGGTACCAACCGACACGAAGTCAAGACGTTCAACGTCAATGGTACATATCTATCCACCTTCGAGCCCTACTCGAGCTTTCTCCACCACAATCGATCTTCCCCGATTGCCAGCACGGCCTTCCACCCTCACCGCACCCTGCTGGCGTGTGCTGCCCTCAACGACAACCACATCAACCTCGTGAACTGCTAGTTCATCTTCCATCCTCCTTCATGGCCATTCCATCCCACCCTTATACCACTCGTAGCAAATTTCGGCGCCTGGAATTTCGTCCTTCCGGGCCATGTTCGATTCGAACTGTTTCCATTCTGATCTTCAACCTAACACCTTTTAATGGCAATCATGAAGCATCACTTTCTGGCGTAGGTCGGCTAGCTTTCTGCGTTGGCGCTAGGAAATTCTTTTCGTTTCCATTATTATCATATGGTTTTGCTTTTCTATTCTTCTTCTTTTTCTTGTCTTCACACTTTGACCGTGTCGCTTGTATATGGATGGACATAGCTGTGCAGGCAGACCAAGGTTTAATTCGTCAGTTATACCCAGTGTTGGGAGAAGAATTGTTGTAATATTGTAGATATTATTGATCTCATTTGAACGTAGACGAATGGACAAGTTGAAGTATACTAGGTATGAACTTCAATTGACAAGCTTTAGCGAATATGCCGTGTCCTTGCCTTGCTTCAAGATATATAGTGGCCCCAAGGTATTCATAATGGGGGTATTATGTGAATAATTTGATAGATGGAAGATATCTACATTCGTAAAAAGGTTACTACTAGTAGTTATAACTGAATAATAACTATTAATAACTATTTTACAACTCTAGAGAACTTTTGACTAACTCTTTGTATCACCCTCCACACTCAACCATCCCCCTACTTCAGTTATTGATAGATATAACATTTGCTGGTTTTACTCATAATAAATATATACTATCAAATAGTTCTTAGTTATAGTTGGCAGTACCATAGTGAAACATGCTCATAACATTGAACCCGGCAGCTGACCAATATGGAGTCTCAACCACAAGAGACCATATATATACTAAATATACACTTATCCCCCTCACCACATATAGTATCACACAAGAACTATGACAACATAAGATACACTAGACTTTTCCCCTCCCAGCCCCTTAACGCCGCCCACATCCTATCCCCTTTACAACGTGGTGAGCCTACTGCAACTCCCTCTCCCAATCCGCCGCCCACAACGCCGCCCCAACTGTATTCGTAAACGCAAACGCAATCGACACAAACGGGACCATTTCCAGCGCGAACGCCGCCATTCCGAACCTATACATACCCTAGTCGTTAGTCATTATATCTCCACCCTCCAGGGAAGGAAAGAAAGAAAGAAAGAAAAGGAAATAAACATACCCAGTATACTTCCCCCTCCACCTCCCCACCCACCTACTCCTCTCCGCCTTCTTCCACCCCTTCAACCCAAACCACCGCTCATGCACCCCCTCACCGACCTTCTTCCCCTGCACATACACATACACCAGCGTTCCCACCACAGGCACAAAGTTCAGCGGTAGCAACACCACACTCCTCACCAACATATTCCACATATTCGTTTGTCTTTCCTCGACTTCTTCTTTGCCCCCGAAGCGGGAGATAGCATCATCATCATCACCACCACCGCCTCTCTTTCCCGACTGCTCAAGGAGTTTCTCCTGTCCCATTTCCACGAGCGTGGCGTCAAACGTAGCAGTGATAGCGTCCGCGAGGAGAAACGACCGCGCAAGGAAGGTGGTTATGGTGGAGGATTCGCTGAGGACGAGTAATGCCGCGGAGAAAGGCGCGAGGAGGGGTCCACTGGTTATGGACATAATCGCTGCTTGAGGCACGTAGGTGAAGAAGAACATGGCTGTTGTGACGCCTACGCCCAGAGTGAGGGTTTTGGAGGACCGTGAGAGGAGGGGTTGGCGGAGAGTGGGGCGGTTGAGGGTGTAGATTATTCCCTACTCATTCATTTATTATATTTAGTTTTTCTTTTCTGAATTGTGTGGAGGTAGTAATGGGGTGGTTTGTGTCGTAGGTATAGAGGATGGGGGGTATGATGGGTGGCTGCGTGTGGCGCACCTTGATTGGGTAGAAATATGTCCCAGAGAGGACGACATCTTTGGCGATGGCCCGAATGTGGGTTGCTTCGTCGATGAGAGCTCCTGTTATTTTGTTCATGGTTGGTGTGAGGGTTTACTGTGGTTGGTGATAGTAAGGGTGCTTGTTCATGGGGGAGGTGTTGCGGAGGGAAACTTTTGGATGGCGGTGACGTCGTCGGGAGCTAGCTCCTTAAGCTACTTACTTGTATCCATTAAGTGGGGAATACCCCATTGGGACATATTATTTAGTTCCGAGCGATAACTACTATACTTATGGTAAACATATTTATGATATTTTCGATTAGCTAGCTAGCCTCGCTCATCCACTTTATAATACATATTGTAGGCTATTTATCTCCTCAAATAGGACATGCTCGCACTGATGGTACATGAAATAAGCCATCTTGACACACAGAACAGGCTCAGTAGTCAAAGTAGCTATGGTTGCCGTCCTGGCTGGGTGAACAGTAATAAGGATCCACGCTTCCCCAGTCAGCAAAGTTGCCAGCCTGCTTCTTGCGATCTTTGGCGACGTAGGAATAGAGATTGATGATTACATCACCCAGTAGCTGTGTCGTCTGTTTCTCGTTCTCACTAGCACAGTTCTCTGCGATTCCCTTGACTTGCTGGCGGAGTTTTTTGTGTCCTCGATTATCCTTGTGAAACCACGCTTCTGCTTCTCTAACAGGTCTGGTGAGTCCAGGAGGAGTTCTCAACATGCCGTCCTGAGCGGTGGAGTCATTGTCAAGGTGAGACACATTGGCTATACTGGTAGACTTGGTCTTGGATACCTGACTCTCCTGTGGCGCATGAGTCTTGCCTGGATTGGACTCCACAGCGATTTCACGGACCAGAAACTGCTCATTGTCCAGTTTAGGACTTTCAGGCTTCTGTGCAACGTTCTTGAGCAGCGCGGTGACCTCTTCTTTGAACCTGCGCTGTTTCTCCTCCCTTTCCAGCTCAAGAGTACGCGCGCGCTCCAAATTAGTAGTCGAATACTGAGCCCCAGGACCTGAGATCTCCAGGCCAGATGTAATCCGGGTTTCAGGACGCTTGAGACGGGTTTGGACTCGCAGGGACTCGTAAGGGGACTGGCTGTAGGTTCGATCAAAGTTGGCTCCGTAAAGGTCCAAGGAGGTATGCTCGGAGACCGATTCACGAAGAGGAGTGCCCAGCGAGTAGGAGGACTCATAGGATCTGGTATAACTCAAAGGATTGCGTTGAAAGTGGCCATCATCGCTGCTCTCCCATCCGTGCGATTCAAGACGCGAAGGTGTGAAGGACTCTGCAGGCATGCTCAGATGACGGTCTGCCTGATTTGCACGGTGTATGGCTGAGAGATGAGATAAGGCCTTTTGTTGGCTCATGGGACGTGGTTCTTTCGGTTCGCTGCTTGACGACATTTCTGATAGAAGCTTTCGGGTTTTGGCGCCTCTTTTCGAGCCTGTCTTGGAGCAGAGCTGAAACAAAGGTACTGGCTGAGAGGAGGCTAGATCCTGGTAGTTGTCAAATTCATGATCTTCGTCTCGGTACACGGTGGACGGTCTGGTGAAGAGTAGACGACGAGACGCCATGGTGAAGTTTCGCTGGTGAACGACAGTGCTAGACAGCTGAATAGGACAAGACGCTGAAAGAAACGAAGAAGCTAGTAAAAAAACGATGAGACGTCGGGGTCATGCCATGGAGATGCAGACGACGTGACGCACTTGCACATTGTGAGTTGCGAAGCGTACCTGCCCACTTCGGGAAGTGCTATCATTCACTTGTTTGAACTGTCCAGTTTGCTGGGTTTGCTGTGTTACGCCGCTGTCTCTGCCTTTGCCAAACCACCATGACTTCTGTCAAGACAACAACACATTTCATGCTGAAGGCCCCACAGGCACTGAAATGTAGTTGATGTCCATGGCTGCCCAACCACTCTCAGAATGGTTACGACAAGCGTCGAAGCCAGATGTCAAGTAAATATATGCAAATCAACTCTCAGACTACGTAGTATCTTCGACGAAACCCGATTACTATTCCGCATATGAATAATTACCACATGTCCAACATACACGTGTAATAAAAAAGTCAACCTTTGCATGAGACTGATGATACTTGCTTGCAAGTGCCTCTACCATTGATTCCGCTGCGTACCACCAGGGCCCATCGAATAGTATCCCATCTTGCCAGAGTCTAGCCTGGTGGTAGGGCTGAACTCAGATGATTCAGTGTCCTGGCTGTAGGTGTTGTAGCTGCTGCCTCCTGTACGACCGCCGAAATCCTGCATCGCTCCACTGTCCATAGCCCGCGATTCATAACCAGTTCCTGAGCCACCGTATCTCTCCGGTTCATGTCTATAATCTGCAGAGCCAGTACCAAAACCACCAGTATTACCATAGTCGTGTGTGCTAGACTGAGATCCGTAGCTGCCGCGGTAGTCACCAGCGGTTCCCGAATCGTATGTGTCCGTCCTGCGCTCGTAGTCGCCAGAATTATAGTTGTCAGAGCTGGGCTGAGAGTTATAGGAACCATCGCCAGGTCCATATCTCTCTCCGCCGCCCGAGTTGTAGTCATCGGTACTGGGCTTGTTGCTATGACCCTTGCCTAAATCGGGGTTAAGTTAGCAGACGATTAGAGGCAAATCATAGATAAGATCAGAGGTATTCATACGGGAGTTGGAATTGTTGTGATGGCCAGTCAAGGCATCTTTGACCTTGTGCATGAGATTCGACATCTTGATGAGTCCTGGGTAGAAAGGTGATAATCACTAAAGCTGCTTAAATATGTGATCAATGCTCCGATACGGCATGTCTTGCGAGGTTAGCACACGTTCAAATAAAGTCCAAGACCATTGTGAACGTCTGGCGGGGTTGGAAGCCACCCAAGCTTGTCACGACAAAGGGCAAGACAATGGAACGAACACCCGTGGAGGATGACGTTTGTACCAGAAACTAAGCTAATGGGTGTGGGATGATGGAGGAAATGGAAAGCGAGTGTCAAGATGTCATCCACGTCATGCCATTGAGACAGCTCCATCCAAACCATGGGGTTTGGCCGTGAAGCTCCGCAGCACAAGCCACGGAACCCTGGATGGCACGCCACAAATGAACCCCGCTTGTTTCCTTGCAGTCCCACAGGACCGAGAATTGCTGATGTTCTAGATTTCACGGAGAAATGATGAAGACGACTGCTTCTGTTCTTTTTCCTGGAGCACGTGATGATGGTGCATGAAGTGGATGATGATCAGGTAAGCGACAGGAATGGCACTTGTGAACTATACTAGTTTGTAGACAGACGGGTAGACCGTGTTAGCACTGTCTCTACAGAGTGGTTAGGTGGGGTTCCCCCATTGACTCGACATCTACAAATACAACATTCCTGGGTACATGAAACGGATCCCCCCTGCGTTGTCGATCGCTTTATTGTGTACCCATGAGAAAAAGCACTAAAGTCGAAGTCGACAGTGAATATTGCGCAGGTGTGGGGAATGACGGGAAGGCAGTTTTCATTGATCTGGGGGGGGGTAGAATAGAACACTGTGGATTTAAATTAAATTGAGGAAGTAGTATTCAGTATTGTATGGTAAAAGAATGGGAGGAGGGTGTGACACAAATCAAAGATGCTGCCATGCGCCACACCATATAGAAATACAATAACAATACTAATAAAAGGGTCTCGTGAAAGGGAAAGAGTCACGAATCATAGACTATCTAATTTTTAAGTCAAATTTTAAATTGAAGAACTGCTGATGGAATTGGGCAGCCCAGCCCAAAATGCACGGGCGCAGGGTCTGTGACGTAGTACTCTGTAGTACGAGATAACTAGTAGATAGTAGGGATGAAAAGGTATGGCGGTTGCCTGACAAAACCTGAGGAAGCCACTAGTTAATCAATTAGTTAAGGGAACTCCCCTCCCTCAGGCAGGGAATCAATCCCGTGACTGACTGCCCCCCAAGCCAAACTGTCTGACAGAAACACTACTAACTACCTAACTAACTAATACCTACTACCTGAAGGAGAGACACGGAGGGGACAGAGAAAAGAGGCTGTGCTTGCGTGTCCGGCGACTCGCTCACAAGTTGTTGATCATTCTTTTTGCCTTTCTTCCTCCACATCGTCCCATCCATCCCATTCCACCATCCCCATCCCCATTTCCATCCCCTTCTCCCTACTTACAATCCTACTACTACCGTCCATGTCCCTATTCCTCTTCTCTCCCCGTCATCCTTGTCTGGTTGGCTTCTAAAGTACCAGCCCGTCATTGCTTGACCACGACGACTCCCTAACTACTTACTACTTACTCACTCTCCTTATCATCTTGTTCCTTCGCGCCTACCCTCCTTCTCCCCTTCCCGTGCGCTCTCGATGAGTGTCCTTCCTGTTGCGCTTCATCGACCGTCTGATTGGTCCTAAGAACATCGCCTTCCTGCACGAAACCCGCTGGCCCTGAGCGTTGATCTTCCTGGGCTTCTTTCCTTTCCCGCCTCCCCCTCGGCCAAGCAATATCTGTTCTATTGCATATTCCAGCAACACCCTCTTAACTATGCGACCACCACGTTTGATTGCTGTCGTCTTCTGCCTCATCTTCCTCCCCATCATCCTCACCTTCTTTTCTGCTTTAACCTCCTCGCCTAGGGTGTCCACCCCCGATTCACTCGCTGGTCGAGCGACGGGTCTACACGCCCTCTTCTCCTTCAACATCCCCTCATCCCTGTTCCCGCCGTCCGCCATTATCGGCCTTACCGATGACAACTCCACCTTTTTCCTGGCCCGACCTGCTGCGTTTGGCCCTCTGCTGCCGGACAAGGGACTTAGCGGGCAACTCTGGATTGGTAGTGGCTTTGGGGAACGAACAACCGCTGGAGCGGAAGGGGAGCTAGGATGCTCCGATATCCCGGGTTGGGGTGAGGGAGATGGTCCGAAGTCAGGCGGAGGTGCAGATACTACAACTGGGAAGTCGGGGTCTACTCCTGGAAACGAGCCGACCGTGCCACAAAGCCATCGCCAAGCGATTCCCCAGCCGGATATCGACCTGCAGCATGACTCTGGTACCAAAGTGGCACCCCCGTTCACAAATGACGGCACGGATGATCATCTCCACCACCCGCTGCCCGAGTCAGAAGTGTCGGACTCAGGCGCCATGGACAAGCACGGGGAGCCCTCTTCGAACCGACAAGCTGCTCATGCTGACATCCAGTCATTGCAAGAAAGCGCCGAGATCGACGGCAAAGTCGTCCTGCTGAGTAGGGGCGGCTGCGGCTTCTTGGAGAAGGTCAAGTGGGTCCAGCGGCGTGGAGGAATTGCTTTGATTGTGGGGGATGACACCCGAGGAGGCAGCCTCGTCACGATGTATGCACGGGGTGATACATCCAACGTGACGATCCCCGCCCTCTTCACATCTCATACTACGGCACATCTGCTGTCATCCTTAGTCCCCCCGCAAGGGGAGGACTCGGCCGCAGACGATGGATCAGGAACACACACTAAAATCTCCACTCACGGCAGTGCCGGGAAACAACGCATGGACGCCACGGCGACTACCTCTGCCACTGCGTCGCCAACATCAAGTCACAAAGCAGTAGTTCATGACAGTGCGGTGCCTCCAAAGCAGAAATCTGGGCTCTTCCACGCTCTTCTGTCATTGTTCGGTCTCAGCAATCATGGTGGACCCGTCTGGTATCCACCGGAGGACAGCCGTCGCCCGCCAAGCAGCGGAAACATCAATTGGATTCTATTAGATCGCTGGGACGAACAGGAGCCATCGCAGGACGAGACCGAGCGAAAGACCTCCCGAACGAAAACCGATGGTGTTGCCGAAGACCTCAAGAAATCAGGTACCTCGTCAAGCAGTACTGACGGTGATGGATTCGTCATTGGAGTACAGGACTGGAGAGATCCGGACCTAGTAGTTCCGAAGGGCAGCATCCTTCCATCTCCTACCAGTACAACCGACGCCGCCGGGAATAAGGTGCATACTGGCGCCAAGGGCTCGCACCCCACTCCCGCGACCTTGAAGGGTGGCAGCATCACTCCTGGAAGTGGCGAGTATCGCACTGTCGAGAAGTCTAGCATTGAAAAAGAGTCGAAGATGGAGTACTCCGGCCACAAGTCTGTGTATGATGATGTGAAACCAGGATCCTCTTCTCAGCGCAACGGTTGGTTTGCCAGGCATTTCTTCCGGGCCACGGACAAGCCAGCTCCGAGCCCAAGTTCTAGCGCCCATGGGCAAATCACTTCCGTAGACCAGAAGCTGCATGATGCGACAACTCAGAACGGTCAGGGTGTGAATGCAGCTGAACATGACGGCTTGTGGGTCACTCTCACGCCCACAAGCATGTCGACCAGTCCTTTCTTCGATACCCTCCTCGTTTTGGTTGTCAGCCCGTTGCTCACACTGACTGTTGTCTACGTTCTGTTGTTGCTGCGGTCTCGTATCCGGCGCAGACGGTGGCGCGCTCCAAAGTCCCTCGTTGATCGCCTCCCAGTGCGAACTTATCACACTATTGCGAGGTCGACCTCTTCCTCGGAAACAAGCTCGCCACGATCTGTTAGCCCTGGTCCAGTGTCGCCAACCTCGCCATTGTTGGGTGCGAAGAGCCGTTCAGGAGCCCAGCTGTCTCGGTCGCAGCGAGAGTCACATGTCTCGAATGCGAGTGCATCCAGAATGTCGTCATCAAGGAAGGGCAAATCGGGATCCACTCTGTGGCGCCGGAAATACACCGGCCGGCAAGTGGAATGCGTTGTCTGCCTGGAGGAATATGTGGATGGGCAGAGCAGGGTGATGAGTTTGCCCTGCGGCCACGAGTTCCACGCGGAGTGCATGTGAGTAACGATCCTTGAGTCCGTTGTCAATCATGCTCGTACTAACGATCTTGCAGCACGCCTTGGCTGACAACCCGCCGGCGAACTTGTCCCATCTGTAAAGGCGACGTGGTTCGGTCAATGTCGCAGAACAAAGCGGCGGAGGCTCACGAGTCGGCAGAGCCGATGAACGAGGAAGAATACCACCCTGACGCAGATTCTCAGCATAGTTCATCCTCGGCGCCGGTGCCGATTAGCGGAGTGGGCGAAGACGAGACTTCAGATCTCGAGCGGCATGCTGGCTCTGAAGCAGGTCTTCTCGAGGGACAAGCATCCTCGGCACCACCGAGTTGGAGGAACTTTGCCGCACTGAGCTACTCTGCTCTTAGTGGCGATACGATCTGGCATCAGGCGCAGACGGACGGCAGCCGGTGAACTGCGTTGTTGTGCTTTATATTATTAACCGCCCCTGGTTTCATTGGATGTATGTGTTAGTGGAGGTGGGGGTATTCTGTCTTTGCAGCGTTTCCTTTTGTGAGCAGCATTAGCGATGTTTTTGACACCGTCCTTGCTTGGTTGGCGTTTGATGGATTTTATGGAATTCGTAGCGACATTGGCAGGAACAGGTTCAGTTTCAGTTCTGCACTCGCTCGTAATATTACTAGACCAGGAGCCAGTGGGAGTCACCACTGATGCTTAGGACGTATCCATTTGCCTTGAACATGAATTGCAAGTATTTGAGACAATTGCACCTTTGGAAGCAGATCCCATGGCTGTCATACTCTAAAGCTGCGTTCATGTGATACTATGGTGTTTCGATATCACCGCTATCCAAGTAGATGACATCCTTCTAACCATACACATCCCCCATTCCTTTCCAACACAAAACCATATTACCACTCTAAACGTACACCCCTAACAAAAACATAATCATTTACATACACATACATACATACACTCAAGTCCAAACTATACAATTCTCCCCCTCCCTCTCCTCTCTTAATCTAATTAAATCTTTTTCTCAGTTATTGAACCAAATCAGGCACACACCCCCAACTACACCCAACCCTCCTAAACGGCAACGGCCTTAACACCTCCCCGGACGCCCTCGGCCCCTTCAACCCATTCTCATACGTACTCACATCCCACCACTCGATCCACTCCGTCCGCGCGAGGACGAATCCCCGATGACACGACGAGCAATTCCGTCCTCCTGCGCTACGAACTTCCTTCGCTTGTCGGAGTAAGCGGGTCATCAGGGCTGGGAAATTGTCCATTTCTTCGTCGGTGATCAGGTCTGGGTATGTTGAGCGGGTGAATGATAGGAGGGAGATTTCGCGGAGGGAGGGCACGCGGGAGATTTTATTTATTGTTGTTTGGTGGTTGGTGGGGGTTTGTTCGGTAGTAGAGACTGGGATGCCTTCGGCGTTGTAGTATGTAATTGGGCCGGTGGCGACGTGGATGGGTGCCCATGCTTCCTCGGGTGGTGGGCCGTCGTAGGTGATTGATTTCAGGCAGGGTTGTTGTGGTTCGTGGGTCTCTGTCTCTGTCTCTGTCGCTTCATCGGTGGGGACGTGCCATGTGGCGATGGGCTGGTCTTCGATTTGGAGGAGGGGGTTAGGACGGACGGTGAGGTGTTTGAGGTCGCCTTTGCGGATGAGGAAGAGGAGTTCCCAGGGGAGGGTGGGGAGACGGTTCACGGAGAGGTTGAGTTCCTGGAGGAGGGTGAGGCGGCGGATGGCCGCGGGGATGGAGGTGAGTTTGTTGTAGCGGAGACTGAGGACGCGGAGGGAGTCGAGGTCGAAGATTTGACCGGGGACTTGGGTTAAAGCGTTGCCGGCGAGGAAGAGGCGGAGGAAGGGTTGCAGGGAGGTGTAGACGTCTTCGCTGATGGGGGGCTCTTTGATGGTGGGGAGCTTGGTGAGGTGTTGGAGGGGGTGGAGGAGGTTAGGGGGGATGATGCGGAGGGTGAGGCCACTATTGGTATAGGTTAGATGTTGGTTCTGGATGGTGAGGAGGGAAGGAAATATACCTCAAGTCGACGCTATCTTCTCCCCTCTCGAGACAATCATTCACGATCCCCCGTGCGACTTGATGCTCGCGCGGTTCTTCTTCGACTTTTCTGAATCCTTGTTGTTGAGTCTGATTCTGCGGCATCACCGTCTTTGTGCCTCCATTCGCATGCGAATTCAACCAATCCTCTCCCAAATCTGCATCAGAAGGCAAGAACCCCGATCCCGGACCAGAATCGTAATCATCACTTCCCATCCACACACCACTATCCACTAGTCTCTTCTCCTTGAAGTCCGCCCGCTTGCGCTTCGCGTCCTTGTCCTTCACCATCTCTCCCCACCAGGTACCGCGGTACCGGCGCTTCCGACTAACAGGCGCATTATTGTAGTTCTCTAGACCCGAGGCGGGGATGTCATCGCTGGAGAAGAGAGCCGGGTCACTGGAGGGTTGACTGGAGCGGTCGTCAATGAAGCGCGAGGGGAGACGGTGGTGGTGAGCATGGCGAGTCGCGTGACGGGTGTTATTGTTGTTATTACTGATGTTGTTGGAGGGGTCGCGATGGCGGATGCGCGGTGGTGGGGGGAGGGGGATTTCGTGGTCCATATTTTATTATTTGCCACTGCTGTGCAATAATGTGATGTAGTGGTATGGATTTCTTGTTTGGAATATCTCGTGTGACGCGATGCGATGCGATGCGATGCAAAGGAAGTAAGGAGGGGAATGAATGAATGAATGAATGAATGGTATTGATGCGCTCAGTGGCTTTGGGCTGGATCACCTCACTCGGATCATGACGTCCGGTGTGGAATGTCGATCGATCGTCGGATGGGATGGATGGAAGAGTTCCGGAAGGATGGGGAAACTCGAGGTCCAGAGAGAATGCTGGATTCTGATTGATGTTGGGTGCTGAGACTAGAGTTGTTTACGAGACGCGTCGCGGTGGAGCGGGGCGGTCGGTATCCGCTTGATAACTTGACGGTGAACTGATTGATTGATTGATTGATTGATAGATATTGATTGATAGCTACCCGGGAGGCCCGGATCTGCTCGGTTCAATTGTTTGCCCTTCATGCAATCTCAGTCAATTATTGTATGTAGATCCTTCTCTCGTTGAATCCTCAATCTAAATCAATGTTGAGAAGTCTTGAATTGGACTAGACCGGCTGCGGCTGCCTCTTTCAGGGGCAAGCGCATTAAAAGTACCAGCCTTGGAAGCGAAAAAAATATGGTACATTTACAGTACTCATCAGGTGAAAATATTATTGATTATCTACATACTACCAGCATAAGGCACATCGGTTCACGCAATTGATTGGGTCGACCCTATACAAACACTATGCACAGCTTCCATCACGGCCGAACCCCGAAGCGAAGTCAAAAAGTAAAAAGGTGTAGAAATAAAGTCCATCCCAACTGCGGTTATTCCACCAGCAGTCAAGCCATCAACTCGTCAAATCCGAAACATCATAAGGGGTATAATCAAGAAAGTATCCGTAGTAGATAGGCCCATTGTCCCGAGCACAGTCGATCACAATGTCCCGTGGAGAATCAATATAGGCGGTCGAAGCAGAGAATGAAAATGTTTGATAAATCGAGTCATGGTCGAAACCATTCCTCTCAAGGTTCCAGCGCGTGAAGAGTATGCGACAAAGCCGGCAGCGCTGAATTGACTTAGAGCGCGCCCAGGATCAGAGCCATAGATCCCGCAACCAGCACAGCAGGCATCTTGGCGACGATGCCGTCGGCTCCGGAAGTACCCACGGCAGGGGAAGTAGCAGCAGCAACCGAGGTGCCGGCGGGGGTGCTGGAAGTCACGGTGACGGAGGCGAACGAAGAGGCAGGCGCAGAGGAGCTGGCGGCGGCAGAGCTGCTGGCGACCCGGCTGCTCGAGACGGCGTGGCTGCTCGGAGTGACGAACACCGAGGAAGTCGAAGGTGCCACGCTGCTAGGAGAGGTCACGGTGTCGACGTGGACCAGCGTCGCGGTGACATAGTTGGTCACTGTCGAGGTACTGGTGGTGTCGGTTTCCGCAGCGACAAGCTGGGAGGCCATCAGGCACAGGACAGAGGAGGCGAGAGTGCTGAACTTCATTGCGATGAGTTGCCGGTAATTCCAATTTGTTCAATTGAAAGATTTTCGGGCTGTGGATATGTACGTTGTCGCAAAAAGGCTCTGGCAGAGACTGCGCGAGTAGATCAAACGAGTGACGAAGAAGACGCAAAAGAGTGAGCGTCGAGAAGAGCGAAAGCTAGCGAGGGTAAAGAACGTGGGGAGCACTGCTCGAGTCAAAGGATTGTGAAACGATGCGATGTCTGAAGACGCGCCGAAGGGGGAAAAAGGAGGACGAGGGGGGGTGGACTAAATATGAGCCCCAGAGTGCCAAAGGGTCCGTTTGGACCCAACCAGTCAAACTCGAACCCTCACGAGCGCTGCCCCGGAAAAACTGCTTGACGAGTCGCAAGGGGCACGTCTCGCCTGCCTATTGGCCTGGGGCCCATTGAGAATGTGACGGGGGCATTGTTCACGTCGACACGCCGTCAGTCGGTAAACAAATCACCCGGCCACGTTACTCGCCAGCACATCCATTGTTGCGCTGGCGGCGCCTGGCTGAGGCCCGGTCGGTGTGTGCCTGACTCCTTTTCAAGCGACGATCGCCAGTGTGCGGTGCTTGGCCGAGGATACGGTCTGCTCTAGTGAACTCACTAACCACAGCGGCGTGAGGAGCAGCACACTGGATTGGCTTCGGTTCCTGAATTCTAGTGGTGGTCAGCTGGAGTCGCCTGAAGATTTCTTCCTCCACAACCGTTCGGCTGTGGCTCTTGGGAGCCGTGGTTGCCATGCCTCTGTGTCTCTTCATTTCACACACTCACCACGCTTCCGTTCCTCCTCACTGCCCCCTGGCTTGGAAATTCTAGTTTTGAGACCATCTGAAACTTGAGTAATTCGGAATTTAGCGGTCGATAGTCTGGGTTGGTATCCCGTAGCCAGTGCTGAAGCTGACGGTGAAAGACCCCTGATGGGAGGGATGGCAGCAGATTCGGAAAGGAGAGGCGGCAGAAAGAGAGACAAACTCCACTGGTTCGTTCCTGACTAGCGAACGCTGCATCCACTCATCATCCACTTGGTGGCCCCAATGACTCTCGCATTTCCTTCTCAACCGCTTCGCCAAACTCCGGCCTATCCCGCTAGTCCTCTCTAGTCCGGTGCAGGAACCAAGGGACCATTGTGCCCTTGCAGCCGCAATTAAACTCAATCGTTGCGCATTTTTGAGCTGCAACTTCGCGCCATACGTATATGAACACTCTGGCCCCGGCTCCGATTGCTTGCTTCGTTTAAATGTCCGCTTTTCCGGTAAGTTCTAGAGGAATCGGTGTGTGAGCTAATACTAGCATGTCCGTTTCGTTGAGATATATATGCTCATATAGGGGTTGCCGCGTCACCCTTTCGACTGATATCATCAACAGCACTCCAAACAGGGCATTGCGATTAATGGAAAAGAATATTCTATTCGAATACATTATTGGAGTACCTGCATGGAAATACCACCAAAAACAACTACCAATCCTGGCACACTCGGGATAGCCCCTGATGCCGTACTGGTGAGCAATACTAACACCGCCATCTTTGTCGCGCTAGCAACTGTGAGATGTCTGAGGCCCTCTAGCAGGAATACTCCTCGTGGGATAGCTGCTCGTATAAGGGATCGAGCTACTCAACAAGGGCCTTTTTCCGGTCGGCTATCCTTGTGTCTGCTGATGCCAAGGTGGGGCCCAAGCAGTAACACTGTCTATGAAGCCGTCAGTGAAGATAACATCCGCCGTAGCGGTAGAGAACTATGACTTGTAGAGATTATCGTAGCATCATTTTCAATTCGAGGGTACTATCTGGCGGTGGCATCCGAGAATGCGCCGGAGGCGCAAATCCAATTCCCAGGCTCATCTGCAAGGAGAATGCCCAGCTGATCGTAAGGCTGAGCATTCGATCTAGCCCCATTTTATGTGCTTATTGAGAGCGAATACGATGTCGATCTGTTTCCGCCTTGCTGAGCACCAGCTGCTGGACCCTCGGTGTGGCCCTGCCTGCTGCTTCCCATAACTTTTCTGGAAAGCTATCGGTCATTGGCAGGGGTTGAGGACCAGTCACGATGCCCTGATACAGACAAATTTGTCTCGCTGTTATATAGGCTGCTCTAGAGATCGCTGGGAGCAGTACCCTCGTAATCCCAGCTGTTGTATATATATCAGTAATCACAGCATGGATGCAAGTGCTGGCTGTAGATATGTGCGCTGTACAGGTGAATGACGCCATGTATAAGGCCACTGATCCTGTCACAATCATGGCTGCAACAGCAGCTATGCCAGGCCCATTGGAGGATAAGTGTTGAAAATGTGGGTAAGAAGACTATGCGCTATGGTGCGGTCATTGACCGGGATTCTCTTCAGATTCTGACTGTGGTTGGAGCAACTCTTTGTCGAATTGTCTGTTTATATATAACTGTACGGGTCTGAACCCTCACAAACTCCGAGGCAAAATTATTTGAAGGCGGTTGTACTCATTGGGATAGAACTGCATAGCACTCAGCTCAGCATGTATATTCAGGAAGGGCCTTCTCTTCCCATCACAACATCTTGAGCCACATGGCTCCGCAAGTAGAAGAGACTTGAACCGAATAAGCCAGGCGGCAAGTCCCAGCATTTCTACATCCTACTGCTTACAGATATGATCTATCAATCCTATGGTCAAGGCTCAGCCTTGTTAGAAGCACTCATGTGATTCCGACTACAAGGCCTACTCTTCACATTCAGCTTATTTAGATTTCATTAACGAACAGGAAGCCAATATATTCTAGTCAATCGCATACTTGAGACCTCCTCTCCCCCATCATGTCATAAACTCCGCCCACTTGGACTACTACTACCTCAACATCCGCATCTACATGCCTTTCATTGATTGGAATAATTCTAGAAATCAGAGGCACAGGGTATGCAGACTTCTGTTTTTTGACGTATGGCTACTCTGAGATGACCATCCCGGATAATATATTTAGCGATTTTGCATCAGATCGCTGGTTAATTGCAATGCGAGTAGTATAATAATGTATTGACGGGATCGAATTGTCAGGGCGTCATTTGGGATAGGGTTGCTCCGTACGGCGTGATTCATACCTATCGATGTTCCATGAAGATAAATACAGCGGATATACAGAAGTCGGTGCCGTATGGTGTGATTTGCAATGTGTGATGCAAGTAACTGAACAAGAAGCAAGTATAGTGACTAAACGTTCATTTCCATAAGCGAAAAATATTTTCTATCAACCCAGTCAAGCTCGTGTATTAATAAGTTTTAACTATGCATGCCTCAATATAACAAAAACAACTCAAAATTAACATCACAGGTCAAGAAAAGCAATCCCCGACCCCAAACACATTATATACAAAACCCCTTTTTACCAACCCATCTAAAACAGGACCTGCCTCACATCCTTATTATCCTTAATCTTAATATTCTTCATCATCAACACCCACGCAATCGACAGCACCATGACCGCCGTACCCGCAATCATCATGTTCCGCTGACTCCAAGCATAAGCATTCTGAATCGCAATTCTCGTCTCAGACCCCACCGGATAACTCAATTGCACATCCAACGACTCATAAATCTCCTCCCACTGATCCTTGGTCTCAGCGGGCAACAGCTCCCTCAGCTTCTGAGGAAGGGTATTAGTCCAAATAGCACCAGAGACACTAGCACCGACAGCACCACCAAGGTTACCGAATGTGCTCAGCAACGCCAGCATAGCAGCATAATCTTCATGTCTAGATGCCGCCAGGACAGCAACCTGCTCAATAAGAATCAAGGTACCACCACCAACAGCCAGGAAGATCTGACACATGCACATGTATCCGATGTTGAAGCCGGGCTGGCGGAAGTAGATCATCAAGCCGCTGGCCAGAAGGTAGAGCGGGACAGCCCACATGAGCAGCCACTTGAAGCGGCCGGTGACGCGGATCAGGTATCCGCAGCCGATCAGCCAGATGGGGTCCATGAGGTCGAAGATAGCAGCGATGTATCCGGCTTGGGTGAGGCTGGTGTTGTAGACTACTTGCAGGAAGGATGTGAAGTAGCTGGCCCAGCAGTAGTAGGAGACTTGGTAGGTAATATCCAGGAGGCAGGCGCCGATGACAGTGCGGTTGGCGATAAGGTGGTAGGGGATGAAGGGCTTGGGGGCACCCCAGCGTTCGTAGGCGACGAAGCCGACGAGGACGAAGAAGCCGACGACCATCATTGCGATAATCTTGGCGGATTTCCATTCGCCTTCGGTGTTGCCGGCGATGTTGAACGAGGTGAGAAAGAGGATGAGTCCGCCGATCATGAAGAAGATGCCGATGACTGGTTGGGAGGAGCATGTTAGTGGGGGAATTGAGGTAGTAGAGGAATTTTGGGGAGAAGGCTTACTGTCAAATTCGATGATGTAGAACCAGGTGCTCTGCCACCAGGTGCGAGTGCTTCGCGGCTTGTATTCCAGGCGTCCCTCCTTGTCTGCCTTGCGCTTCGCCAGTTCCCAGGTTATGACTAGAGGCATTGCGACGATCGGGAGGATGATGCAAATGGTTCCGTAGGCCCAGCGCCAGTTGGTCTCGTGGAATTGGTTGGAGAGGGGAGAGCCGGCAAAGGCAGTGATAATGTAGGGTGAGGAGGTGAAGGCGTAGGCGATACCTCGATTGCGGAGCGAGGATGTATCGGAGGTCATCACATCGACACAGAAGATGACACCGGTGAAACCGACAGTGTAGAATGCCTAGTAGTGTCGGGTGGTTAGTATTATTGGGCATACCCATTAAAAGAGCAATTTCGTGTACACAGAGGGTAGAACTCACCTGAGCAGCACAGTACGTAGCAATGTTGTTGCAGCCAGCCATCATAATCAAGCCCATGATAGCAATCAACACCATGATGCAGACACCCAAAGTACGATCCCACAAGTTCAGCACCTTGGCGATAGGCATGACACAAGCAGCACCCATGACACTGGTAATGACAGTGATGACAGTGAGCAACGAGTGCTCCGAAAAGTCACTGGTGATATACGCGGAAAGGTTCGCGGTCAAGCTGCTGTTCAATCCATTGACGAAGTACAGAAGCCACATGCTATACACTGTTTAGCAGTCGCTCGGAAGGAACACACTTCAAGCCACTCACGAGGCATAAGTAATAATCAGAGATTTCTTCGACCAAGAAGCAGTAACTGCTTCAGCGACACGAACACCATCCTGCTTATCCTGATCATCCTCGACAGGCTGCTGAGGAGTATCGGGATCCAAAGAGATCGGATCCTCGCTGACCCCGGTAGTGGTGGGAGGCTTGTCAGTGGCCATTTTGGAAGGGGAAAACACAGCGATATGCCCAAAGCGCCTATGTCATCAGTGGTAGGAGAAAGTTTCAAGAACTGATCGGCATCGAGGGAAGGATATGCGCCATGTTATAAAGGCTTGACATGGGACGATGAATTCTTCGCCTCCCACGCACGTCCCACACCATCCCAAAGCTTTCCCAGACTCCAAATTTCCTAGCGACCAACGCGAAAAGGAATTTGCGCTGGCTGTGGGTGCTGGTTCAGGCTTACAGTGGTAGTGTAACTCTAGGCAGTCTTGTCCTCTTGGCAAGCTGGCGACACCCCGTTCCACTTCGGATCAGATAATTCTCGCAGCTTGTGTCAGTGTGGTTCCATCAGAAGAATCATCCCCAAAAGTTTGTCTGCTAAAACCGTTGATTTTTGCCACATTTACATACATCTAGATCATTGAATCGAGCTCACGATGATTTCATATAGTATGTTGTAGTAGTCTCCTAATGCTGGTGTAAGGGTCTGGTGTCCCTGCTCCACTTAGACTCTCCTCCCCTAATTTGTTTCCTGGCTCCTCATTGCACCATGACGCCTTCTAGCCCCCACTGTTCCGCGACTGCTGGTGGTCTGCTGTTTTCCCGCGGGGCCCGAAAGGACCCGATTTCCAGCGCAATGATCTTGTTATGGTTCCTAGTGACGGTGACAAGCGGGCCGTGATAACATAGAGACCCACGGACATGGCACTGATGATGGAAGATAAGATGGGAAGAATTCAAGCTGGATTTGAGGGCAGGAAAGAAGAGACCAAGGAAGGCAAGTAGGCCTTCAATCTCGGTAATGCGTGTCATCCATGCAAGAAGATTGCAAGAATCCCATGAGAGGACATGATCATCATCACCACCACATAAGCCAGGGGTGAATATGGGCCAGCTGCTCCCCTCCCCTCTCCATCGGAAAAAACCCGGCCATTTTCCCGCAAGAGCAAGACCGCACCAGCCGCACCATAAAACCCAACCCTTCCAGCCTGTTTTTAACGAGGGGGGCCCCGGTAAGGGAAAGGTTCCAAAACAAGCCTAGTAAAGCCCGAAATATACTTGGCGGGTGCCACTAAACCTTATTCGCCGTATCTTATCTGATTTCGTTTCGCACAATACCAGATCAAAACATACACTGCGTGAAATCCCCGGCACCAAATCCACCCAAAAGTTCCCACGAACCATGCCAAATTTAGATACCATTTAGGCCGGGGGCGCTAATAACCTCTGCTGCTACTCCAGAAAATACCTCCCCCCCAAGCGGAACTTACTAAATGGCTGCCTAAATCTCTGCCATGGGTTAATCCCCACATGGGAATATTCATGTTTTCCTCTAACCTCCAGAGATTGATAACGCATGACTCACTCGTGACCTACAGCCAAGAAGTAAGCGAGGTGTGGATCATGTTGTGCGTAGGAATGCGCTCTTGGCATGTCCTTGGCGGGTTGGAAGAGCTTTTCCGCCGTTAGCTGATGCTGGGCATCGACTGGTGGAATTGGGATTGTGTGGAAGGCATACGTAAAAGTAGATGCTTCAACTGTTAGTCCAGAGAAGATCTTTTGTCTGGACATATACGAGCTGAGATACTACGTAACAGGACTGAGTCATGGTCAGTTGAAATAAATTCTGCGCTTCCAGAGATCGGACTAGCAGAAGCAGGAAGATGGCCGAGCAAAAACTCTGAGAGAACTCCCTGGCAGTGTTATAGAGAAAATTTCCTGTATGCACGTGGCAAGCATCCTGGCATGCTATACTTCGCACTAACCTCAACAGAACTATACCGCTCAGACGGCCATGTCCGCCCAGATCGCAGATGCAGTCAGTCCACTGTTGGCACAGTGGAGCTACACGATCATTACCATGGCTCTTCGTTTCCATGGCCGCTGAACAATATCCGAGTAGAAACCGAAAGGATATATTGTGACATGAATCTTTTGGTTGGCAAGACTGGCTAGTCCTCAAATGCCTCGTCCAAATCCCAAGTTCAAGCCATTCGGCTTCACGGTGGCCAAATCAACCCATATCCCTGTAGGGTTGATACAGCTAATCAGAACTAGTTGGAAAAGAAATAGCCTTCAGCCGCTCAGCCTATAGCCAGCCTAGCTCCTCAATATAGGCGCCAACCGCGCTATAAGGCGGTACCTGAAATGAAGCCGCCACACCATCGAAACCTGTTATGGCCCCCCTAGGACCGGCGGAAGCCATATTACTGGCTATTAATTTATGAAACTAGTGTCTCTGAAAACGGCCTAGGGGCTTCAGCGAAAGGAATAGCTTAGGAGATCTCCGAACTCGATATAAACTTGTCATTGGCGCCGTTATCGGCCTTGGTTTGTTCGCCCATGGACGCCGGCTTCTTGTGTAGAAAAGGGCCAAGAATAAGAGACGTAATCCTCGCACTATAGTAGTGCTATTCTATCTAGTGTGGGAGGACAGTTGCTGCTTAGAATTAAGTAACAGGTTAAGGGGTGGTTTGTGTAGTAAAGATTACACCTTGTTTGACATACTGGATGCAGAGCCTGCATGATAGGAAATAGGGGGAAAGAATTACTTCAAATGTTTTCAGTGTCTTATTTTCAGATTGGTTGCATACCGCTGACTTGTGTTTGTTGGAATCAGGTCATTTCTGTTCCCTGGCTTATAATTCTGACTATACAACCCGACTCTTATTTCTAATCTCATGGCCAGAACATTCAACAATTTCATAGTACTCATTGGTCTTGAATAATGCTAAATTGTGTGATAAGAAACCTTGTCTTAATCATGTAGACCACCCTCCTCCTTAGCCTTCAACTTCATCTGCACAAACCCTTCCAACTCCGCCCTCTCATCAGGAGTCAAGAGCTCAATCCGATCGCTCAAGTCGCCATCGCCAAAAAACCTCCGATCGATCTTAGCCCAGTATATCATATCGAACGCCCAGCTCTTCCTCGCAGCGTAGTTAAGCCAGAAGTCACCGCTTTCCCAACTTTTGAGCATATGCCCTGACAGTCTATCGTTCTCCTCCATGATTCCTCGGTCAATGGCTGCTTGCTCTCTGTCCTTGAGGGCTCTCAGAAACACCGGTAGCACCTTCTCATATTTTGCTGCCCAATCACCTAAACCCTGTTTCCATAGTTCTGGAAGCTCGAGTAGTAACCAGAATGGCGGGCTATGAGCAAACCCTGTGGGGGCTACGTAGGTGAACTCCCAGTCCACCACGCCGGTCATCTGATGCTGTGCGTTTGATAGAACGTTGCCAGGTCTGAGGTCATCACAGAATAACCTGAAGGGGGCAGCGTCGTCACTGGAAAATTGATATTCATGAGTGATCTTGCGAAATAGACAACGTGCGATGTACTTCGTTCGACAATCTTCCGCGGAATCGATCGCGTCGTTTCGTTGGAAAGTCAAGTGGATCATGTGCATCTCAGCTAGTGATTGGTAGTACGATGAGACTGTTTTGAACGTGCTTTGGGGAAGTAAGTCTGGTGACACTCCACCCAACTGAACGAGCTCGTTCATGTTAAAGGTAAGCGGCCGATGCTTGACTACCCACGTATCATCGAAATCATCATCCTCATCAGCTTTACCGATGCATCCAATCTCGGCAAAAGAATGCCTCGATACCTGTAACATGATATCTGCCATCTGAACATAAACCCATTCAAGTCTCTCTTCCGAGACATTAGGGTCTAGCATCGGTCTCTCGTCGCGTGACCGGCCCGGTACATTGAGGGCATCAATGAAGTCGCCTTCATTGCTTATATGCTCCATGATAATAAAGGGTCCTAAATCCTTTGGACTCTCCTCTGTTATTCTATGATGAAGGATATGAGGGATGGGTAGACTGGTAAAATGCTCCAAAAACTGCATAACTGCCACTTCGCGCTGAACCTTTTCCTCGGGGAACATGGAAGCACCCGGGCATGGGAATCGAATGACGGCAGAGCCTCCATCTTGGAAAAGCAATCGTAGCCAGGCATTGAATGATCCTCGTTTGGGAGAGAAAAGCTCGTCGGGGACTCCTCCTCTGTGCTTGTCAATAAATTGGCCTATTTCTCGGAGAACGTCTGTTTGAAATAGCCTGTGTCGCCAGGGCGCGAAAGTCCTGTCGCATTTGTGACATAAAGTGTCGTCGTAGTCCATGCATTGGGCTTCGAGGATGGGAAGGGGTGGATCTGGGGATGTTGGATGTATGTGTGTTTGGTTGTTCATGTTTTCTGTGGTAGTGGGGATAGAACATAAGTAATGAGTAAGGTGATAATGTTCCTATACACGAGCCATTTTCCAGCTAAGCGCTGAGGAATTTGTGCAACTCGGTGGCTTACATCTGTCATCTGACCAATCACATTACGCGGCGTAGAGTGGTGATTGATCATATCAAGCTATTGAAAGTCATTGTGACATTCACAAATGTGTCAGTATTCATCTACTATAGCCATTGATCTCTGATCTAAATAGCGCATCAACATGTCGCGTCTCATCATCACTTAAAGAAGCTCTCCTGTTGGTAGGTAATGGCATTATACGCTTTAAGTAGCTATAGGACTAATAAAGGCTAATACTACATTCCATCGTGCGGAAACTGGTCCACTTGGAATACTCTTGGTAGTGATATAGGTATAATACGATTGAGAGGCACAGATTCAAAATGCTATAAACATAAGCATGGAGCCTTGCGATGATGATTGTTTGGGCCACGTGCTAGTCAGCAGGATGCCTCCCGCGTGTCAGATTGAAAGCTTCAGGGGCTCTGGGGCTCCTTTAGCTGGCCTGGCCGTCTCCCGTTTACGTATTCTGTCGTATTAATAGACGCTTTCTGTAGAACAAATAAGCTCCGGCACATGTAAGATCGTATAGAGCATCTTAGATCGATTATCTGGCCTAGCAGGCGGGTTTCTGATAGAGTCGGAACTCCAGGCAACCCGTAACGGGTGGGTATTCCATCGTTAGAGTGTAGGTAGCATCTAAATAATTCGTGATGGATACGCGATAAGCAAGACGCTAGTCATCGCCAGACAGCCGTCGGGCTACCGTAGGCCTACCCAGCCTAGGGCTTACGCACGCTCTTCCTGGCTCATGGCCATTTCGGTTAGACCCTCTAGGAATGGTTATTCTGCTGGGGACATCTGTCAGCATTAGCGAAGTTTCTTTATAAATATGCGACGACGTCCTCGTTGAAATTCATCTTTCCTAGACTTTATTGACTTGCCTCATCACATCTAGTGGCATCAAGCGCAATTAATAATACAAGATTCATTCCATCGGCGGATAATATGGAAAACCAAGATACCTTTGAGCTGTACTCGTTCTGGAGTTCCTCATGTTGTCAGCGGATCATAATCGCAGCTCATCTCAAAGGCATCACGCTCAAATATAATTATGTCGATCTGAGGGCAAGAGGACATCATGACGCAAAATACAAAGATGAACTGAATCCAAGTGCTAGTGTGCCGACCTTGGTTGTGCATCACCCCGACGGCACCAAGACCATTATCAGACAATCCATGACAATCCTCGAGTACTTTGAGGAAAGATTCCCGAACCAAAGCCCTCTGCTGCCACCTGTCTCAGCTTGGCAGGATCGCATCAAGGTACGCGACCTAGTCAACATCATCGCGATCGATGTTCAGGCGCCTACCAATTCCCGGATTGCCAAGCGTGTCAGGTCCGTGCGGGATAACGTGGAGGACCAGGTCGGCTTCGTTAGGCAGGCATTCACAGATGGCTTCCAGGCGTATGAAGCCCTGATCTCCGCATCTAGCAAGTTTTCTTTCGGCGATGAAGTGTCACTGGCCGATGTTGTGTTGGTTCCCGCGGTCGATCAGGCATTGATGTACAAAATGGATTTAGACTTCGTGCCCAATCTCCTGAGAGTCTATCACTCACTAAAAGAGCTAGAAGCTTTCAAGGCTGGAGATGGGAAGAACCAGGGCGATACCCCGGAGCAGTTCCGGGCCGCTTCCCAGTAGCTCTGGCCACTAGGCGGAGAGTCCCATTCGGCAGGTCCTATATGCATCTGCCGGGACACGTTTGTATATACCATATCTGCCGCACGATAAGTTGATAGTTCTGTAACTAATTGGACAAGTCCCAATGGTGAATAGATAAATTAATAGAGAACTAACAAAAAGGAAGAGTTGTGGTGATTGGGGCGCTATTGGCGCGACGTAATGGATCTGACCTATCCAACTTGAAGACAAAGCTAACAAACATTATGCATAATTGTTACTTCTTGGCGTGTGCAACTCGAACCGAGTGTTAACGTGGATCAAACTGTAAGCCTAGCAGATTTCGGACTCAGCACGAATCGCTTGACGGTTGAATCTGAAGTCCGGCCCCTACTGCTTGGCGCGCCTGAAATAGAAGTTGTCATCTTAGCAAGATGACACGGTTCTGTGTGACTTCACAGAAATCGTGTCGTAAGACTATAACGCACATTGAATGCCATCGAAAAAGCAATAGCATATCAACCACCTTCCTATTATCTGCCGGCTTCAGGAATGCGGAACGTTGCTGCTGACCTCGGTCGAGTAGCACAGAATTCAGGCTAGAGGGCTTCTGCAGGTAGAAGCATGGCCCTGATAGTGCTTTGAGTATTTTCTTCAAGCAAACGCCTGATGTCATCGCTTTCCATAATTGATAGCAAACGTAAGAAACCGATAACAGTGCAGTGGATCATATGCTGTTAGTGCTTATTCTCATCCACCAATTCTCCCTCTGGCGGTCTATAATTGTGTAACCCGAGCTGCCATACGTAGATCAAGTCGTAATCAATGCATGCGCTTCCGAGAAGTGCTCAGACCACACGCAATGGCAGACACTCGAGTCATGAAATTTTGCGATGATCATGTTTTTGGCGCGGGGAAAGCAACGCTGGTTATAGTATGCCAGAGAGCCTCGCGCCTCGGAAAGCCCACGATGGTTCCCCACCGACCTAGTATTCCGATCGCGAAAGTTTGAAGGGGCCCGGTCGGTTATCTTGGCAAAATGGAAGATCATCTTCGGTAATGGTGTGGTATCATAACTCCCATATCTCATGTCTAAAAGTATGTGTGACGAGGCTTAAAGGAAGAGAAATGAGTGATGCGACCTGTAGAGTTTTCCAGAGTAATGTGGAAGCAGATAGATCACTCACGACTAGTCGAGTCGTCCTAATATGCGGTTTCTTTTGACTCGTCTCCGGAAGTAATCAGGGTGCTGCAGGGAAGAAGCCATCATGGACACGTGGTGTATGATATTGTTGCCTGTCAGGATTGTTGTGAGTACTATCTCGTGGGGCAAATACGCTCCAAACGAATTTTTGCAAGAAGCGGACGCGGTTAAGGCTTCTGGTAGCTGGGAGGAGGAACGGTGCAGGTAAACATTGAGACTGATGTTGGCGATTTGCTGTAGAGAATACTGCCACACGAGTTACCTAAAGTCAGATCCTGAATATCAGCAATGCCCTGGTTATGAGCGTGATACAATTGGAGTCATTGCAAGGGTTTGAAGATTATTGTGGTGTCCGTCAAATTCCGAAGTGCGGCCCCCTGAAAGAATAACGGTTCACGGGAGAGACATCCGAGGACTCGTCTGGCTCCGACCCGGCCAGTTCACTGAAACTGAATGGGCAATACATCCTTAGCGATTGGCGGAGAAGACAGCCTGCAGGGTACATGAAAAGCTTGCGCAGACCCCGGCACACCATCCGGTTGCATTGGGAAGTGGTAAAGCCAGGTCAGCATGAAGAACAGTGGGAGTGGGTGGGGATGGTTGGCTGTTAGGGAGCGGGTAAGGCTGAAGCACATCCCACTCGCTTTGTGGTACCGGATCCACTGCACGCGCTATTCACCCCCTTAGGGCCCTCATTCTCTGTGCTGGTTTGTAGGAGAAATCGTGGCTCTCTAGTCCCGCCTTTGAGGGGAGATGAGAAGATTTTCTGTCGCCTGATAAGAAAAACGATTCCTTCCCTTCTTACTCAAGCATCCCTCCACATCATCCCAATGTCCCTCTCTACGCCAACTCTCAGTCTCTGCTTTCTTTTGCCAGGATGCAAGGCCTAAAGCAGCATCTTACTCTGTTCAGGAAGCTCACCCTAAAGCTCCTATGTGCTGCAATCTGCTTTGGCTTATCGGGCGCTGCCCGGGGTCCGTTGTCCCCCTCCCTTTCCTTGCATCCTGGCGAACTGACACCTTATAGGGCTTGATTCTGGGCTTATCGCCAGCACTGTGGCAGAACAATCGTTCGTTGACCAGTTCCAACTAGAGGCCGACTATCTCAGTGCATCCCAAAAAGCCAATCGCTTGTCGAACATCACCTCTATGGTCCACATAGGCAGCTTACCGGGGGCTATAGTCGCATTCCTGTGCAGCGAGCGCATCGGAATCCTTTGGACCTTCCGTCAATGTTGCTTGATGTGGATCATTGGTTCTATAGTGTTTATCACGTCCCGTGACCTTGGACAGGTATATGCCGGTCGATTCATAATGGGTCTTGGTATTGGACAGTTTGGTGTAATGGCCCCGATCTACCTTGGGGAGGTGGCACCCAGAGAAATTCGCGGGATGCTTGTAGGCTTATATGGCATGTCAGAATATCTGGGAATTATGATTGGGGTGAGCATAGTGATAGTCTAAAAGGAAAATGCGTGACTCAGCTTACTGACCTCAACAGTACTTCTCAATATGGGGAGCATCCATTCACATCCCCGACTCGAGTGCGAAGCAGTGGGTCATCCCGCAAAGTGTTCAGATTATGTGGGCAGGTCTGCTGCTGATCGCTTCTCGGCTCTGTGAGGAGAGTCCGCGTTTCTTGTGTCGAAAGGACCGTCCTCTGGCAGCACTCCAATCTCTTGCACGGCTATGGAACGTGTCACCACTAGATCCGGGAATACATGTTGAAATTTCGAATGTCAAGATCCAGCTCAAACTTGAGCGCGAGGTGGCATCACGATCAGGTCTTATCGGAGTGCTGAAAGAGCTTTTTGGGACAAAATCACACTTGAAACGGATCGCCTTTGTGTTCATCCTGCAGTGCTTGGGCGAGTGGTCCGGCCCCAACTCGGTGACTAGTAAGTCTCAGCCCTGGAATCAGAAGTACGCACGCTTGGGCTAATCTGGCATACCCTAGCATATGCCCCCGAGTTATTCGGACTCTTCGGTATCCAAGGCCAATCGCAGAAACTCTTCACGACGGCGGTCTTTGGCGCTGTCAAGTTTGTATTCGCGCTAATTTCGGCAATCTTCTTGATCGACTATCTGGGCAGGAGGAAGACATTATATATCGGCCTTGTGCTTCAAGTTATCGCACTGACCTATGATTCGATCTTTCTCACTATATTTAGCTCCCTATCTGGTCAGTCGCAAGATGACCCAGCAGTAAGGCATGCTGCTATCGGCGCAATTGTGATGATTTATTTCATCGGCATTGGATGGGCCCTGGGTTGGAATTCAATCCAGTATTTGATCACCGCCGAGTCCTTCCCACTGGGGGTTCGGATCGCAGGGGTCACTCTCGTTACACTGTGGCACTATGCCAACCGGATCGGCATTTCCAAGGTTGGTGCCATCATGTATATTCTTGGCGCAGATGGACTGCCGGATGATATTGACTAGAGTTTCCTTTCCTTCTAGGCAACCACGTTGATGCTGCTCGACCACGGCTCCCTAACCCCCAAGGGCACTTTTTGGTTTTTCACAGGGATGTCCTTGCTGGGGCTCCTATTCACATGGTGTTTCCTGCCCGAAACTGCTGGTAAAGGGCTGGAGGAGACCAATGAGCTGTATACAGGAGATCGGGGTGGCACAACCCCGCACGACCAAAGGGATGCTGATTAGAATCGGAAGATGAGCGGAATTTGCCCGCCTCTCTGTATCTACTCAATAATGAATTCGAATTGTTGGGAACCAACTAAGGTTATATCCGTTGGCAGCCAAGAGGCCGCATATTTCCGTTATTCCTCACACTAAGGTTTGGGCTATCAAATTACCCCGCAAGCCAAATGGCTCGTAATTCTCCTTCCACTCCTCCTTAGTGGGTCGAGTTAATCAATATGCTTCGCCACACTCGACTTCAAGTGGGGTAAGCTTTGGGATAGTGTCAGATATCGGTCGGGCTGCGTATCTCAATTGGCAGAGGAGGTTCAAGCTAGATGGTAGGTGCTGTCAAGGCGGAATACCATTCCACAATGGCGCCTGTCCTTGCAGCTGCAATGCCAGGTTTTTGCGAAGTATAGCCGCGGAATGAACTTCTGCCACCGGTCATACCAGTGTTTCCTCGTATTCTATAAATCCGAACGTGTTCGTATGGCCTTTTCTGCACTGAGGGGCTTTCTCACAGTTTGCCTACTATTATTGAGTCACCTGTTGGCTGATCGACTGCGGTGCACAACATGGAGAATTCTTTTGACTACATTATCTGCGGGTTAGTTTCACCTAGTATAGAGTGTGCTTTTTGTATGATCTTCGTCTTCACTATGGCTAATTGCTCGCTTCTACTCTCAGGGGTGGCACCTCAGGATGTGTGGTGGCTGGTCGCCTGGCTGAGAATCCGCACATAAGTATTCTTCTTATCGAAGCTGGACAGCATAATAAAGATCTCGAAAATGTCCATATGGTTGGCGGGTTCGTACGCGCATTACACTCCTAGGAATTGAGCCAGTTTTCTTACTTGATTAGCTGGGGTAATCTGCTCGACTCTACGACAGACTGGAACATTGTCACTCCGCCCATGCCAAATGTCAATAATCGGCAAGTTAAGCTCAGCAGAGGAAAATTTCTAGGAGGTTGCAGTGGTTGCAATGGGACCCTTTGCATACGCGGCAGCAAGCAAGATTACGATGACTGGGGTCTGGATGGGTGGAGTGGCAAGGAATTCTTCACGTACATGCAGAAGGTAGCTACTGTCATATCCATTCACGATAAGCAAGTGGGAATTGAGACTCTAGAAAACTAATATCTTTCTTCCAGGCCGAGACATTTCATACTAAACCCTGGTTTAAGGCGTCCGATCAGCATCATGGAGACTCGGGTCCCCTTCACGTCGAACCACATGATCTCGCGCCCATTTCCGAACGCATCATGGACTCTTTCGTTTCGCAAGGCCTTCCATTGGATCCTGACATGTTCACAACTGGTGAGACACCTCATGGGTGTGGTCATGTACCACGGTCAGTGTACAATGGCATCCGCACTACCAGCGGAGACTTCGTCACAAATGGGTACCATCGTAACAATGTTACAATAATGACAGAAACCACTGTGGACAAGATACTCTTCAAGAAGACCCCAAGTGGACCCAAAGCGGACGGTGTCTCGGTGGCAACAGCAAATGGGCGACGGACACTACATGCCAAGAGGGAGATAATCATCAGCAGTGGATCTTATTGCAGCCCTACAATTCTGATGAGGTCTGGGCTAGGTTTGAAGGAAGAATTGCAGAAACACAACATTGAATGTTTGATCAACCTCCCGGGCGTCGGGAAAAACCTCATGGATCATTTGGTAGGTGCTATATGGCAGTTTCATCTATAAGTCAGCATCTAATCAGAACTGTCCAGATCGTTTTCATGTTCTACGAGACAGAAAAGCCTGGTCTGACGACCGACCACCACGTCTACCACGGCGATAGTTTTGACAAGACCTACGCGCTTTGGAAGGAGAAAAAAGAGGGGTTTCTGTCAACCTTCCCTTTCGGCTCCTTTGCTTTCGCCCGCTTAGATGAACGTCTTAAGAATGAGCCACTGTGGAAGAATGCGCCACGACAGCCAGGCCGTGATCCCATGGGCTTGACACCCAATCAGCCGAACATTGAGCTCTTCACTACGGAATGTTACGGTGGTCCTAAGCATTACGATCAATTTCCTATTGATCACAAGCACGCATTCTCAATCATCGCCGAATTGTTCTCGCCTAGGTCTCGCGGTAGTGTGACGCTGAAATCTAAGGACCCCTTGGAGAAACCTGTAGTGGACTGCAACTACCTCGCAGACCCACTGGATCTGCTTGTGTTAACTGAAGCATGTAGATTCGCAAATGAGATCATTACCAAGGGCGCTGGGACGAAGGACATCGTGAAAGGCTCTTGGCCTCCTAATCTGACCCACCACACTTACACGAAGAGAGAACAGTGGATACCTTATGTAAAGGAACATGCGACAACTTGTATGCTCCTTTCTTCTGTCTGTTGGCATCACTCATACTGATTGACTTATACTAGGCTATCACGCTGGAGGTACTTGCGCAATGGGCCCAGATGGCGATACCAACGCTGTTCTCGATAACAAGTTGCGTGTTCGTGGCGTGACCGGACTCCGTGTGGCAGATTGTAGTGTCATGCCAACTCTGAACGGAGGGCATACTCAGATGCCTGCTTATGGAATTGGCGAGAAATGTGCGGACCTCATCAAAGAAACGTGGGCATCCCAGGCCCTCAATGTGGCGAAGCTTTGAGGTTTCCTTCCGTATTGGTGCCAACGGTGCGGCTTTGGGGACCGGCAACCGTCTGGTTCTAGTAAAGCTGTAGATTTGCTTGGATATTTACGTTATATATATGTCATGAGCTACGACGCCTTTCTCTGATGTTTAAGACTTCAATTACTTAGTTCCATAATTTCGTCCCCACTATCTTTGTCAAAAAATAGATCCGATAAATTCGCAATAAGAGACTGGAGCACCGATATGGTTATAATTTCACTCTTCTCAAGCTAGCCATCTCGCAGTAGGTGTATGCGCTGATCATCTTAATGCCTTCAAAGTCGAACAGGAAGCATCGGACGTATGAGTTTTCATATTTGCACGATCTATAGGTCCAACCTATCTCGTTCTTTCAACAACAAGGTTGTGTAGTGTAATGGTTATCACTCTGGATTCTGATTCCAGCAATCCCGGTTCGATCCCGGGCACGACCTTTTTGTATCCTTGGCATCATGGTCCGGGCCTTGAATTTTTGTTTCTCCCACCAAGTGTTTCTAATATCCTTACCTAAACAAACCTTGTCATATTTTCCTCTTCTTGCTCCAACTCCCACCTCGGCCTCAGCTACCCGATTAACAATGATATCACCCACCCGACAACCCCCTAAACACCCAATAACAACCAACTCCCGTCAGCCTTGTGGGCCCAACCGCCAATTCTACCTCAACGCTACCCACTCCTTACGATGCCGATAACCCGTCCTACCAGCCAACCCACTCCAATGCGCCATTGCCATTTGTCCGACCTCCCTTAGGGCTGTCGCAGTAAGGCTGATAGCGTGATTGCGTGCTCCCAGAAGAAAATGGCGCGTGAAGAAAAAAAAAAGAAAAACGCTGCGTTGTACAGGATATCCAGCCAGATACGTATGTTCCCAGTTTCTTTTTTTTCAATCCCGCTCGGAGATTTTCATAATAAGGGGGCTGCTCTGGTTTGCCTTCTTTCATCTGTAGTAAAGTTTCCTATCTATTTATGGAGATATTCTCCCCCCTCCTCTTAGGGTTTAGGGTGTTGAAGAGGGGGGTGGCTAGACTCTTCGAATCTTTCTTTCCATCTGTGATGGCGTTTCGTAACTTTGTCTTTTAATCTATCTTTTCTGCATGTCTTAATCCGATATAGTCGGTGGTATTATCGTTGCTTGCTTTGCCGCATGCATATATCATCTTAACTTTATCCTTGTACATATCTCATCGCCTTATTACTATATATTATACTACTGCTCAGGAATGTCAGAGCCCTTCCACCCCGCGAAATCACCGGCTCTCCCGGTCGTGGAATCCTCCACAAACACCAAGTCCCCTCAATCCCAGCAGACGAAAGTGCGCCGTTTAAGAGAGACAGTCGATAGCAACTATGCCGACATCATCTGTATCATTCTGTGCTTCGTCACGGGGCTTTGCGACAGCTCCGCGTTCAATGCGTGGTCATGCTTCTTAGCTATGCAAACCGGTACATCTCCCCTTCCCCTTTATCCCACCACCTAAATCCCTCAATCCATTACCAGAATACTAATATTGAAATTACTAACAGGAAACACCGTCGTCCTCGGCCTCGGCGCCGCCTCCCTCCCCAAAGACGACAGCGACAGCTGGCTAAAATCCATCGTGTCAATCGCCAGCTTCGTGACCGGCTCATTCATATTCAGTTTCGTCGGCCGACACCTCGGCCCCGCCCGTCGCGGCACGCTCTTCGCCTCCTTCATGGTGCAAGTGATTCTCATCGTGATTGCCGTCTCCCTGATCCAGTCTGGACTTATCGCGGAATCCGAAGCCGATGTCATCTCTGGCCACCACCATGGCGGCAAGCTCCTCGAGCTGATTCCCATTGGCTTGTTGGCCTTCCAGTCCTCCGGGTCTATTAATAGTACGCGCTCGTTGGGATTTAATGAAATCCCGAGTGTGGTTATCACGAGTGTGTATTTTGATATTGCGTCGGATAAGAATATCCTGGCTGTGCAGAATGTTAAGCGGAATAGGAGAATTGCGGGCGTGGTGGCTCTGTTGATTGGGGCTATTGTGGGCGGTTGGTTGAATAGGAGTGCTGGCGGGATGGCGTCGACTTTTTGGTTGGCGGCTGGGATTAAGTTCCTTATTGGGTTGGGGTGGTTGGTTTGGATGCCTGTTAGGAACTAGTAGGTTGTTGGATGAGGGTGGGTTGGGGGAGTGGTGTGATCACTTGGGGTATGGTGGTTAGTGAGGTATGTATGCGGTGTGTGTATGTAGGGAGGGAGTGCGATTGTATAGTATTTTGTTTGGGGGGCGTTGTTGTATAGATGGATGGGTAGGCATGATTTTGGAAAAATAGAAGGTATAGATTTCTTTTTCATGCTTATTTGCTGAGTAGCGTGGGTACAAATATAATCGCTAGTAGCATCATACTTCACAGATAGAAACAGCAAAGTTCAGTTGATGATAAAAATAGTAAGAATATACCAGCACATGCTATGTATGCATCATTCATGACTTCCATTATGATTAACACAACCGGTCCGGGACGCTCAATACATTGCAAAGCATCAGGTGACTAGCGGACAGGGTTGAGTTGCCCTTCGATATGTACATGATACTGCCACTGCTGCTCTGCTCTGTCTTGCGTCTCGGCGATTAACATGTCATTCCTTGTTCCATGTTTCAGGATACGCTATCGTACAGTCTTCCTCCACCTCACAAAGCCCACATCCCTCAATTGGTATAATTCCATCTTCTCATCAAGTATTTAGTCGCGCATAGGGCGCAGAGGGCTCTGACGGGGGAGCATCATCGGGGGTCCGCGGGCGCGGAGCCAGGCGTCGTTGTGAGGACCTTCGGTACGAATAACGCTGCCGATGGACATGAAGAGACTATCAAAAGGTGTGGTTAGTATCAAGCAGTCGAACATACAGAAGCGATGAATAGACGTAGAATCGCAAGGAATCGCGCAGAACATACCCAAAAGTAGCACCAGAACCAAGCATGTATTTACCCAGGGTACGCATAACACCGTTAGGTCCAGCTCCGTACTGGAAGATGGTGACAGTTCCTGCTTCAGATTAGTCGGGTTCAAAGGAGGGGTTGCGTTTGTATAGACGGACCGATGATGAAACCCATGATACCTCCAACAGCTGTTGGAAAAGGATTAGTACCGTAATAACTAGCATGCAAACTTGTTCAACCTACTGGATCCCATCATGGCACCCATCTTCACTGTAAATAAAGTCAGTAAATCAGTACGGCAGATTGAGCGAAACTCATCCAGCTGGTGAATGGCATGGGGTCCGGATAACTAACTCTTCTCAAAGGTAGAGGGACCATGCCCTTGAGGGGGACCAGCAACGACAGGCATGTTGAATGATAGTTAATAAATATACAGTGAGCGCAAAGAATTTGACAGCACAAGACCAGTTTCCCTCAGACGGTCGATTCCTCCGGCTTCAGTCTTCTAGAGTCGGCAGCAAAGCTCCAACGGTGGGCGCATCGAAACCCGAGGCCCAGAAGCACGTGACACCGCCTGCCGTATTGAGAACCAAAGATCCGTGCGGTGTTACCTAAGCACACGTGTGTTCACACGTGATTTTTGGCCTCAGGCGTAGGGAGACGAAGGAAGCCGTGAGCTGATCGGCTCTTCTCTCCCGCCGCAAGTTGGTGGCTCTCCCCATGAAGTCTGCTCCTGAATCGTCTGATCCAGTGCCTCGACTTACTTTTTCGGCGGCTTAGGAGCCTGTGCAAGGCGGTAGTTCCGTCTCGTGCCTCCGTCTTCGTCGCTGCCCGGTCGCTTGGTCCGTTCACTCCTCGGTTCGGGCCAAGACCTCCACGCCTCCTTGGTCAGGACTGAAGCGCCTTCTTGCCTCACCATCAGATCCCTTTTTAGACTCAACTGTTCATACTCATCCTGCCGTGGTAAGTTTGACTTGCTAGCTGTTGGGTCTCGCATGGCACTTGACGATGGCAGGCGCTGTTGCGTCGATGCGGAAACGGACTCGATGTTTATATGAGGGTCGTCCGGACAATTGCTAACGTGACCTCTCACCAGCCGAACGGACTGTATTCACGATATTTCCGCGCGCCTACCGTCGCTACCAACATTTGTGCCTTCGAGGTCCGTCGCGACGGGCACTCACGGGCGGTTAGCATCCGAACGCTTCTCCTTGCATACGTTGACGATCCTCTTTTTCCGTTGAGCGGACGAGCGCCTATGAGATAGAGCTCCTTTCCATCACACCCACCATACACTATCCTTCTCCATGACTGCTGTGGCATCACCACCTAGTGTGCAATCGGGCCCTCACTTGGGATGGTTCGACTCTGGTAACGGAGGACAAGGTGCTCTGTCTTCAATGGACGCGGAAGACGTCTCACGAACATTTTTGCCGCGAAGGACTGTTCAGAGATCGAATTCCTCCTCTTCCCTAGCATCTACTTCATCAACCTCAACCGCTATAGTCACGCCGCAACCCTCTAATGCGGGACACGTGAACAACGTCGAACACGCTACATGGTCAGCAAAGAAGAAATCCTCAAGAAATAACTGGACAACTTCTAAGTCAGAGCCGGTGGCTGGGCTGAGCAGCGCCCGCTCCCAGGCTATGCCGGCCTTTTCTTCGGGCCCAGGAGCCTCTTCTACTATGACCGCGATTCACCAGCCGTCTTCCATTGTTCCATCTCAACACATGCTTCAAGCATCACAACAAAATGGCGTACGCGCCGCGAGCGCACCAGCAGGCGATCCTCCCGCCATTCTCACACTCTTACCCATCAACGGTACCTTCGACAAGAAGCAGATTAACGTACCCTTCTATCCGGACCTACTACGCATAGGCCGCCAGACAAACGCCAAGACTGTGCCAACCCCGGTGAACGGTTACTTTGATTCCAAGGTGCTGTCTCGACAGCACGCCGAGATCTGGGCAGACAAGAGCGGAAAGATCTGGATCAGGGATGTCAAGTCGTCAAACGGTACATTCGTCAATGGGCAGCGGTTGTCTCCGGAGAATCGCGAATCAGAACCCCATGAGCTTCGCGAGAACGATACCTTAGAACTCGGAATTGATATCGTCAGCGAGGATCAGAAAACGGTTGTTCATCATAAGGTTTCCGCCAAGGTTGAACATGCCGGTGTATACAGCAGCATTCCGAATATCTTGGACCTCACACTAGGCGACTTGGATCCTGCTTCTGGAAATGGACTGCTCCCGTCTCCCCTTAGTCAACCGATGTCACATCTCAGAGGACGATCGGGAAGCACCATGAGCAACCGCAGTGCTCAGAGTGCAGCCAGCAGTCAATTCAACGCAATACAACAACAACGTCAGATGAACTATTGGAATTCCCCTATATCTATAGAACAAGTTGTCAAGCGACTTACGGTATGTCATCAAGGTCACATTCGCAGCGAGCTTGCTCTAACACGATTTCAGAGTGAAATGAAACAGGCTAAACAACAGTCACAAGAGCTCCGGCAAACGGACGAGTTCTTGACTACTATAATGAAACCTGGATATGCGGAGAAGGAGAAACCGAAGCCTTCACCAGCGGATAATAATGCACCCCGTCCAGTTAATGGGCGGCCAAAGATGCCTCGCGTAGATTCCTTCTCTCGCTTTTCGGACCCTCCAGCTCCCCCACCGCAGCAACCCTTGCCCGAAAAGCCCGATGCTTTGCCGCGGAACGGCACAGACGCCCTATCGCCGTTGAAGCGATCCGAGACAGAAAAGTCTAAGCTTGGCCCGAACTCGCCCGTTACACGTGAAAATAGCCAGATCTTGTCTCTCATTGAGGCTCTGTCCTCCGCCAAAAGGGAGCTCGATAGCCAGGGTGCTCGTGTTAAGGAGCTAGAAGCGTTGCTGATTCAGGAACGAAATGCTCGTGAATCTGCCGAGGAGAAGGCCCGGAGCTTGGAGATGAAATCCATTCAGCCTGCTCCAGGCCTCACCGCAGATGCTGAAGCCGAAGACAGCACTAAGAACTTGACTGAAATGGAAGAGCCAAAGACTACGCTGCCGGATGCCGAAGCTTCGATCGATTCTGATGCACCCGCTTCTGAAAAGGAGTCCTTGGCAGAAAGTCAAACAGATGTTTTACAACGTCGTCTCGAGTCAATGATACTGGAGATGGAGGAGATGAAGAAGCAAGTCACAATGTTCAAAGACCGGGCAGAAGTCGCGGAGAATGAGACTGTTGAGGCGCGGAAGTCGCTGGCGGAGATGATTGAAACTCTGCGGCAAGAGCGCGCAGAGCGTGCTCAGGGCAAAGTAGTGTCTGGTGCGCAGACAGATGCTCCTGCTCCTGCCGGTTCTCCATCTGAGCCACAAGAGTCCGCCGAAGAGAAGGGCAGCGTGTGCGCTGAGCAACCACAGCTCACTGCGACGCCGTCAGCTACAAAAACGGTGGATAACGCAAACACGACGTTTGCGACACAATCACACCGCCACGACGTCTTAGAGCAATCCAGTCCTTTTGCTTCTATGCTTGGAGTGGTGCTCCTCGGCGTTGGGCTGATGGCTTACCTGAACAGCTGGCAGAAGATGGACAAATGATCATTTTGGCTAGCACATCATGCCTTCTGCTGGCGCATGACATAAATTGTGCATTCGATAACACCTTGAAAAGCTCGTCTTGTTCTTCAAGTTACTAACCTTCGATCCTTCCTTCATACCTTTTCTTTCTGATTCTCCGCTGGTTCTATTTCATAGTTTGTCCCACCTTGTATTCTGCTCCGATGCTCAGCAGGGATTGTGCGCTGGGTCTATGGGTCGATTTTTCTTCTTTATCCGTTATTTCCGTTTATTCCCTCTTCTTGCCCCCCTCTTATGTGCAGTTATCCTTTTTGCATAACTTGCATGACCCTCCCTCACTTTTCTTGTTTGTTCCTAGATATCACTCCTCGTGGGCACCATGTTGTTCCAGTAACGAATTCCTGGCAGCAGTGGGATTTATTTCTATGTCGATGCCTCTTTCTCACGGGCAGAAGCAGGTCGTGTAAAAGGCTCACCCGCCTTTGTGTATTAGTCTATCATAGCATACTCCTTTTTCCAGCCGAGCGATGAATGACCATCTCATGCTTTTCTTGTTTTCTTTGACGACCTATACCCGGACGATTCTCATTAAATAAATGCGTATGCTTTTTATATAGTTTCATAGTTGGATTGTTTGAACCTCGTAGTAGTATCTTCGCAATGGCGACCTCACGTGATGCGCCCCATACATTGATCGCCGCTGCCATCCGACGGGTTTCTAGTAGCTACAACCAAGTACAGCTTGCTGTTGTTCCCGTCCAAGCATGCAGTCAAGACCGTCTAGTATAGCGAAACCTCGGCCCAAGCGTCGGCAGCGAATTTGTCGCGCTTGTGATGCCTGCTACAAGAGGAAGGTACAGATTACTACCTATTCACAATGCCTTACGTTGTTTGTCCACCCCGATACTAACCCAATCTAGATTCAGTGTGATGCAGCAACGCCACGCTGCAATTGGTGCCATCACCATGATCTTCCTTGTACTTTCAAACGCAACCAGGAACGTATCCAGGAACGCTCTAGATCCCATGACTCTCCAAGGTACTGTTTCTCAATGTAGTTCTGTTTATATACTGACTCGTCTAAGCTCCCAACGGATTAGTTCCACCGAAATACCGCTTGCTTCACAAGGTAAACAAACATATTATGCCCTTTCAACCATCATATTAGTTTGTTTGAGGCTTCGCGTTTGTTCGAGGGAGACACTGATCATTCTGTGGATAGGTGTAGATCTGAATCATCAATCGGGCCCGCCATTAAGACAAAGTGGACCGGACTTGACCTTTACTCTTACAGTCGGGCCCCAGAACAATCTCCATGTCGGAGGACATGCTCTCGGGAATTTATGCACTTTCAATGGCCTGCCATTTTTCTCCGCTACTGGCCGCCAGTGGATTAAGGAACGCACCGGCGAAGATGTAAAGCTTGAGTATACGTCACCAAGGCCATCGATACTCGACCCGTCAACGCCCAATGGGGTCGCGCATGCAGTACCGCTTCCGGACAAGGGAATTCTGTGTCAGCTGCATGACGAGTGGAAGAATTCAATCCTTTCCAGAATGTTTCCGTTTGTAGACCGAGTGCTCCTTGAATCAACTGTCGCTGCCGCCTACCATAACGAAACGAGTGTCTCATCGCCTGGTGCTGACAGCGCTAGGGCCTGCATTCATGCGTTCACGGCAACCTGTGTACATTCCGCAGACCAGCAACATGGGCATAGAGTAGTACATACAGAGGACCATCTTCAGACCGCCCACGACTTGGTCCCCCGGATGCTGCACGAGTCTGTTACCATAGATGGCCTGCAGGCCGTTCTGATGATAGTAAGTTTGACAACCTCGCACTGATGTACGGAAGATGAAAGGGAACGTTAGGGTGGGAAGTGAGAAAGGCAGGCAGGTGCTAAAAATCATGCAAAATCAGAGTCTTTGCTCCTTGGTAGTCACAGGGAATATCCTGATACTCGAGATGTTACTCACATCTGCGATACGCTTCGTCTTCCATCTAGATGGTCACCTTGCCCCAGTCTACATCGACGACGACCAGTTCAGGAGGAGCCTGCATGTCCGAGAATTATTTTTGGATATGTTATATCATGGATAAGGAGTTTAGTCTACGCGCGGGTCATCCTCCGTGCCTGGATGAGAGTCAGTGCGACCTCACACTCCCTGATATCCACCACACTGCGCCAGAATTTCTCGCAGGCATACGTCTTGCCATGCTTCAATCTGAGGTGTATCATCGATTATACTCCTTGAAAGCTTTGCGCCAGACAGATGCCCAGTTATTGGGCGCTATTCGCGATCTCGACAGCGCCTTGGAAGTTTGGAGAATGTCTGTTCCCACCAACTTTCGGCCACGCCTCATTGATCGGGAAACAAACGCCATGGACACTCCAAATACAATCTTTCAGTTACACTACCTGTACTGCATGAGTATGATACATCAAGCAAGTGGAAGATGCTCTGCCTGGGTCCAGAATCACGATACATCTGAAGCGGGATCGAGTCTCGCTATCAGCGTTGAAGCCAGTCGATCGATGCTGCAGAAGTTCCTAGACGACCGTCTTGATTTCAATAAGACTAACTTGAGGTAAGCATCGGTTGTGAAAAGTTCATTATCTTTATCATTAACATGTTATACAGGTTTACTCTTCCCTATTTCCTGACAGCTATCTGTCATCTTTTTTCTAACATTCTTTTTAATCCAACGCACGGTGGCATTGATGACGACTTGGAACTGTTCATGTCAGTGCCAACTCATATCAGATCACGCGTACCGCCAGAAATTCCGAGATTGTCGGCTTATCACATCAAGCTCTTCGAAAACTTCGTGATGGAATTAGGACGCCTTGCTAGTAGTGCTATTAACAAGGCGCGAGCAGGATCACAACATATGAACTAAGTGTTGCTTCAGATGTGAACAGCAATTTGATTTTCAGTAACACTAGACCGCTAGAGGGGTTGCCGTGCCGTTGTACGTGAAGAATACCCATACTTCGATGAGATCAATGGCCGACCATGCTTGTGTGTTGCTGCTGAGCGCCCGATGCATGTGGATGCTGGGTAGACGCTGCGTGACCGGGAGAATCTTCCAAGGCAGCCGGCCTGCCGTCGTCGTGACACCGGAAAAGCGCACAATCGGCACAAGGTCTAGATCCATTGCGGCTGTTCGAGGGGCCGGAAAGCGACTGAAGCCGGACTGGGCTTGCCGGCTGAGTTGCATCAGCATCTGCATGAATGCTTGGCCATGGCGCCCGCAAGAGGAGGGACTTATCCGCCTGGCTGGTATATTCAGTAGCGTGCCGCCTGGATCCGTATCGTCCATCTCATTTCCTTTCCATACCATCTCACGGAAACCTCACTTCAACGAAACCGCCACCTCCACCATATTCACCCACCTCGTCCTAGTCTCGGGCAGCTCTTCCTCGCGCTCCAACCGCGCAACGGCTCTCTTTCTCTTTCGCATCGCTGACTTGGATAAATCACCATTCCCATCCTTCAGCTTCGCTTCCTCAACCTCCTTTTTCAACCTCTCACTCTCCTCCACCGCCTTCTTCCTCTCTTCTTCATCCTCCACCACATCGTCGACCACAAGAACACTCCCCGTCTTCACGCTCACAGTATACTCCTCTCCCCTCGCCTCAAACCACTTCCCCACCTTCAAGGCCCTCTCCATTGCCCGTCCCGTAGCCTTCACAAACACCTCCTCTTTCTTCAGCGCTTCGTTACTCTGCGCCAATTGTGCGATTTGATTCCTTCGGTCGCCCTTCTTTCCTTTGTTGTTTTCGCTGAGCAATTTTGCTGTGGCGCGGTTCTCCGCCGCCCGAAGGTACTTCTGGACGCGCTTGACGACGCCCATTGTGGGGGAGCTGGATGAAACGTAGATGGTTTTGGGAGATGATGAGCCCGAATACGGGGAGGGAGTGGAGGGATGTGGAATGGGGCGCTTTTGGACTTTCACATCTGCATTGCGTAGCAGGTTAGTGGGATTGTCGCGAGAAAGAGGCGGAGGGAGGAAGCTTACGTTTGGGGAGTTTTGGCATCTTCTGGTTCTTTTTCTCGAATTCGAGGGTTTTAGTTAGTGGAGCAGGCGTCATGTTGGCGGTAGTAAGAGGTGTATTCGAGGTCGCTGGTAACAAGACACGAGTGGGTTGTTGTATACAGAGATGAGGGACCGAAGAGGAGCGAAGCAGCGATAAAGTAAAGTGATGGAATTGGGAAAATGAGGTGCCATTCCAAATGAGGTTAGCGCGGTCAAGTCGTGGTTCTTATCGGGCTTATCGCTGACATTCCCTCTTTTGGAAATTCCCATTGTATTCCAATCATCATCATTCATTCTCGTATGTCACATTAAGAGAGTATCAAAATTGACGGCATTCTACTAAACCAAATCCCAAACGCCATAGCTTTTGTACAGTCTTACCATATCTCCCGCCCCTACGCCACCCCAACTACCAATCAGTACGCAGCCTGCAACTCAGCTTTCGGCTCCTCAGCAGAGGAAAACAGCGCCCGCATCTTCTTCTTACGGCTCTTCTTCCCCAGCTTCTTCCCATTAACATTGACATTCTCGGCCGGAGGAACATTCTCAGTCGCGGCAGTCTCCTCCGTCACTGACCGCTGCATCTCAGGGTACTCCGGAACGGGATCTTCGATCGGCGGCGGCGGCTGCTGCTCAGGAACAGCAGTAGGCTTCTCCGGCGTCGCTCCATCATGCATGTCGTTCCTGTACCAGTCCCTATCCTTGGTCGCCCAGTTGCGCCATGCGCCCCATCGCTCAGTGACAATGTCTTTCTCTAGCGCGTGCGACTTCGTCTCTGGCTCTGGGCTGAGCTCCTCGACGATCGTCTCTTCAGTCGGGGCATAGCGCTCCTCCTGTTGTTGCGCTTCGGGGACGTATACGTCGTCTGTCAGCTCGGGGAAAGCCTCCATGTGTTCTCTTGTGGTGGTGAGGGGGTGCTCGTCCTGGATTGAGTCCGGATATCCTGCTTCCGAGGGGGCGCCTTCGGAGGGTTGTCTGTCTGACATAGTTTCCTCGATGAAGATCACCGCTTTGTTATAGTTTCGTCCGGGGCTGGTGGGCGTGGGTTCCATATATCCACCATTACTGATCTCATGATCTTGCTCTTCCCTGTGGCTCACGTCCTGGTCATCATGATGGTGGTACCCATTTATCCTAGGATACTGCTTCAGCTCCGACAACTTCGCCTCGTAAATAGCTACCATGGCCTGCACCAAGCACGTCACGAACCCGGGTTCCGCGCCGAGGAGGTACTGGAATCGCGGGCTCTCGAAGAGATCTTCATCTTCATCGAACGCCACGGCGAGACGGCTCCGTATATACACGCTGAAGAACCACTGGTCCCAGTCCGGGACCTTGGTGATGGCTTTTCTGGCCACGCTGAGGACGTCGAAGATGGAGAGGTCTTTGTCGAGCTTTTGCATGTATTTCTTGGATAGGGTTAGTAGGCCGCTTAGCTCGTACTTGGATGCTGCGGCGTAGGCGAGCACGCTGCGGCGGTACTCGGTCTTGGTCCAGTCGCCGCTGTGGCGGAGGGTTTGGTACGTGCCGGTGTGTAGGTAGTGGACGATCGTGTGGGTGATGTCGTCGTCGATGTCTGGGAGGGCGATGCAGGGGGTTGTTCGGGTGATGAAGTTCGGGTAGGTGCTTAGGATGTCGGCGAAGACGGGGGATTGCTTGAGGTAGTATTCTGGGATGGAGAATTTGCGTTCGCTGGGGCCGAGGAGGACGACTACGAGGCGGGTTTCGTAGGGGCTGTGCGGTGCCGATGATGTATGGTTAGTAGGTGGTTGTGATAGGTGGAGGAGGAGGAGGAGGAGGGTGATACTCACGATAGCTCGGGCTGCTCATACTCCTCGAGATCGTCGTCGAACTCGGGCTTCACGTTAGGAGTATATCTAGCAGACATGTTGCTGGTGTTGCCGCCGGCGACCATGTCTGTAGCCGTACTTGCAGTAGTGGTGGTAGTAGAAGTAGTAGACTTATCCCAACTAATACTAACACTAACGCTCAAATCTTCTTCTTCTTCTTCTTCAGCCGAGAAATAGTAATGAAAGATGACCTCCAGAATGTCGAAGTATGGGTTCAAGTCAAACGGTCAAGCAGCAGCACGATAGTTGCTAACACGACCGGACCAAAGTAACGGAGAAAATTCACTACAGATTCTAAAGATGCAGCAGCAGGGGGGAACACGCAGGATATACCTAACTCTACCCTCCTCTTCTTACCTCCCCCTCCAGCTATGCATTATTCACTTAGTGAGTAAGACATCAACTCATACCCTATGAGCTGTCCACCCCATGATGATTTCCACTGGGCCAATGACACGACAACACATCAAGCTGGAGGTGCTTGAAACCCAATGCAGTCCATTCCAGGTGCCATGTTTCATCTGGTGGTTTGGGTGGAGAAGATGGTATAAGCTTGATGTGTTGGCGGTTGTTGAGGGTGGGTTGTTATTGGGCAGATTTGGGCGTGAGTGATGCTAAAAAGGCACCGGGTAGGAACTTGTCATCCCCACTTGGTTACTGGCGGGAGAATAGGCATGTCATTGTTGCTGTTGTTGCTGCTGCTAACGGAGAATTTTGTTTAGTTGGGTGGGGTGGATTGAAAGGGGAATTTTCTCCACTTATTGCCATGACAGTCGTGCGTTTTGTTGTGGTGGGATTTGATTCTCTTGGTCTGGGTTGGGAGAAATGAACGAGTACTTAGTTGCGGTGGTGGGGATTCTGCACACTAAATATCCCCGACGATAGTGATACTTAATAATCACTCTTCTCAAATGCGCAATCTAGAGCATAGATTTGGTAGGAGCTTCAACAGTCAAAATCTCAGCTTTGTATAATTTTGTACTGACAGATTAATCGAGAATTGAGTCTTATAAAACCACAGAAAGTTTCCCTTAAGGAAGAGAAACTATAGAACGTGATAGTTCTATCATTATTTCTCTCATATACATCTAAATATTTCACTGCTTAACGTTGATTCAATCAAAAATAGAATCCAACCAGCCCAAACTCTCCCCCGAAGGCAGCGTGATTCCTGCTGGAAGGAAAATGCAGCTGAGGGGCATGCTATGCACCACAGGGCTGCTGTTGGGGTGTTAGGATGTTACTTGTAGGTATAATAATACCATCAAAATATACTATAAGAAACTCATGAATAGCCAAATGAAGTCTCTTTTTTTTAAAAAAAAAAAAATTGCAATGGGGCCTGAATATGGAGAAATGCCGGGTGTCTTTCCAACGGCTACTGGTTACGAGCCAAACTTGTTCGGACCCCCAATAGCAAATTCATACTCCCCCCAGTTTGCAATAAAGCCCTCTGCGACACTAGCATGGGATATTCTGTGGAATAAGTCGGGTTTCGCGGAATGCCGTTCAACGATAATCAGCACAATGGGATCTGCGAATCTCAAGCAAGGCTCCGCACCCGGTACAATCCATGCTCTTCTGCCGATTGTGATTGCATAATACCGACTATGTCCTTTATTCGAAGAATCGAGGACCCATGCCCCATTCTGAGCAGATATGTGATTCTCAGATGAGCTTGAACCTTCCTCGCTTCGAACTAGGGGGAATGCCTGGCTTTTGAGATGCAAATAGCCTTGACTATCGAGCGTAGCTGAGCGTGCCGGCAATATTATGTTCATCACATTCACCAGTTCTTCGATATTCGTCAAACCGGTTGCTGTTTGAATAGTGCAGCCTCCACTTTCCGAAGTGTTTGGAATTGAGGGAAAGCTAGACATGAAGGGACATGGATTTAACTCGAGATATGCCCCAAGCCATGCAGCAGAACTACCTTTCTGCAGCGCAGCCGAGGCCAGGGTCAGGGTTGCTCCCACCCGGTCATCCCGATGAAATTTGCTGGGACCTAGGCTCACGCCGAACAGTCCCATGATACTAAATACCATGTCAACTGGCCGAGAAGAGCTTCGTATCCATGTTGCCTTTCACAGAGCCACTTGTAGTTTGTCGCTGTCAACCTCACCCAAGTCATTTGGCTTTGATGCCTCTGAGGTAAGCCAAAGAAGATATGCTTGATCCCATGTAATGGTCTGCATTCGAAAGCGGATCTCAATCCTATCCTCCTCATGATCCGAGAATTCTAACTTACACGTCAGTAGGATATTTCAAGGTAAGAAACAATGTACCATTCAACATGCCTTTAAATCGAGACGAGCCGGGCTCTGATAGAGAGCCCTCGCTGAAGGATATGCAGTCGATTCCGCGTAGTCGTGAGAGTTCTTCTTGTACTACATCGTACCCAGGATCCCCGGGGCGACGCAATTTTAACTTCACCCAGAACCCTTTGCGGACCGCCACAACTAAACCCTGCAATGATAACGCACCCGAATGGAATGGCTCTTGTTCCGACAGGTTCGCAGTTACTACCGCCGTACCAGTCCGGAAATTTCCATTGAAACACAACCAGCACAACTGGTGGAGCAATCGCTTCCTGTAGCGTCCAAGCTCGCTGAGCCCATGTTGATCGCTCTGTCGGATCGATCAGTCTTCCCAGGCCACCAGGAAGAACTAGGCACACGGCACAACTCCTGTAGATATCGAACATATGCCGGATTTGCCAATTTTTGTCTTCTTTATCCTGCTGCTTTATACACAAGCGGTCTATCCACAACAGATTACAAGGGCCTATTATATGACGATATTGTTTCGCAGCCCGGCAGCAAGTCCTCAAAACATTTACACTGATCGACGCGCCACTTTCGGCACCTTTAACTGAGAATTGGCCAAGTGACGGGGGCACGAGAGGAGTCAGGCCCTGCCATGGGTAAGAAATCGTCGCAAATTGGTTCTCGTTGGTTGATAGAGTTAAGAAGGTAGTGATTTCCAGGACTTGGTCGTTGAGTAACGAGTCAATGACTAGGAAGCGGAATCGTTTCGCAACCAACTTTGACAAATCGAGCGTTGCCCCATTAAGCTCCGACAAGGGCTTTCTGAACTCACAATATTGCGGCATTATCTGAGTGGCTCGTGATGGGGACCCACACTCAGTTGTTCTCGTCATATTATCTTGTATAGAGTGGGGATTTCGAAGGTCCCTTTGTTCGATTGAAAAAGATGTGAGGATACCTCACTAGCCACATTGGAAGTGTAGTCCAAAATGCTTCTAGCATGAGGCTTCGTGGTTTATAACAACCTTAAGGATCTGCGGAAATTTGGGCCGCAACACTTTATGCAAGCCACGTCGAAATTTCATAAAGGTGCATGGTAGTCATATTTCCAGACCTCACTGGGCGACCGATCTAAGTGGGCCCGATATGCATGGTTCTTTAGGGAAAATGTAGTTGAGTAGTTAACTAGTAACCTATTTCCTAGGCGGATGACAAAGCAATTCGCCGTGGAAATCAAAGAAAAGGAGATAATCTTGGGTAGAAGCCACTCAATTTAACTTATCTTAAGTCTAGAATATAAAGTTGGTGGGTTCCTGACAGGCAAGAGACATGGCCTGCATTTGTAGTCGATCAAGGTCATCCTTTGAACTCTCAGTAGATGGTCGGTCACCTGTGGAGACACTCACGTGCTGCTATTAACCAGTATCAGCATATAAGTCCATTTATGAAAAGTAGCATCTGCAATGGGTAGGATGGCTGCAGTGTCGATCACATGTCTTGTCTACCCATAATTGCTACATCTGCCAGTACTCTCTGTGTATGATAGTTGATTGTATATGCTAAGTCTTAAATAACTTCATAAGCCACGTATTCATCGTAGCACGTCATAACAGTCGTCACATCATTATGTCTCGTAAACGCTCTCGAATCAGATCATAACTCCATCCCAAAAATATGTAACCCCGGTACACCATGCACCGATATACCATCAAAAAGCCGAATGCATTCGTAGATTATCTCTCGTCTGCGAATTCCGAAATATTCCTTTGCCTTTTCAGTCCTAAAATCGTTGCAAGAACCCCGCGTCGTTTCGATCGTATAGTCGTTTCTGGGCCATGTGCTTCCACACGCACCAGTCCATGATCTGAGGGTTTGTCTGTTGTGGTAGTACGCCGGCTTCGCACCATGGTCTTGACAGCGTTGGTGATCTGCGTCCGGATGGGCGGAAACTCAGACTCCTCGCTTGTAGGCGCCAGATCTGGATCATCTTCGTAGGTCTCTTTCATGACTCGGGCATTGTCTTCTTGCGCCGCTTTTACGCAGCGGATGAGGATGTTGTGGTGGCCTAGACAGCGGCGAAGATCGGGAGTTTGAGATGCAGCTTCACGTTGCAGCTTGCCGTGGGAAATGGCTGCCAGCTTTCCTGGCATGGCCGGTCGGTTTGTGAGTTGAGAGATGCCCGCACTGAGGCGGGGTGCCCGACGGACTACCGTCGTGGGCAGGTGGAGGAATTCTGCAACTGCAGACATGGTGTTGAGGGGCTGTGGAGACGGATGGTCTTTGAATTAAACAAAATTGTATCAGATGAATGCATTTGACTGGTGATCTGGATTGCAGCGTGGGCGACACGATGCATTATATACTGAATTCCCTGCACTTGTTGAGACAAAGAAAATCGCAGCAAATTACCCAAAAAGGAAAGAGTAGGCCAAAGCCGTCGTATGCTGGAATAAAGATTCGTCAACCCGTGGGGAGAGAAGAAGCTCGACCATGGATGAAACACGTAATCCTGGCCTGTCTGTCGCTGGACTCCAAGTCACAACGTCAGTCATAACCTAAACATTGCAGTCCTAGTAGGGCCTGGAATGCCACGCGGCGTCGCTCCCTCTTTTCTCCCTGCTGAGACGGTCTTGCTCGGGGTGGCTTTCAGCCAGGGTGGCCACTTAGTCACTCTGGAATTCTCGAGTTCATGGATCGACATTACCATTCCCTTGGTAGGATCAAGCCCGTCATCCCCCTTCCCAGGCTTTCCATTTGCATGTTGACTCGCCGTCACAGCGTAAGTCACAGCGTAAGTACCTTTTCTCGAGTCAGATAAGTTCCTGTGCCCTGGTTCGTTCCCCGGTCACGTCTAGGTCCCCCAAAGCATGAAACCCCGCGACAGGTTCCAGCGGCAGCACATTCCGCCTCTCATATCGTCCGTTGGAATCTTAGGTAATGAGTGATGAAGCATTATGCGTTGAAACACTAGTCTTCTCCACCATGATTCATGGAGATACCGTCATTGATCGTGAAATTAATAGCATCATGACTGGAGGAGCTCATGATGAAGGATAATTCCATCCCTTTGCCACTGATTTGCTAGTAATTCAATATTTCGATGCTGAATGGTATGCTAAGTAAGTGTTTCTCTTGCTCTCATGGCCTGTTTCTCTGGTCCCGAAAGTCTCTCATAGATTCGAAGTGCACTAGTCAGATCAGCTTCACTGACGCTTCTACTATGAAGAAAGAATAGCTTATCGACAGAGTCTGATTGCCCCGCCTTGAGCGGGGGGGAAATGGCGTCACAGCCCACAATGATCAGTGCTAAGTTGAGACAGAGACTGCAGGGGCGAGAAAGGGAAGAGACTGCGTCGCAAAAACCCCCTCCAGCCACGTGCTTCGAGGCCTTCGGGGAGTAAACAATCCACCGACGTTGTATCATCCGCTGCAGTCACCCAAGGATTCGTCACAAACAAATCCAGAGTTATAACCTTGTTTGCCTCGAGCTCCATCGCCTATTGGCTCATTGTAGACTTGTGCCCAGGAGGTGTTGTTGACGTCGCCACTCTTCTGAAGTCTCGCCCTCGTTACATTCCCAACGTCTGTCGGTTTTTGCCGGCCCCTACTTTGCTGGGGAAGGTGTGAATAAACCCCGCTGCTGCTAATGACACCATTGTTCTATTGTTAGAGGATTTAAGCTCAGTAGCAGCATGCCGATCTTGTGAACAGTTTCGATAATGCACAGACAGGATAAATCACTTGTTTTACATCCTGATCAGGCGCGATGAGCTATGGTAATTGGGACAAAGGACATGATGATCAACAAGAACGTCCCAGGAATTCTTTCTGACCTGTTCATATTCTCTCGTTGCTCTATGTGCGTCATTTGACACCCACGGATTTGATTTCCTTGCCAGCGATACCTCTAGGCATACTCCAAGTTTCAGACCTCCACATGTGGATGACTTGTTCAAATGGTTTCACTAACAGACTTGAGCTCCAAAATAGCCCGCATGATATTATAGGTCCAGACTGATCATCTGTGAGATCGAACCTACACATTTCAATAAAACAAGCGAATCAAAAGCTCCTACAAATTACTCTTGCAGCACACAGACCCCACAGGCTCTGGCGCCTTATACTCGACACTCTGATTCGCCTTCTGGTTAGATGGAGGTACGTCATTCGTCGGATTGAACAGACAGAAATTGTAAGGCTTCAGATGCACCTGAACAATCTCTGCCGGCATAACTGGGAAGTCCTCCACTCGAGGGTTATGCGTAAGGCCGTAAGTATGCCAGATGACAATATCCTGGTTGCGGACATTCTCCCGGGATTCAACCCAGGACTTGATCCCTGTGCCACCAAGTGACTGGTTTGTGTATTTACCGGCCGGGAAGAGCTGGTCATCGTGATACCGGGTGACCCAGATCGAGTGCTCGGCGAATTCAGACCGCCGCCAATGCCAGGAGCCGGGTTTGGCTAGGAGCATCTGTATTCGGTAATTGGGATCAGTATCACTACCTTATGCTGTGTCCGATAACTTCTGCTTCGTGTTCTTGATCTCTGGTTCCTCCAATCTGCTGCTGATTCTGGGACGTTGGGTAGGGAGGACCTTACCTGGGACCTATGAGGAACGAGTTTATATCCCAGCGGAGTACCCGAGACCGGGTTCTCGATGTTTTCATTTAGGATTTGGAAGACTCGGCCTTTGCTGACATCGTCTTCGACATGACCTGCTCGGTCCAGAATCTTCTGCTCTGTCACATAGCCTGTACCTAGGGGATTGAGTTGATCGTCCCATGGCATGGCCACAGAATCTGTGGAAGCAAAGCTATTGTGCACACCGCCAATCGCAGGATCAATACGAAGGCTAAATAAGTGCTGGTGGTACGGGGCCATGACACCATCTGCTACCCGGGTTCCCCACGGAACCACGACGTCTTTGCCAATAGGCTGAGTGGAGAGGATCCCAGTTGCTCTGGTCTCGAAGGTGATTTCACCAGACTGGTCAAAGTACCACATGAAGATGTATTCGTAATTGGCCACTGTGATGATAGTCTGGAGGACCAATTGCCGCTTGCGTACTACTGTTGCTTTGCCGGTACGGTGATTGGTGTGCTTCCATTGGATCCCGTTGTCGATTTCGTGGATACAGATCGCATTTGGTCGGGGAGATGCATCGCCGTCCACTGAAACGACATGACCATCTATATACTTGATCGTACCGAGACAGTCGCAGCCAACTGATTGAATAAGCTTGGATACTGAAAATGAAGGAGCCAGTACTTACGCTGCAGGTTGTTGGCCGTCACACCTGCACCCACATTTCCCAGGTCAAACGCAGCCTTACGGTAGATGGGATTGCGTGGATCACCATACGGAACAAACATCTCAGCGAGTGATAGACGGTAGAAATTGCTTTTACCGTCGAAAGAGAGGTCATGCAGCGTTAATCCTGTCTATAGTCAGAAAACGGTCTATCCAATTGGGATGCAATGATACCTTCGCGCCAGTTGAAACCAACTCGGAATCGCCATTTCTCCCACTCGACAAGGTGACCTTTAACAGTAAAGGAGGCACCCTCGGGCTGAACCACTTGGTATGGCTTTAATGTCATTCGCGGAGGGGTCTTCTGCAGACGGTGGTCATATTCAGGCTCCTCTGGAGCCGTACGGCGATGAGGCACGCTGGAACCCTGTGTCACGCTCTCATCGGCCCCAAGAGGAAGTCGGATGATCTTTTTCACCTTCATGGCACACAAGTCAACAGTAACCATAAAGTCGAGCGGAAAGCTGTAGTGATTGGAGTCCGGATCGTTGTTTGCCGGGTTTCTCATGTACATGAACACCTGAGCGTGCCTCGTCTGTGTATCCTCGCCATCCACACCAAAGTCCCACGGGTCAAGAACGACCGTAGTATCATCAATCTGCAGGCGCTTAATTTCCGCTTGTACTGCAGGATCAGCCATGACAGCCTGAGCTACTTCATTCATCTCCGCTCGGTCGCCCGGACCATGGAAGTCTCGGGGAAGCTCAGCGTGGTGGACGAAGGTGCCATTGGTTACATCTACCACTGCTTCGAAGAGCCGAGGCGTCCGTTTAATGTACCAGTTGAGAAATATGCATCTGGGGAGAAAAGGTAGGGGTTTATTGTTGTATTCAGCATCCAGGAAATCGAGCAGAGCCGCCTTGGGTGGTTCCTGCAAACCACCGGCCTTGAAGTGCAGGGGAATCCCAGGATAAGCGTCTTTGACCAAGGTGGTGGCTTTCTCAATCTCGACCGCGGTAGCGGGGTCAAGAGGGTGAAGTGACATTTTCTCTCGATGAATGCAAGATTAGATATGAGAGTTGAGACGATAGATTCGGTCGCGGTCGGTGGTCCGCCTTATGTAGGGAACTCCCTTTGGGCCCAGTCAACACGCTGCGCGACAGGGTCTTATCGAGAGATTGGGTGTTAATACAATCCTACTCGTTTGACCGTCTGGATTTGGGTAAGCGGAGCATGTGTGAGAGTGCAACGGCGGGCCGAGTCGATGAACGACAATGTCCATGGAGAGCTGCATGTCACCCCCGCACTGATTGTAAGGCGGATTGGATGAAGCTTCCGGCCAGATTCCGTCCATTCTGGATTCGTTCATTCCTCCGTTTATTCATCTCGCCGTGGGAGGCTAGAATTGTCTGTTACCAATTGTTTATTCGTTTCCTGTCATGACTACCACTGATAAGTGTTAGATACAATCCGGGGATGCACGACAAGAAGTCGTACTGTAACCATAGCGCCATAGCGCATGTGGCAACTACCGAACACGCAATTGGGAATCAATATGATATTTCATTTTCCCATCGTATGTACAAATTTACTCGCTTTAATGCATACCATTAGAATCTAGGATTTTAACAATGGGATAGAACTGAACACAACCTACGCCGGATGAAAGTCACGGAATGAAGCCAGTCTTCCTCAAAATAGATAGTAGTAGTAGTAGAGAGTACTAGAAGTACCGAACAGACTTATTATGCCCACCATCGAAGTTGAAAATTATCTGGCATTCCAATTAGTAGTGCAATACGCTTAAAATCGACGTATCCAGAATGTAGTGATTACAATACTAATATATATTGTCAGCAGACACCTCATATTATTCCCTATATATCCACAAATGATCAGACCCAAGTTCCTGCTAACCAGGCAAAAACAGCAACTAGTATTGCTCTACATATAAATACATATAATCGAGAGTATAGACGCACTCTCAATGATCGGCCACTTACCTCTCCGGCTAACACATACCTGCGTGACGCCCACGCAGCAAGGGGAAGTTTGTATTGCACATAGTTTTAATAGTCTTTTCATATTCGAAACATTGTAACTCACAGGAAACAATCTCACTACTCTTCCTACCAAATGCTAAGTTCCATCCATATGCATTACAGTGATATAGTGCATGACTCACATAAGTCTCAACAAGTGTAGATCCGACAGCAAGATAAACAATCACGTCAGTGTAGGACGTGTGATAAGTAGTATATACCTAGTATAGTATATTTTAAAGAACATCGATGCTGGAAAAACGTACCAAGTTGAATGAGACAATCCGTATACCAAGACATCATATCACCGACCCCCGAAGAAAGGAAGGAAGGATCTAGCAATAAAAGCAAACTCAATCTAGCCTGCATGTAAGCATGAAAATATCACATGCAGCTCCATCAATCTCGGCTAATCTATGTCTTTTTGTGTTACTTCCAACTTCGAATATTGGATCAATTAATAACATATTATATCACCGAGAAGGAAAAAAGTAATTTGCAAGTAATACCAAATATGAAGAATGATTTGACAGAAGTTGCAGTGGACTGATGATTAGAATCCGAATGTGACCGTCGGGTTTCATCTATATTCCAGAGCTATTTAATTACACAGTACTGATAATTGCATCTCACCAATAGCGAGAAAAATCTGTTCCCTAATTATGCAATCTCTCTTATTGCCTAATCTTATGCTAGCCACTTCTTTCGAGGGAAAGTGAGCTCCTACGCATGTGACTGGCTACACCAGATGCATAGATTCTGCACTACGATAATCTGGTACCCGATAGTGTTTCCGGTTCGTCAAATAGTGGTTTAATATTCTTCCAAATCTTACACAATATATTGCTTCTTTTTCATTTGCACATGATGCGTGTCCACAATCGGTGCAAGGGAGTATCATCTAAGAGAGTGTGTGCAGCTGTAAAGCCGAGGAGATACAACGTACTAGAAATTTCGATAGGCTACTATGTGGCAAACCGTCGGCAGCGCAACGGATTGCTGCGCATTCATGATGCTGTAGAGTAGATGGTTACTCTCCAATTCGAGTAACAAGGAAATCTCAATCTTCTGCTTCTTCTTACTGAAATTGCCCAAGGGCCACGGATGCGGCACTTCGTACTAATATCTTTGCAGATGCAAGCCAAGAAGTATTTGTCGCGGAGATGCCACTTACTCAAACACCACTTTTGAGGGTATTCGCTGGTTGCTGTTCAGCGAGGTTCAGCTCGTCATTCATTATGGAGGTATAGATGTTGCACAGAAAAAGGTCGAACGTCTGACCTCCATTCCAAATGCTTGTCCCCGGACAAGGATGAAGCCAGGTACCGCGTACAGGCACTATTCTACCCAAGAGGCCTATTGACCTTGTGCTTCTCGGTGGGTGTACAGGTGCAGCGATTTCTGGCCCATCAAGTGTCCAATGGCTGGACAATAGAAAGTCCGCGAAACTTAGCTGCGTCGCCTTACACTCATCCTCGGAAAGCTACTGCAGGCAATCCCACATCGGACAGGATGGTTCGTGATGCCTGCACCAAATGCAGCACCTGAAGAAATTGTCCGCAAAAGGCGCTGACAGGCTCACCGTAGCATGGCTGATTACTGTATGTACTCCGTATTCCCGTTCACCGTGGTTGGACAGGCACTGATTTACCCCTTGTGACAGAGCTGATCACTAGTGCCAATTAGCCTCTGCTATGAAATCATGGTTGACTGATCGCCGTATCCCGGCAATAAGGGGCGGGTTTATCAGTTGCTTGTCTCAGATGGACTGGCAGAAGACGATCTCCGGCACTGCGGTCGTTCCCGGACGCTCCGGCAAAAAAGGGATAGGCAAGGCGTCTGGATCACCGGCAGTTATAGACTGTTATTATATTTTGGCGATCTTACTCATTTCCATTTCCCCCTTGGGTACTTGGGTACAATGTTCCGTAAATGTTTCGTGCTTTTGCGCCCAACATCCTGGATGGAATTACTCCCCTCGTGGGCAAGGTGGTAGATCCCATCCCACAATCCTGCATGCAGGATCAGGCCCTTTAATTGATCGCCGAATTGGCAGTGGCCAATCAATAGGGAGGTTTTCTTTCTTTCGCGACAATCTAGCCTTTCCTGCTCACAGAAGGAAAAGCAACGGGACCAATGTTTATCCATACATTTCCCAGTGATTTTTGGATATCCATTCTACTGTGGCTCAAAATATAGTGTCGTTGGGAGCTCAGGCGAACGTACGTGTATGTGCACATGCAAATATCCATACTGGCCTGAATTGTACTTTCTCCGACCATTAATTGACCAACTGAGAGCCAGAATCGCACCGCAACGTTGGCAGGGAGCTCATGACTACACTTTGTATGCTCAGTTATAGGCGTTGTCTATGAACGACGTACGAGTCGCACTCGTGTTAGTCTGTTTCAGGTAAAACCATATTCAATGTCTTAGAAAGAGGAGAGTGAACACATCCCACTCGCACTGGCGTCGTCGTTTCCTTTAAGTTTCTGATGTGTACGACTGTACGGAGAACCAGGTACGCAATGTCAAACCGAGCCTCAGGTATGACGCACTGGCAATGCTATTTATTACCCAGCGAGAGATGCGAGTGTCAATAGTTGCCTCATTTCGCTAATCTGTTCATTGCCTGGTGGTTCCGTGGGTGGACGTCCTGAGATAGATTGCGTGTCCTGACTCGAGACCCACACGGACGGTCCCAAGAGTCACTGGCGGACCCTCCTTGACTGACACGCCCCCAATTGACAGCCCGGTAGAACCGAGGTTTTGGACCGTGGGATTCGTCGTCTTCAGTCTCCATCGAGTGTCGCACGTTCAATGGTACCATTTTGGCATGGTATGATGGATCAAGTAATTCAGCAATCGATCAATCAACCATCTGACTAGAATTACGAAGGAGGCGCGCACGACCTGCGAAATTTCATTGCCTGGTGCGGCCAAAAGATCGAGACCGAGCGAAGAAAACCCCCCACAGCCACCAGAAAGGACGCCAGGGCTCAATTTTGAATTTCGAAAGTCCGCCGTCTATTTGGCTCCATTTATCGGCGCCCTAAGCCCTCTTGGGAGGTTAGTTCGTGCCGACCACGAAGGAGTTTGTCCTCCGAGCGGACTAAATCCTGCCTGCTGGAGCCCGGAAGCTCTTACGCGGAAGTCTGGCTGGTCAACGATGCATCCTCCGTGCATATCCCCTTATGCGGCCTGTGGCGAGTAGGCAGGCGTAAAAATAAATCAGCTGCGCACAAAATGTGGATTTGTTTTGCAATTGAGAGGGGCCTTTCTTTTTTTTTCTTTCCCTGACGCTTCTTGTTGCTTATCCACCCTCAGAAAGTACATTGTTGTTGACGGTTAGCAAAGAGCAGCCAGCGGGTTATAGCTGCTCTCCCACATAGATATTCTAACTAGACTGGTGCGTAGATGCTAGTAAACAAACAATCTCGTCTACCGTTAGACTAGCGGGTGATGATTGGAAACGGTTGGAAGGACGGACTGGAGCTCACCAGGACGGGTGACATCCATGGAACCGGGATGAAGCCGATCGATCGTGGAGTTAAACCGGAATGGACGGCAGCACTTGAGTGGCCGAAGAAGGAGCTAGGATGGAGGCCGGCGGAAGAGAGAAGGAAGAGAAAGTGGGTGCGGCCAAAGTCCAGAACGGCGTGTGGTCGAGACATATCGGAGTTGCTAACTTCACTTGGGCCGTCCGCGCCATTCACGTCTGACTAACAGCTATCCACCTCCCCTTCCCTTCCCCCTCTTCCTCCACACAAAACACTCGGCTGGTCCCTGTTCCTGTTCGTGATCTTTTTCTTAAAGTATCTGATTTCTCGCTATACCCGCTCGTTATCCTTTGTTCTAGACATCTCACTTTCCCTTTCCCCCTTCTTCTCACTTCCAACATCACGTCTCATCGGTCGGCACCTCCTTCGTCGCCCTTGTTGTGTCTCACTCGTTCTCCCCACAATCGTTTCTCCACTTAGATCATCATTGGAAACTATTGCTGGCTAACGTCAAACCGCCAGCTTGGTTCTTTATTGCTCTCTGATACATCGAAAACAAAATACAAAGGAACCAACACGAATAAGGAGAACTATCTACAAAGTTCTACCTTTTTATCGCCTTCATTTCCATCATCGTGATTCGCCCATCTTGTTTGCGTTGAAAGCAACCTTATCCGGGTACTATTGCCTCTGTGTGACTCGAATTCATACATCTAGTATCTGTGTCCTCGAGGCCTTTCCACCCTTCTAAACCGATCCTTTGCTTCTCCTTAGCTGTTTCGTTTTCCAAAACTGGAAGATAACCAATCACTCAAGCCGATCACAAAGAAACTTAAAAAGATACCACTACTCTACCGGCGGATCACACTGACACCCTGCCGGGCTAATCCAACCGAGGCACTTCCGCAGGAACGTTTGCCCCCCTCACACCGAGAAGGAAAGGGATAAGCGCTCCTGCTCTCCCTAGCCAAGGGCCCTTCTTGTCGTTTCCCAGCTTGATTCTTAAGGCGCATAATCGTGCTATGGGAGGACAGGTTACACGCAGCTGATGCCAGCCGTCATTGCAAGTAACTCCTGCCCACTTTGATCTCCTGCACGTCTTATCACGTCGCACACACAATTCCCCTGGCTTCGCTTTTCCCCGACTGGACCTAGTCCGCTTGTTATCCCAGACTGGTTTTTATATCCCGGTCTTTCCATAGGTCCCTGTTAACCAGCTGACCTTGTCATTCTTCACTCTTGACTTTCGTTACCATCTCCATCAATGTCATCAAAAATGACGCGTGTCGAGGAACCTCTGGATGCCCCTGATGGCTCTGGCCTTACCTGGATCTTTGACCATTGCCTCCGCTACCCTGGTACCTATGAGATCCCATTGCGCACCATGTACTCGCTAAACTGCAATCCCACGAGACAACCGGCGCCTGGTACTCGTGCTCCCGAAACGGCCTTTCATCGCCCCACCAATTCGTCGACTTCCCAGGACTCGTTGGACCCTGCCGCTGATTTCCGAGCTCAATTGACTCATCAGATTTCGCGGTTGCCTTCACAGCCTTGCTCGCTTCCCCCAACTTTCGTCACCTCATTCCTGCGTCGTTGCTTCACCCCTGAGTTGGAAGAGGTTGATTTCCCCCAGGCATTGACCGCCCTGGACTACCTCAAGGACTTTGAAACCCGTCGCCGGAAAGAGGTTGCAGACGCGCTGCAACGGCTAAAAGTGGAGCCCAATGATGTGAAAGAGAAGGCCCAGCTGGCGAAAAAGAACCCTGGCGCTTTGACTTGGCTTGAAACTGTTACTGTTCAGGGCCGCCGAGTGGAAGCTCTTTACACTCAGATATACGTTGGTCTGCGTCGCTGGGTAAGCATACCTGCCGCTACTTCAAAGACTTATTCCAGGCTAACTTACTTGACTAGACGTTGATCAACGAGATGTTGATGGAGCCCTTTAACAAGGCCAATTGTATCGCCATGCTTAACACACTTTTCCCCCCAGTCACAGAGGCAACCGTTTCTCCCACTTCGCACCTCACCCCGCAGATCCTTAAGTCACAGCGGGATGGGTTTTTCCGGTATATCGCAGCCGTCGAGGTCAACGGTCCAGACGTTCTCACAAAAGTGATCGCTCAGGGTGCCCCAAAGGGATCAGACAATGGTTGGCCATTGATCAGAGAAGCCCTAGACAAGTATCTCCGGGCGGCTAATGAAATGATTGACGAATGCACAACGGTGTCTAGCCCGGCTGGCATGGATGAGGGTATTGAGTCTCAGCCTCGGGCTCACAAAGGCCGCAAAGTCGATTCGGGCATCAGCTTTGATACGGGGGAGAAGCTTCCTTCCTCGCCTGTCGAGTGCAGCAAGAGCATGGATGACCTTCTAGAGAAGCCCCTCCCCCCACCTCCCTCTCCTAAGGGGCACAACCACAAGTCGGGGTCGACGCTTGAGCGGCTGGCCCGCGAGATTCGGAAGTTGGGTGATGCCGGTAAGGCGAGGAATCTTAAAAAGATGAGATCCACTAGCGCCCTCGGTGTTCGGCCAGACACTACTGGTGGCCGCTCTACTGAAGACAATTCACTGTTCGAGGTGGATGAGCAGAAAAGAAGGCGGCTGTTGTGGGAGGCTTCCAACCGCAAAAAGGCCCACGTGAAGCAACTCAGCAAGGACACCGCATGAGTTGGAACTGAAGTGTTGTATAGCCTGGTGCTAACTTTCACTTCTTGTTTTTCTCTAACTTTCTTTCTTCAATCTTTTCAACTGTCTTTCGTTTCTCCTAAGAGGGAGAAGCAAAGGCGAGAATCAACATAAGCCTGGATGCTTCAACACTGGATTTATTTGGGAGTCTGGACGCGGGATTCAAGGTGCATCAGGTTTCTACTAGTTTTTTTCTGTTTCTATTTTGATTTCATATGGCAGTTGGGTTTGCATACAAGACTGGCGCATATGGTGGTTATCTTGAAGCGATTGAACGCCAGATGGCGAAAAAAAAAGCACAAAAGCTGGAAAGACAAAAGTGCTGACACATTTTGATACGATTACTGACTGACATAAATGATTACGATCCTGTTTTTATTAGCGAATCTTGCTGTTCACTAGCCAGACAACAATGAAAGTTATACCAATCTGCATAGTCTTCATTAGAGCCATTCAAGCCATCCGGGAACAACCCCAGGCAACAGAATAGGGGGAGAACTCTGCGAATTTGGACCTGTAGACCCCCGCGTAGTCTCTATCGACTCCGGGGAACTGCTATATGCCTTGATACTCTCATAAAGGATCCAGTTACATACTATGACAGCAGTTGCCGACTAATGGGCCATTGCAGCTAAAGCGCGGAAGTTCGGCGTTTTTGGCCGCTGCGCCGACCGTAGCAGCTCGCCCATCCCGCGATGTGGCCAAATGCCCCCAGACTCATAAGCGCTGCTCTCTTGGCTCAACAACTCGGAGGGACTTCTTGTGCAAGCTCGACTGGGCATTTTAAATGTCTAATTGGTTTATATATTGATCATACTGATCTGGAAATTACATCGTTGCCATTGATCGCCTCGAGCTTATCCGCCGCCCGTTATGAGTGCTTGCTAGCTAGCTTATCGGGAACAGCTAGCTAGTCAACACCGCTGCCATCAGCTCTAGGGTATCATTCCTGTGGTGGACTGGGACGATGGTATCTGGACTGGGAAATGTCGCCTCATGGCGACTTGCATCTGTATTGATTGCCGGTCTGCTGGCTATCCAGGGACGCGCCAGTCCGTCAGTCAATGTTGCTCTCCAAGCTTCGTTTGATTCCCCGCCTTATCTGATAGAGCTTCTGTAAGTGGAATTCGTACAGACCTAGTCGACTATTCTTGCTTCTTGGGCTGATTTTATTATAGAGAATCCGCCGCAGAGGAG